ATATTGCAGCATGTAAACGTTTAAGTTTGCCATAATTGGTCAATATACAAAAATGGAATATCTCACTTTTATTGATCCTCTAGTCTACTATTAGCCCTCCACTTTATTAATGGTAATTAACAAGCTGAGCTCTCTTTCACAACAACCAGTTAAACATAAATATTATTTCCATATATATTACCAACCGCAAATGCGAATTAGTATAAATACCTGATAACTTTTATATCAATAAAGATTATTCTATTCTTAACAAAATACCTTTATAAGTATTATTTATTTCTTATCCAATAAGAAAACTCTCTCTTCAAACTCAACTCTAAGGATATTACATAGCAGCAATTGTGAGATCTTACTAGTTATTAAAAGCTTTACATGTCTTTTTTTAAAAACAGTTACCTGAATCACCAACACGTAAATAAGTAAACCTACAGCTTGCTTCGCATACTGCAGTTAACTTAACGGAATAAGCATTTTTACAATTGCGAAACATCGAACCATAAGCAGCTGGCAATGGCTTGTGAATCACTATGTTTTTACCATCAAGAGCTCCAATCACATTAGGCAAACGCTAATCCTTGTTATCATTGTCATGCCTTGTTTGTGGAAATTCAAAACCAAGAGCGATATTGGTTGCTCTTTCTGGATCTGTTAGCTTTGATTTATGATGCCTAAGTACATCTCTAATGGTTTGACATGTCCTTGTTGTAAAATTACGATAGCTACCATAAGATACTCCAAGATGCATGTATATATGTCTATATCTATGATAAACATTTGAAATTATTAATAGTGTTATGGCAATCTGTTGGTATACTCGCCGTGCGTTTGGAACATCTAATGTAAGCATTGGATGTACCATCAGCCTGTTAAATAGCTAATCAAACGTAGTTCGTGACATACGTAAGTAGCACGATAACTAAATACTCTACTGTTTACATCAAGAAACTTATCTAGAGTAAAGTTGTTGGTTAGGGTTATCCAGATCAGTGAGTCTTGGGTGTTAGCATTCAAACCAAGAATATGGAGCAATGACACGGCTATTAACTCTACGTGTCCTAGTGGCCATGAATACAGGTAGGACCCGAATGGAAACTCCTTACTGACGACAGAATTCCATTGCCATAAAGTCGTACTGCAGTTACTGTTGTATCAAATAATGGCTATAGTTTTGATATTCTTCTTCCATTTCTTCCTCTATTAGTTCAATTTGTTGCTGATAAACCATTATTTGTTCTAAAAGATCAATTTCTGAATTATCAAATTTGGGGCAAAACATAATAGTATATTCTAGTGTTTAGAAAAATCAGGACGGCCACAAAAAAAAAAAAAAAAAAAAATGGACTTGTAATGTAATTGGAGAGATAAATTGGAATTGCTTGTGAAGGGCCTTATATACATACCATTGGCATTATGTGTAGTAGAGTGGAGTGTATTTTTGTGATTTTATTTCTGTGGCTTTACCAGAGAAATGCAGAAGAAAACAATAAAATTTTTAGGCACACTATTTTCGTATAAGAAAAATGACCAGGTTGTTAATTCCCTTTATTCAATAAAGAAGGTTATACATAATTTGATATAGCAGATTTGAACCCATATAAATTCATTATAATTGTCCAAGTTTAACTTGTAATCATAATTACAAGGATAAGTCATATATGTTGTGATGGAACGTTATATAATAAAGGAAAATAAAAAGAGAAAGAGAAAAGAAAAGAGAAAAGGAACAAAAGGAAGTATAGTTAGTATGAGACTATTTTTTATTCAATAAAAGAAAAATAAAATAAAAAAATAAGGATTAAAGGTTCTTCGATTATTTTGTGTCTAAACAACTGCTTATATTTATACTAATGAATCCTGAATCAAAGAAACAAAAGAGATAAGTCATGAAACAGTGTTAGTATTCAGATATATACGTCTTGTTGCTTCAAGAATCTGGTATCTATAGATTATCTATTGGGTGTTATAATGATCTGATTAAGGTTTTAAATTGTCTAATTTGAGTATATGTTCCTGATATTTTTTATAGCTTTATTTTATTGGATCAAAGACGACCTGAATCCTTTGTCAAGGTTATAAAAATAAATATTTCAGAAATAATACGATGTTTTATAGTTGATACATCTAGACGATTGAATGTCAATAAGAAGTTTTATATTATTTTACAAGTTGTTATATACAGATTTTTTATTTTGTATTCAGGCTTATAGTTTATCCTGTATTATGTAATTCATCTATTATAATATTACTTATGATCATATCCAGAGCTTGTTCTACAATAGCCATGATTATAAAAAAGCTGTCATGATAAAAAAAAAAAGGAGGTCTCATGATCAAAAAAAGGGGAGTTATGATAAAAAAAAAACTGTGTCATGATAAAAAATAGCATCATTTTCTTCCTATTTTAAAAATGATTATTTGCCGTGAACAGGCTGTTTGCATTTTCTGTTCTGAAGATTTTAATGAAGAAAATGCTGCTAGATGCTCCAAAATAATAAAGGACATTGGTAATATAGACATTTGTTATTTACAGGATTCTACAGATCCAGTTCTAGTTTTCAACAGAAGAATAAAGGCTTTACCATACAAATTCCTTCGCTATATACCAGCTATTAAGGAATCAAAGCCAAAAATATCATCGCAAGAAGAAATACAAGAAATACAAGAAATACAAGAAATATAATCAAGTAAGTTTGAGTAATAACTTCATATTGGAGAATCGGTTTGTCTAATCTTTGTTTTATCACTTTTTATATATATACATAGACTCGGTGGCTCAGGTTGTGCAATTTATAAATGAGGCGTTCATACCTTTCAATCCTCATAATAATGCGGTCTATGATTTCAAGCACTTAACCACAAAAGATATATTTCATATTGTATCGATGTATACTGATTATTTTGATGATAAGAATCTTAAATGCTTCACAACTTGGTGTAGCCGAAAAAAACTGCATTTTTTCATAGCGGTTGAAATAAGAAAAAAACAAAAAAGTGAAAATGGCGTCGTAGAAAAACGAATTCGACCATTATACATTTTGAAGCAAGAGTTCTTTGGTAATGTTTAACTATCAACTTTACAAATGTAATTTTTAAATTAAATTACTTTTCTTTATAGCTAAAACTGTTTCAGCAATAACAGAATACCCTTTGAACAATAAATTATTTTTAAAGAATATTGAAGAAGAAGGTCGCGAATTAACAGGCTACATAAGGAAATCAAAAGGAGAAGAAAAAGATGATGTGCGAGTCAGATTATTAGAAGCTATGGCTAATAGGCTTACAGAAAGATGCTCAATTAAAACTATTTATGTTTCCCCCTTTTCTAACAGCATGGATGAAATTGCTTCAAGAGATTTATGCGAGAAGAGCAAATCCTTTGTAAGGCAAGTAAATAATGTGTCTGGTAGTGTCCAAGGTATAATGCGTGTATATGTATTCCCAAAATAATCATAATTGATATCGTTTTTCCTTTTAGACATGATGAATCATCTCAAAACTACCAGTACTGATATATGTTTGATCGTGATCGACTTTGCGGGCCTATCAAGGAACTGCAAAGATATAAGATCCTTTGTCAGGTAATGAAGAAATAGACACTTTTTATTGACTTACTCATAAGCTTACTCTTTGATAGATCCCACCCAAAGTTAAAGAAAAAATATTAATTGATCTTTTACCAGTAAACAACACAGTTAAAACTTTTACTAGAGAAGATATACTGAATGATCATAAATTCATGGGTGATTTTCAATGCAGAAAGGCTCCAGTACAAAGATCTTTATAAGTAAAATCATTTTAGAATTTGATTGTTATAACCACTAAAATATTATGGAACGTATAATATGACTTGTAAAATATCAAATAAGAAAATATTATAATAAAAAGACATAAAAACGTCAACGAGACTGAACAATGGTTCTAAAGTCAATCACTTTATTTATGAATTTAAATTGATAGAGTATTTATAAGAATTGTTAAAGAAGACTGAGATAAGATGTGAGTCAGAAAAGCACTAGTTACGACCGAATAAGATATGTTATGGATAATGAAATCTTAGAAGCTCTGATAATATTTGATGGAATGGATCAAGAAAGTTTCAGGAGAATATAGATAGAACTCCTTGAATAAATTTATGATGACAGAATGCGAATGACTATATAAACAAAAAAAAACCTGTCTAGCACCCTTTTAAAATTAATAAAATAATTAGTAGATACTCGAGTATTAAGGATTTCCAATTAGTCTAGTAAACCTTTTTCCTTGTTGCAGACAAAACTTTGTGTTTTTTATATTTCGAATATTCTGCATTTACTCTAAGACGAAACACTAAAAAAGAATGTTTAGGATTATCTTCATAACATAGTTCTAAATCTCCAATGTTGCCTAGACTTATTCTCTTCGTTGAATTCTTCACAAGAAAATATACACACCTCTTGTTCACGAGAAATGTTGCACATTACTATGATGATGATATTCTTTAGTAAAGCAGACAAAATAAAAAAATTAAATACACTGGTTTAGTGTCTAAAACTAGATTACTTTATATTAGATTCTTTCTGATTTACGTCGCTAATAAAAACCAATAGTAAGGTGTCTTAAGCATGCCACCTTTTTTATGATGTACAACGGCTTTATCTTATAAAATATAATGTAGGTCGCTCTAATGGTCAGAAGGTTATTGTGTGTCACAATTATGACTATAGCTCTCGGGACGATTAACTATGTATTCGCTGTCTTTTTTTCTTCATTATTCAAAAGTTTCTACATACTATGGTTACTTTTTTATTTGAAAATGGAGATGGCAAAGTTTTTAGTGAACATAGAAATGAAACTCATATATACGAAATGGAGATTGACAACCAACAATATCCCTTAGAACAATTGACAAGCTACGACCAGTACATAGATTTTAAATCACCTGAAAAAACTGACAAGAATGAAAATCGAAGAGCTAGAAGTGGAGTTAACTAATCGACAAACTCTGGAACAACGTATAGTGTCGATTCTGGTAAAGAGTTTTATTTTATTTTCTTTTTTGTAGTGGTGTGTGAATAAAATGTACCAAAATTTATTTATTTTTTTTTACGTTCTACGAATACTTTCTGAAAAAGGTGTAAGCTCTCTTGTAAGCACAGTATTTTTTTTAGTTATCACATGCATATACTTTCTCTTTTAAGGCATTGGTCATACATAAATATTATTTCTAATTATACTAATGCTTAACGATATCTATGTAGATTCAACTGAATGAAATTTTTTATTTTCTTTCTCATCTCTTCCAACTAAATTCTTCTTAATTACTATCAATACATGGAATAGACAATGAACAAATTATTTAAATCATTTTATAAAAATTCAATAATCATAGAAATTATTATAGCATCATTCATTATTACAAAGATTATATTTTCAAGTTTAAATTAAATTATACAAATAGAAAACATTGATTTGAATTATACGATTTGTATTATTTTAAAGCGAATACAAAGCTTTTGTATTAAAAATAATACTAATTATTAAATGGAATTTCATCCGTGAACAGAACATTCAGTCATGTAATCATGCTTCGTTGTCTGATGAAACATAGTTAATATCCGAGTACTGAGTGACTAAAAGTACCATTCTACGTTAGATACAATTAGTTAAAGAGTCTCGTTATTGTTTTAATAAAGAAAACAAAAACAAAAAAAAATAAAAATAAAAAATTTTAAAGTTTAAATACTTTTTTTTTAGAGGAAAGTTTAACAACGTGACTATCATTATTTTCAAAATTACCTTCTGATGGACGGGTATTTTTTTTTTATTTTTTTTTTTGATTATTTAGCACAAATAAAATGTCGAAACAACAATCTATTGAAGGGTTAACAGTAAGAATTTTTGATGTTCCATCAAATGAGAAATCTTCAAAAGGAAAACAAGGATATCGACAATATACAGAAAAGATAGGTAAATTTAAAGGCTATTCATTTATATATAAAATGCATATGATATTGAATATGACTGTGGTAGGTTCGTCTACTTTGGAATATAGTGTTCACACTTGGAATGATGATAAATCAAAAGGTAAATTACTAGTTATGTTCAAAACATTCAAATTTATTAAAAATAAATAAAGAAAATGAAGAGAAATCCAAAGAAAGCAAATAGCATAGTTGAAACTAGATCTTAAGTTAATAAAGATAGAATAAATACAGATAATATACAAATTTATAAATATTTTTCTGCTTTATTAAAAAACCGCTTTTTAGACATTTTATAAAGAAAAAAAAATCTTTTTTTTTTTTTATTTAATTTTTTCTTTAGTTGGACCAAATGGATGATGATGGATTTATAAAAGTAGAGCGATTTAAATACAAAACATTAAACAATAAAAAGAAGAATAGAAAGAATAATAAATATAAATTTAATGATTCAGATGAATGGAATATAGATGACATTACTTTAGTCTTAAATCAGCGCAAGTAAATTTTGCAAATTAAAAATACAATAGAAAACACATTTATACAAATTAATTTTAGAGAGACCCTTTTGAATAGTCGATTTTATAAAGATTTACTTGGTATATATTTATATAGACACAATGTACTATTTAGATTCACACTTAATATTATTATTATTACTTTTTTTTCTTTAGTCATATTTGATAAATATTTAATTCCTATTAACCCTTATGATATCGTTTGCTATGGTATTGGCTCTATGCAAAAGTCGAAGAATGCCCAATATCAATTTGTTCTTGCTTTATTATTAAGAGACATATTAAAAGTAAATTATAAATAGAATAATAGATGTATAGTTATAATAATCTCGTAATAGATTCCAGGCAAAATATTTATATATGATCCTGTCATGACAGAATTAGATAAAGAATTATGTCAACTTCATAATTTGGAAATCATTAAAGAAAATGAATTTGGAAAAAGATCAGTTACGAGAGCAACTTTATTTTATATGCCTCATTGTGGAAAAGGTTTATATAGTAATACTCTAAGTGCTAACTGGAATGCAGAACAATTACCTAATGTTTCTATTATCGGTAATCGATTTGATATGTATGTTGGCAGGTAAGTTTCAATAATGGGAAATTTGATTGAATCATTTATTTTTATTTTGCCATTTAGCCAACTGGAAAAAGAACTCATAAAGGAATGTCCATATCTTATTCCTGCTATTGACATTGTTAACTGCATATTATTTCCTAAAGAATTTGATAATAATCAAATATTTAACGATTTATCCATTCAGACTTTTCCAAAGGAGAATGTTTCTAGATTAGATTCTCAATTTTGGTTAAATGTACCAACACAATTAGAATAAAGTATTATTTATTTTCTTATAATGACATATCCATTAAATCACCATTGGAAACTGAAACAAGCTTTTCAATAGAAGTTTTCAATACAGCTGTAGTACCTCTAGGATAACGGTAACTTTGTTCTTTAACCTCACGTTCATTAGGACGAGCATAGTTACGGAGGTATTCAGTTTTGTCTTTTGTAATTACACATACATCAACATTTGAACCAGATCCAAGATCATTGAAAATACCTGCTTCAATTGCTGTCTTAACAATCTCAATAGCCTCTTCACGCTAAAATTGAAATAGAATATGAATAATTAAATATATATAATTTTACGTCTTCTTACTTACAGTCATATCAGGCTTCCATTTACTTTCAAATACACTCATTGCTGCCAATGAACCTGAACCCATAGTGACATAAGGCAATTTATCCGTACTTCCATGAGGATAAACTGTATATAATTGTGGTCCAGTGACATCAAATCCACCTAATACAAGTGCAGCACCAATATGTCCTTGATACCTATTAAAAAATAATTCATATGAGTATTACTATTTATTTTATGCACTCAATAATCTTACTTGAAAAGCATTTGCTTTAATAATGTCATAGCTGTAATAACACGAGGTTTTCTACCAGTTGATAAGCTATGTAATTCAATTTGAGAACTAATCAAATTAGTTGTAAATTCAGTATCTGCAGCTGTACCAGCACCACAACAATAACTAAAAATCAAATATTAATGAATTAAATTTTCGATAAAAAAAAATGAATAATTAATTATCTTTACATGTTTGGAGCAATGTAATGAATCTTTTCACAGTTCTTATCTGCCACAATAGGACCTTCTGTTGCTCTTGTATCAGCACCTAAACAGACACCATCCTGGATAAAAGGATAGATTCATTATTATGTTCATCGTTCAAACAATATCCATGTTACCTTGAATATAACACCAACAATTGTAGTTCCTGTACTGGTTGCTTTGGGAGGTTTAGCACCACTTGCTTCAAGTGCTTTATTTCTATACATTAAAAATTAAAATGATGTTTTGTTTTAAATGTTTCAGAATTACCTTGTATAATTATCAAAGTTAAAGCCGCCCTTCCTTAATTGTACTTTATTAACCATGTTGTCTTTTAAAAAATAAGTTATATCTTGATTAAAAAAAATAAAAAAATAAAAAAAAGGTAAAATGCGTCAGTTTATTAGACGCGTAATACAGTCTCATTTTCGGGTGAAATTAAATTTTTTTGGACGAATAAAATTTATTTTCTTAAGATTGGTAACCATCTTACAATGTAGTCCTTAAAATGACCCATCTCTTACTAAAGATGTTGATAAGGATGCTATATAATTAACTTTTTTTTTTTCCATTATTCTTCATATTGTTTGTATTTAAGTAATCTAAAACACCACTGATTAAACCAACAAAATGCCCACTTAATATCCCAATTCTAGCCTTATGCATTTGAACATTTTTGGTAGAACCAACATCACTTTAAAGATTATAAAATGACATGTAATTATATATTCTGCCATTGTTGCTGTTTTTTTTTTTTTTTTTTTTTTTTTTTTAAAAAAAAACAGAACTTCCTTTGAAATTAAGTATCAAAACAGTTTTTAAACAATATTGATAGTGTTATATATTTTATTCATAGTCTACAGTGTAAAATATTTTCAAAGAAAAAAGCGCATTCTCTCCCTTCCATTAAGAAGCTGATGCTATCATTTTTACGCTTTTCAAGGATGACTTTTGCTTCTGAATAAAAGTAAGCAGGACCATATAATTGCCATGTATAATATCAATTTCTAGATTAATTGGTGATTTGGTTTTTTCTTTTTTCCATAGACAATCTTACTCTGTAAAAAGTCTCCAAAATTATTGGAAATCTTCGACTGAATTGCTCAATCTCATCAAGAGTATATCTTTTCAAAAGTACTCGTAATTAAGCTTCTTTCCTCAAAAAAAAATTGTTCCAATTAGTTAATTTAAAATACTATGATTATTATCAAACTTGTAAAGTAATGATTGTTTGCAATAAATAATACTTTGTGGATATTATTTACTGATCAGTACCATTTGCTTCTATTACTTTCTCTCTTTTATATAAAAATATATATATTTATTGTAAGTTGGTGAAAGTATCTCAAGATAATGTATCTTAATTTTTTTTTTTAAAGAACAAGGATTATAAAGTTGATTTATTGATTCATTACGTTGTGATTGTTAAAAAAGGGATGTAGGTTCTAATTCGTCTAGTAATGAGGATTTGCGATAATTCACTTCCTATTATGGTCGTAAGATTTAATTAGATAAACAGTCATAATAAGATATAGAATGCATTTATATGATAATTCTGTGTATATACTAATGAAACAGATTGTATTCTTGTATAGAAGAACAATTAGTAAGCCTTACATTTGAAAATATATCATATTTCATTGAGGAATATAAAAATGAACTCTTCAACTTTACACATATTTATGAATAGTGCTTATTTTTTTTCTTCCTAATTCAGGTCTTAAAATGTAGGTGCACAAGCTTCATTTATAACAGCAACATTCATAAGTTTTTTTTTCTTCATAATATTACAGCTATTATATTATACTATATGATCTTACATAAAATTCACAAGAGTGTATTCCATGACTACCACTAGTCTAAAATCAGTACGGCATCAATGACTTTTGATAATTACTAGTTCTTTAAGACAAAGCGAGTTTTTGTTTACTCGAGTCTTCTACTATTTTAGGAAAAAAGTCAACAAATCACTACATAAAATAAAACATTTTTTTCAAATAGCGACGTCAATTTCGCGTAAATTTTGTTATTTTTATTAAATGTATTACTAATACTCTTTCTTCGAAATTTGTTTTTTTTTTTTTAAATAGTCTTCTGGTAAAAATTATATGATTGTCGTGTAATTATACTACTACTGCTGCTAACTTTAATATTCTCGCTTATTTCTTTTATTATAATTTACATTTGAACAATTTTCATTCTTTGCTTTGCATACTTCAATTTATATTTAACAAATTAAAGGTAGCAATTTTATTCTAAAATAATCGAGAAAACGAATAAAGACTTATAGTAAAGTAAGAGGGTATAATTTTTTTTTAAGAAAAAAATAATCAACTAATTAATTAATTAATATCACTAGAAAGATGTTGTTAATTATCAATGAGGTTAGCTATTTAAAAGCTGCAGAGTGGAAGGATTGGTCCGTGGTGACATCTGCCTTTTTGCTTTCCATGAGGTTGAAGCCACAGTTCTACGCCCATTGGATGCTGTTTTCTGAAGCTTGCCGTTACCTTACTAGTACAAGTATTACTCTGGAAGAGGTAGAAACAGTCCATGAATTGCTGAAGAAATTTCTTAATCAATTTGGCATGGTGTATGGTGATAATTCTTTATTAACTATTAATATGCATAATCATTTGCATATTAAAGAGGGATTATTGGATTATGGGCCTGCCATGTCACATTGGTTATTTAATTTCGAACGCTACAATTCCGATTTAAAAGGCTATAATACCAACAACAAGGGATGCGTCGAATTAACAATAATAAGAAAAATTTTATATAATATCCATCAAGAGGATTACTTTAATGCAATTCCTATGTATTTTGAAGATGAAAAAAAATTGAAGCATTTGTTTTGTGATACTGTAATAGTTGAAGATAACAACGATGTTGATAAAAAAAAAGAGAGAAGGTGGTGAGTCAAATAGTTCAAATCATTTTGATCTTGAATTATTCCTAGAAAAAGAAGATGGTGAGGATGGTAAGTTGTTCGGTCACGAATTGCTTCCATCTAGTGTCCTTAACAGTATTAGAGTGGAGCAAGAAATAGCATTAGATGACGAAGTCCTCGGATGCCTCGTTGCCTACTATAATCAGGTATATGATGGCTGGACTTATATTGGTGAATCTGATATTTCAGTTGAAACCAATAGAGTCGAAGGTGGGTCCTATGTTAGTAGGAAAGCTTGGAAGTTCTCTTCCATTCAAATCTTTGCTAACAAGTACCGGTCCGCGGGGGGTGATCTCTCTCGAAAACACCGAGGATCTTATGCTCGTATCTATTGTGATGTGAATCCTAATATGGGCACTATTGAGCAGGAACCTTGCTTAAGGCCTGCTCAAATCATTTATTTCTTTTGCCATCATGTTGAAACTCTCGATGATAGTGGTAGTTTGGTGACTGTTTCAAACATCTACGCATTTGTTAGGTAAAAATATTATTTTTTTTTGGTTTTTGAACACTGTTTTCATTATTTATTTTATTTTATTTTATTTCATTTAGATGGTTTAAGAAAACAAGGCACAATTTTTATTCTTATCAACAAAACAACATGGAAGTATGGAGTAATGAATTCGAACCTTCAACAGCAATGTCGATTGTTCCTATAATGCGAATTCATTCTCCAATTGCAATTATGTTAAATCATTTTGATGGCATCAATGTTATAATCAACCTTCCCCGCCATTTAATAAACAACTAAAAAAAATAAAAAAATACGCTTTCTTCTCGTTTTTCATAATAGTAGTTTCTGCTTTATAATATGTTTAATATATTGATACACTTTATCTTTGTAAGAACTCCAATTTATTTTGTTTAATGATAAAATGAAAGAAGTATATATAAGCAAAGATATTAAACAATGTATATTCATATTTTTGTTAATTCATTACATCGTCTATTTGTATACATTTAGGCTACAATACATCTGTTTTATAATATCAATAATGAAAAAGATATAGGCAGACTAAACCTCATCTAACTCGGGGATACTATTTCTTTTCTTGAGTTGGTTTCTGATTATTGAATCAACATGCATATTAATAAATTTCCTATTTGCAGTTATATGCTTTGTTAAAAAGAAAGATTTCTATTTCTTGTTTACATATATTAAATGGCATGCAATTTCCCTTTAAGGGCCTTCTCCACATTCAATATTTTGTTCATAATAATGATATAAAATCTACTGTTTCTTACTTTAATATCTGCTATATTTGCCTCACCACCTTTTTGACCTATTTACCATTGTTGTTATCAATGAGCATCAAAAGGTTCAAGTTATTTATATTTTATTTTATTTTTAAAAGGTAGTAACAAAAGGCAGAATATGAACTATTAACTTATGAACAACAACGAAATAGCTTATACAATCGCAGCAAATTCTTGACGATAATAAATAAATAACAAAGGATTCAAGTATATCTAAACAAAGTTCAGTAGTGTTTATTTATATTACAGTTATAGTAATTTAAATATCTATTGAACGAGTTTTGAATCCTAGTTATTTTTTTTTCTTTTTTTAATTCTAATGATAGTTTTCTTCTATGGCTTACTTTAGACAAACACAAGGTTTTTTGTTCAAAAATTTAGAAAATACATAAAATGAGTGCAAGAAATTACAAATTAAAAAAAAAGAAAAAAAAAAAAGCACACATATTTTTCAAAAAAAGGTTTTTTATGGATAATCGTAAAAATGAAAATGGTATTAAAAGAGAAGAAACAATGGGTTAGCCTTAAAAGTGAAATTGCATTTAAAAGAAGGACAAGGGGCTCAGAAAAGCAAGCTGTTGATGGCTAGTTCATCATCAGCAGGTATGTAGTCCACATCAAGCTTTACCTTGGGATTGATTTTCAAACTAGCAGTAAGCAAAGTAGGCATCAAGTCAGGGAACTGTCTGTGCGAACGATTATAGGCTCTTTGGTTAACAATGTGAGATTCTCTCAAGTTAGCGATGGCCGTCATTGTTTGCTGAATCATGGTTCGCAAATTCCACAATTTAATACAAAGGGACTCCACTGGTAGCTCACAAGAAGTATAGTTGTCAGGAATAACCACACTATTTAGCAAGTTCAGCACGTAAAGACCAGGGGCAAGCGTCTCAAAACTCCAGAATCGCAACTTGTTTTTCTTTGCATGTAAGAAGAAGATACGAATAGTAGTGAATACATCAAATGAAGCAAATTTGTAAGTGTAGGCACTTTCGGTGAGTATTGCAATTAATCCATATCCAGCTTTAACATGATCCTTAATAAATCTGCTTTCATCGTCAAGTTTAAACGCACCAGACACCTCCAGAAGCACCAACTCGATGCGAACATCATCAATGAGAGCCGAAATACAGCCATCAGCTTTATAATGCTGATTGTTGCGGATGTTTTTTCTGGGAAAATTCTTTGTCAACAGATACTAAACGATATTTACCACAATGAAACTTCAGCTCGTCAACAGTGGCAACAACAGTATCCAGTAAAGGCCAAATGACATAGTGGGAGTAGTTAGATTCTTGATCAGTGACACAAATGCCGACAAATATTGACTTCAAGAAGATTTCAAGGACAGAGGTCACCATGAATACTTGAGGGTCTTGTTTGTCTTCATAGGTAATTTGGTCTAACTTTTTTGACATTAACGACTTATCAGAGGTCTCGTCGAATATAGGGTCAAATATTCCAACATTATTTGAGACAGGATTGACGCTTGTAGATGGAGTATATATAAGCAAATTATATAGTTCAGGAGAGTAAAAGTCTCGGCATTTTATCTTATTTCCACATTGTATAGTTCCCAACCGTGTCATGGTTCTAAGATTTATAACTTAATCCAATAAGATAAATAGCCATAATAGAACATATAGTGCACTTGTACAATAATTCTGTCTATACACATAATAATAATAATAACTTGTACTAGAATTATAATTGAACTTTATTCTTAATAAAACTTATTGACAAGTCTTAACGTACTTCTTCTGTCTGTCTTATTATTTATTTCTTTTACTCTATTTTAATTATTTAACTTACCTAAACCACAACAAGCAGTTCCAAACTGTACTCGTGCAAAGAATCATCATTAAGGGACAATTTCCAGCACACCCAAAAAATCGTCTTGACTGTTTATAGTAGGTTGGTTGGTGACACAATCAAATGCAGGAGGCTCAGAGAGAGAATTACTTTCAATAGTATGCGTGGGGACTTCAGTAAGAGGGGATGGTTGGCTTTCTGCAGGAGATGACACTGAGAGGCAATTGCTTTCATCGATTAAAGAAGTCTGAGGGTCAGAGGGAATTGCACTGTTATCAAAAATTGATTAATAAGAAATATGACTAATATATTAATGATTTCCTCGTTTACCTATTGTATTTCTTGGTAGGAGGGTTTTCGAATTCATGATTCTCTAACTCCCTCTTTTTACTGTTATTATCATAATAGTTGTTGATGTTTCCAAAAGAAAATCCGTGATTCCTCGATCTTTTCATGTCAACATTGATAGTTTGATTAGAGGTACTGGCTGGCAACGCTTCAGCTGATTTTGCTTGCTTGCAAAAGGATCTCCAGTTTGTAAGTCATGACTCCACTACATTGTTGGCTTCTTTCTTTAATTGTTCATGGAATTTTGTCAACTGTTGCTCTATAGTCAAATTTGGATTAGTTTTTTTTAAAAGCATCAAAAGCATCACGTAAATTCCAAGCACTCTTCTTCGTAGTGTCCAAATAGTTGAAAGTTTTATACATTTAATTGTAATAGTGATTTTATTTCGCAGCGGGGGGAAACTGATTAAGATTTATTTTCCAAGTTGCTATCCTTTCTTGTCCTTTAGGAAGGTTTTAGTCCTCTTTCCTCTCTATAACTGGCTCGGGCAATATTGCGCATTTATTTCGTCGCTGCATGCTCATTGCCAAAAATTTGAAGGAATAAAACTCAGAATTAAATCGTACACACTATTGAATACAAAAAAAAAAAAAAAAAAAAAAAAAAAAAAAAAAAAAAAAAAAAAAAAAAAAACTGTAGAAATCAAAGCTGATAAAAAAAATTTTTTTGTAAAAGATGTTCAAAAGTAGGATGATTTATCCAATAGAAATTTAGAATGCATAACAAGCACTCACATTATTTGGTAGTATATTACTACTACAAACTTCAAATAAAAAGAAATAAAGTTTATTGGATAAACTACATCAAAATTTTAAAGATTCAGAAATTGTTTGATAGAAACAACTTTCTGTTGTTATCGGAGTTTAGACTACCGTATTATTTTTAGACTTATCCAGTAATTACGATAATACCATTGTCTATCTTATTCTATTCATGAATAAAAGGTTAAAGAGGTGATACATGCCTGTCCCTGGTAAATATGTATCAATATAATTATATAATCCTCATCTTTAAGGTTTACTCGTATCTTTTTTTTTCTTATATCTTGTATGCCTGTCTTACTCAAGAATATAAACCTACTTCCAAAAATATCTTCTATGAGGCATACCATTTATTGTCATATTTTTTTAAAAATAAAATAAAATAAAATAAAATAAAATAAAATAAAATAAAATAAAAAAAATAAAATAAAACACAGCTCAGGTAGCAACATGTATCACGTTTTTTCGGCTTCATTTTCATCAACCAAAAAAAAAAAAATAAGGCCAATAAGATACGAAGCCATTTATTTACAATGAAACACCTATCACGGACCCAGTCCGATTAGTATAGAAAAAATAGAAATTCTGGTGAAACGAAGATCAAAAGTTCAACTTACATTAATTCACTGTTTTATATATAAATATACATATTTTATATATTTTTTTTTTAATTCCTTCTATATCGAATTTTATAAAAAGTAGAACTAAAATTCATGAATCCTTCAGGAAATAAGAATGTCGAAGATTATCCAGAAAATAGTATGTTCTTTTTTTTTCTAAAGAAAATAAAATAAAGTTAATAATTTGAGTGGTCTTTAACTTTTCCTTTTTTTTTTTTTAGGTTTAAAGCAGTACAGTAACAATCAATCATCAGATAAGCATTTTACATCAATTGAAATAAACAATAAAGATATCCCATCAACACAGCAAAATAATAATAATAATAATAATAATAATGTTGTGGCAGAGACATTACCCTATTCTGTATATAAATCATCACCTTTAAAAATGCAGGTGGAACATTGGGATAATGGTCAACGACAGGAAGTTTACGAAGAACGTCCTTTAATTATTGATAATAAAGAGAATGATAAGCTGGATAATTCACTCGGGCTAACAGAAGATATAATAATGAAAGATGATTTTGTATTAGATACAAAACTGGAAGATACTGAAGGTGATATAGATGATGATAAAGACCATGATTTCAACTGGAACGATGTGGATATGGATGAAAAAGGAGATGCTGATGAAAAAAATACGAAACGAAGTAACACTTATCGACGTCTAAAAGCAGTCTACGATAAATATTGCTTTTGGCATTACTTGTCACCTTTTATAAAGCGAGTTGTAATTGCTGCTATTGGTTCAAGTGTTTTTATTACGATTGGTGTATGTATTTATATCTATTTTCCAAGACCTACATTAGCAGACTTGGAAGATCCAAATTATACAAATGTCCGTGATAATGTTCAAGTTTGGATGTATTGGGCAGCATTTATGTGGCATATTACTTGGATCACAACATTCATGATTGATGCTGTGCCTCATCTTGTATCAAAATGGACCAAGTTTTTTAGAGGCGGTAGATCTGAACGTGTAAAGTCATACTTGGAGTATTATCAATCCTTAAAATTATACATTGGTTTGGTGATTATCTTGGCTTGGAATTGGGGAAGTTGGGCTTTCCTAATTGATATTCCTTATCAAGTAAGAATTTCATTTTATTGACAAAAAAACAAAAAAACAAAAAAAAATGACAGTATTCTGATTATATGTGTATAGGCTGTGCTTAAACAATTTTATACTACTACAATTTGGCGTATATTTGCATGCTTATTTGTGGCCTCCGTTTTTTTGCTGGTTCAAAAAACAATTATTCAAGTCATTGGTAATAAAAATAAAGTAAAATCGACAGTACATCAATCTAATGCTTTATTTAATAGCCAACCGTTTCCATAGATTTGCTTTTGAAGACCGTATAAAAAATAATAAAAAAGCTATCAAAGGTAAAAAAAATAAAAAAAAAAATAAAAAAAAAGTTCCCTTTTTTCTTATAAAAAAAAATGATTATATAGTATTGGATATTCTTGGAAAGGTAGAATATCGAAATACTCGTTTTTCTGCAGCCCAAACAAAATTAAGAAACAGAAAGAATAATCGACCTACACTTAATAATCAACAGCCTACTAACGAAACAATAGAAGTTACATCAGGACAAAGTTCAAGTGTTTTAACAAACGATTTTACAATAAACAATCAGAACGGTTCGCGTAGTGGTTCAGCCGATTTACTATATTCATTCAAAAAGAATTTAAAAAAGGCAGTTATTAATGATCATCCAAGGGCTGTACGACGTCGAGAAGAGCTAGATATTAATTCTGATGATTACGCAAGAAAAAATGCTAAAAAACTTTATATATCACTTGCTTATCCACAGGGGGTTCCATCAGATGAACAAGAAGCACGTCGATGTTTGCTAATTTCAGATTTTGAACCTTACTTCAAGACAGCACAAGAAGCTAAAATAGCATTTGATATCTTTGACCGTGATGGGAATGGTGATATTACTCGACGTGAGTTTCGAGATACTGTCCTCCATATTTATAGGGAGCGTAAAGATATTGCTATTTCTATGCGAGATACAAGTCAAGTATTGGGCAAGATTGACTTTATGTTATTAATTGTATCCTTGATTGCCTTACTCTTAACCTCTTTCGCAATCTTTAATGTTGAAGTATGGCATTCCCTTGTTCCTTTAGGTTCTCTTTTGTTAGCCATGACATTTGTTTTTGGTAATACTGCTAAGAACACATTTGAAAGTATCCTATTTTTATTTGTCACTCATCCTTATGATACTGGTGATTATGTCTTAATCGATGGTCAATATTTACTTGTTCATAATATGGGTATCATGGGTACAACTTTTATTAGTGGTGATGGTCAAACCATATACGCACCTACAACCGTGTTAATGACAAAGCTTATTACAAACGTAAGACGATCAGGCAATATGGGTGAGACTATCAAGATTAATGTAGATTTTCGTACAACTACAGAACAGTTCTATGAATTGCACGATCGACTAAGTGCTTGGGTATTGACACAGCATCGTGACTTTGGAGCTGGATTAGATGTACGTGTTCAAGACATTATTGACGTAAACCAACTCATCTTAAACATTTGGCTACCTCATAAGGGTAACTGGCAAGAACTGGGTAAACGATTCAAGAGAAAAACTCGATTTATGTTAGCCTTGAAAGATATTTTGAATGACTTGAATATTCGATACGAATTACCTACTCAAAAGATCACTCACACAACACCAAATGGGCCTTCGATATTTAATAATCAGTCATATGGACATGCTTCACAACTTGAAGTGTCTTCTCAATCATTTGATACAACGCAACTTTCTACGCCCTCAGATCCTCGAGAAGCAGCAGCTTTAGAAGCTATTAAAAAAGAAAGGATTCAACGTGGACGATATAATGTTGATCATAGCGGGTCAGCATCTTCTACTGGTGATGGTGGATGGTAGTAAAAATTAGTTTTTATAATAATTTAATCCATCTCAATGTATTTGCGGAAACAAAAAATATATATATATATATATATGTATATACATATGTGTATATAAATATTGAATTATATGTAATTTATTTAAGTTTTATTAATACAGTTTTTTTTTTTTTTTAATATATCCGATTTTATAAAAAAAAAAAAAAAAAAAAATTGTTAAATACAACATTTACAATGTCCGCAATTTTTGTTTCTTAATTTTATTAAAATTAATATAGTCTATTTGAGCTTCTATCAAAGACAATTGTATTTGTTGCTTATTACACTTTCTTTATTATATATCAAGTAGTTGAATTAACTGATATATCTAGGAGAGAAGGAATAAAAGAAAATAGAACCACCAATAATAACCGCCTGTTTAGTAAAAGAAGAGAAAATCTTGATCTGTTACTATTGTACCTGAAAATCCTTACCGGGAGTATAATTTTAATAACATATCTTTTCATTCAGTCGCGCTTTCATTATTCTCTCATTCCAAAAAAAAAAATGGGTATTTTGATCAGCATCAGCATCAGCATCATATTCTAGATTTCATTCGTTATACACAAAAAAATAAAATAAAAAAATAATAAAAAAGGCACTAGAAGCGGAGTTATATTTTAGTGTTCTTAATGTTACACAATTTATTATGTTAATAATGAATATAGGAGAAACATAAAGCGGATATTATATGCATATACATCTATATTAAACACAATTCATTATGAATCAAATTTTCCCTTTCCCCTTTGGCCTTTACGTATTTGTTAAAAAGAGTAGATAGGGTGAAGAAGAAGAAGAAGAAGAAAAAAAACAAAGGGATCTTTGATTTTGTAATAGGAATACAAAATTACCATTTTAGGAAATATAAGTTAATTTACAATTTAGCAGCGCATGAGTTTATACTGTCATATATAAAATTTATAAATAGTCTTTCTCTCTCCTCCTCCTCCCCCCCTTATTCTTATTTCATTCAATTCTCGGGCTTTTTTAGTTCTATTTCAGCTCCTCCTCGTACTTCTTGGCTTTTTTTTTTATTAACTTTTTTTTTTATTTTTTCCTTTTTTTTCCTTTTTTTTTTTTTTTTTTTTTTTTTTTTTTTAAATAACTTAACTTTTGTCATTCCTTATTATATCAAATGTCACCTGTAAATTATCCACCAGGAGGCGGCAGTGGACATACTGGTAATGAATATGGTTACCAGCCGCCTTCTGACAACAACTTTTATTATAATAATGGACCAACATCAATTGGACGTCGTCCAACAACTTTAGGAAGAGCACCTACTCGTCGTATTGCACCTGGTGCAAATTCTATAGCAAATGCCAGTCATAATATTCAACGAGGTCGTACACTGATTCGTCCTGATCGTTATCAAGAACCACCTCCTCTTTTGACTGGTAAACCACAAACGAGTCAAAGTTTATTTGATCCCTGGGTCCTGTTTTCTCGTATCGTCACTTTTTGGGCATTACCGCCTATGTTAAAAGCTTTCAAGATGGGTGATGCAGGTATGCAGCAAGCCTGGAGAGAAAAAATTACATTATGTTTTATTATTGCGTGTATGGGTGGTTTTGTAGCTTTTATTACAATTGGGCTCAACTCTGTTTTATGTCCACCAGATCAAGCAAATAACCAACAAAATTACGCTTCTTATAACGATACAGTCAATTCTCGTAAGTCTAATTTTTTTTTTCTTGCAATAGTCTATATATTTTTAACTCTTTTTTTTTCTTTTTTTTTTTTCTCCTATCTTTTTTTTTATTATTTTTATTATTTTTAATATTTTTATTATTACTTTTATTATCATTTTATTATATTTTATATTGTCTTATATTATTTTATATTTTATATTATTTTATATTCTTGTAGCAAATTTATTGGGTATTTTAGGATGGCAATTCAATATTTCGGAAGCAAAACCTACAGGTGGCCTTGATTTTTATAAGTTAGCTGCTGTTCCTGGCACAGATATTACAAATTATTTTACACATGGTATGAATATCCCCGAATGTATCAATCCTGGCAATGAAAAGACAGCCACTTTTGCTGCAGTGACTCTGAATCCCTGTTCATCTAATATGGTACAAGGTAGCTGTCTTTATGGTGATACTTCCATTTCTAATCTTCAAGGTACTTATGGCTTGGTCAATACCAGTCGACAAGTAGGCTTTGATTGGACTCAATTCGCTACTCCAGAATTATCCTACTATATTGTGATTGACGGAAATGTGCTTAATATGGAACCTTATATGAAACAATATCCTAATCCTATAGAATCGGACGATCTTGATCATATCATTCGTGGATTACTCAATAATTCATTCGCCGAAGGTGGACGTGATGGTACAAAAATGTTTTATAGAAGACGAGAGTTTCAGGCCTCTATTCATTGCCTTGTTCAGAAATATCGAGCTGGGCATATCGACAAGTCAACTACAGGTTGCTTCGTGTCCTCTATTATCCTTGCTTGTTCTTTAGCTGTTGTTTTAGCTATCGTCTTGGCCCGTTTCTTGATGGCTCTCATCTTTTCTTGGTTTCTTTCTCGAAAATTATCTCGTACACCTTCTGCTTCACCTAGCTCTGCTATGGGTACTGTATTGAAAAATCAAACAATGGAAATGTCAGAGATTGGTATGATGCAAAAAGCGGATTCAGGTATAATAAGTAATAAACGTATGGTTGAAGTTGGAAATGATCTCTATACTGTTTTGTTGATTACTTGTTATTCGGAAAATACGGAGGGTATTAGAGCTACTGTTGAGTCCTTATCTGTTACTGATTATCCTGATGATCGTAAATTATTATTCTTAATTGCTGACGGTATCATTACAGGTCATGGTGAAACTGTTTCAACCCCAGACATGTGTTTATCTTTAATTAATTTCGATGATAGTAACCCAAGTATGAAGGAACCTGAACCGATGCCTTATATTGCTGTAGCTGTGGGTGCTAAACAATTTAACTGTGCCAAAGTATACGCCGGTCATTATAGTAAGTTATTTTTTTTTTATTGAAAAGGGAAAGGAGTAGTAATGGTGGTGGTAGTGGAAATAGATACAAGATAATGAATATTTACATATATATTTTTTTTAATAGTTTGTAAAGGTCATAAAGTGCCAATGATTCTAGTTGTCAAGTGTGGCAATCCTGATGAACAAGGAAAACCCAAGCCTGGCAATCGTGGTAAACGAGATTCACAACTTATCTTAATGAACTTCTTCAGTAGAGTGACATATAATGATCGTATGACGCCCTTGGATTATGATTTGTTTAGAAAAATTCAATACCTCATGGGTGTCACTCCTGACTACTTTGAACTTGTACTCATGGTTGACGCAGATACTAAGGTCTATCCAACCTCAATGCGATTATTAGTCAATTGTATGGTAAATGACAATTTAATCATGGGCTTATGTGGAGAAACAAAGATTGCCAACAAACGAGATTCATGGGTTACAGCTATTCAAGTCTATGAATATTTTATCTCTCATCATTTAGCAAAAGGCTTTGAAGCCGTCTTTGGTGGTGTCACTTGCTTACCAGGTTGTTTCTGTATGTATCGTCTTAAGGCTCGTAAAGGTGACGGTGATTGGGTTCCAATCATTACAAAGCCTGAGATTGTACAAGAATATTCTTCAAATACCATTGATACCCTTCATCAAAAAAATTTATTGTTACTTGGTGAAGATCGTTTCTTAACTACACTCATGCTTCGTAATTTCCCTTTCCGTAAAATGGTCTTTACCCCTCAGGCTATCTGTAAGACTATCGTACCTGATGAATTTAAAGTCTTGCTCTCACAGCGTCGTCGTTGGATCAATTCAACCATTCATAACTTGTTTGAGCTTGTGTTGGTTCGTAATCTTTGTGGTACATTCTGTTTCTCGATGCAATTTGTGGTCATGATGGATTTGGTCGGTACTCTCACGTTGCCTGTCGCTATTGTCTTGACTGTCGTCTTGATCGTCTCTATGGCTAAATCATCCATCACTAGTCTTAGTTCCGCCTTGCCATTAATTTTATTGATCATCGTTCTGTTTTCACCTGCTTTCTTAATCTTGATTACCACACGAAAATGGGTCTATTTGATGTGGATGATTGTTTATTTATTTGCTTTACCTATTTGGAATTTCGTGTTACCCGTTTATGCCTTTTGGCATTTTGATGATTTCTCATGGGGTGAAACACGTAAAGTAGAAGGCGAGACGAAAGAAGATCATTCAAAGAAAGATGGTGTCTTTGATCCTTCAAAGGTGCCATTGAAGAGATGGGAGGATTACGAACGTAAACGGTTGAGAGCTAACAAGAGAAGAGAGCGCAAGGAGAGACAGATGAGAGAGATGGGTCCTAATCATCTAATGCATGCGATGGTACCATCGGAAGAAGATGAATCAAAAAGATTATTGGGAGATGACGATGATTCAATTTCTAACATGTCATATCAAACAGACATGTCACAGACTGCTACTCCAGCCCATTATTTTGATCCATCTAAAGAGGCACCTGCAAAGGCTGGATCTGGATATTATCCAACCTATAGACCTCAATCTATGGCACCACAATCATCACCTATACCTAGAAGCACTATACCGTTACAACCTACTCCCACTGCTCCAGGCCCTTGGGGTCCACAACAAAACTATGGATCACCGCATCATCAACAACCTCCATCAATACCTCAACAGTATACTCATATCGGTCCTAATCCTCAGGGTCGATATCCTAATATGAGACCTAACAATTTACCTCCTAATCAAAATTCTTTTAATGGCTTTTAATATATTTCTTCTTTTCATTTCATTATTTATTTATATTATTTTCCGTTATTTATGTATCTTTAGTATATATGCTTATACTTTTAAAATAATAATAATAAAAAAAAAAAAAACTATTAACTTATTGTTTCGAACATAATCTTAACTGCTTTAATGAGGCTTAACAAACAAAAATTAACTTTTTAATTTCAATCTCAGATGTTGCTGCGACTGCTGAGTTATATATATATGACCAAAATCTTCTACGCCAACAAAGGGGAACACTTTTTTTTTTTTTTTTTTTTTTTGTTGTTGTCTTATTGAAAATCTTGAAAATGGCTTTAGAAGACAATTTAGAAGATAAGCAGCCATTGCTTCGTGAAGAAGAACGAAAAAATAATTTTCAGCAAGGACAATCAACAGCTGGAATTACAACCGAGTCAGCAACTGCAGAATTAACATTTGAAAATAACACATGTACTTGAAATTACTATATTTATTATAATAAAATTTAACCATTTTTTATTTATTTATTTATTTATATAAGCTGTTACAATATTTGAAGCTGCTCAACGAGGTTCTTTTCAAACAATTCATTACTTGATTAGTAATAAGTTAGCAAGTGTTCATGATGTGGACAGTCAAGGTGCTACTGCTTTACATTATGCGACTTTAGCTAACAACGATGTTTGCATTAAATATTTGATTGATAAAGGAGCTGATGTAAATTCACCCGCTGGTGAACTACAAGCAACACCTCTTCATTGGGCAAGCAGGTAAATAATAACAGTTTAATTAAAATGGATCCATTTTCATTAACTATTTTTAACAGACAAGGTCGTTTAGGCGCAGTTCATCGATTGATTAAAGAAGGGGCTGATCCTTCTCTCAAAGATGGTCAAGGCTTTAATGCGCTTCATCTAGCTGTTCATTCCTCTCATGCAATGCTCATCTTATATTTATTATATCTAGATATGGATATCGACACTCCTGATATTGTAGGTGGCCATACACCATTAATGTGGGCAGCCTATCAAGGCCACGCACAGTCTGTTGATTTATTGTTGCGATTTGGTGCTAGTGTCACGGCTTTGGATCATTCACGTTTAACACCACTTCATTGGGCGGCTGTTCGAGGTAACAAAATGTGTATTCGAAAGATGCTTGAATATGGAGCTGACGTTAATGCGCGAGACCAGAATGGAAAATCAGTCATGGATTTTATACAAGAAAAAAAATTTGAAAAAATTTGGGAGAGGGCTGTGTTAGAGTTTGATGCTTTAGCAGAAGATAATCCAGCACAAAAATCTCGCGTAGGAACATATCCTGGATCACTAGGAAAACCATTATCAAAGGTAATTTTTATATGCATAAAAAAAAATAAGAGGAGAACACCGGATATTTATAAATATATACATATATATTTTTTTTGTAGAGCACAGTAAATATCATAAGTTATCTTGCGCCCTTCTTTGCATTAGGATTTGCATTAAAATGTCTTGCCATATTTTCTTGGTTTGTTGGATTACCGCTTGCTCTGCTCACCTTTGTTGCAATGCATATGGGGATTTCAAAATATTTGATTCCAGTAATGAGCCATGATGCTATCTGGAGAACACCTTATTTTTCTAGTATCTTTCAAGCCTCTGCATTTTGGGTAATAGTGACATGGATGTGGGTCCTTGTACCTTGTAAGTAATAATATATAAAAAACCAATAATATATACAAATTGTATTAATATTTGAAATAGCAACTTCTCATTTATTATTCACAAATTTAATATTCTTGATCACTTTCTTTATCGCTATGTTTGCGTTTTTTAAGGCAGTTACTGTAGATCCTGGTTTTATTAAAAAAGATGTATCGAGAGAGAAACAGCAGAAGGCAGTACAAGAATTAGCAGATGAAAATAGACTAGACATTAGACATTTTTGTTTAACTTGTTTAATCAAAAAGCCTTTAAGATCAAAGCATTGCAAGATTTGTAACCGATGTGTAGCAAAGTTTGACCAGTAAGTTCTTCTTTTTGTATCCTTATTGTATTTAATCTTTTTTTTTATTAGTCATTGTCCCTGGATTTTCAACTGTATCGGAATTCATAATCATAGACCATTTTTAATATTCTTAGTTAATATGGTAATTGCTATCATTTCATTCTCTATCTTGGCTATTCATTGTAAGGCTTTTTAATTATTTATGTATGTATATGAAATTTTGATATTCACTTTACTTGGTAGATTTAACTATTACAGCGCCTATTTATGATCATGGGCCAGAAAGTTCCTGTCTTTTAGGCTCAACCCTTTGTGGATATTTTAATTATGATACTTGGACACTATCTTTAACTATTTGGATTCTTATTCAATTGACATGGTCTATATTCTTACTAGGTGTACAGTTATATCAAATTGCAGTTGCAATGACAACAAATGAAAGTGCAAATATTAACAGATATACCTATATGAATGTGGATCGTAATGGACTCATGTCTAATGTAACAGTAGGAGGAACTACTGAGGGATCTGATGGACCTTCTATTGAGGGCACTGCTCATCATCATCATCATAAACATGCAAATGGATTCTGCCCTTGCTTACAATTAGTTGCAGGAGCTAGAGCATTACATAAAGCACGTAACAGTACTATCAAAGGCAATGTATTTGATCATGGATGTTGGAACAATTGTTTAGAATTTTGGTCTGAAGATGACAATATTAACTATTTTGAACTTTACGATATTCACCAACTTACTAAACATTCAACCATGAATGTATAAAATACCCCCCACACACTACCCCTCTATTTCAAATAAACATACATGAATATTTAATTAAAAGCCATGAGTATTATTTAAAGATAGATGTGTGTTGCGGTCGATAAGGCCTTTTTGGTGCTGTTAATGTAGGATCATGATCAAGATAAGGCCTAGATTGTTGTCTTGTTGGTAAAGTGGGCGGTGTCGTTGTCACTGTCATTTTTGCCCATTTACTATAACTTGAGTCTCCTGTATGTAATAGTGGTGATATATTGTTATCTAATATCATTTCATAATCTTCTACCAAATGTGGTTCATCATACACATCATCAATCTCCATTCCCTATGACAACAATGGTTTAGAGGATATATATATATATAACACAAAATTTAGAAGCTTCTGCATTACATGATCTTCATTTTGCTGTAGACTATTTGAACTTGTTGTATTTAAAGATTTTTTTAAAACTATTCGGTTCAATAAGTCCTCCATTTCTAAGGTTGAATCAGCAGAGATTGTGTTAACGTCATGCACCATAGCCTTTATGCAAAGATTTCTATCATTTGAAAGTAATGTAATTCTACAAGAGCCATTACCGGGAAACATTCTAGCTTTATCTTGTGTCAAACGTTGAAAATACCTATTCAAATATATAAATATAACATAATGTATAAAGAATAAAAATTACATGCAACAATCAAGTATTAAATCATCTCCCTTAGCTCGACTATTCTATTGAAAAAAAAAAATAATAATAAAAAAAAAAGTATACCCATTTGCGCATTGATCATTTATACCTTGAGTAAAGTTGTATCTAATATTTCATTCTTTTTTTGTCCCTTTAATGATATTTGTTTATCTCTTAAACGTAGTTCAATAAATCGCATAGCATTTCTTGAACTTAATGCTACGTCTTTACGTCCATTCTATTAGATATATTAGTTGACAAAATATCAGCTTGATTTATTTATTTACTTTTAGTCCGTCAAGTTCTTTAATGACAATCCAAGGCAAAATGACTAGTAAACTATATGGATGCTTATTGGCTAAATCAAGTACTGCATCAAGGTATCCTAATTTTGAAATGAGAAAATTTGTGTCTAATACTGCGATTTCAGCATAACAATCAAGTTCTATAAAATAAGTATAAATATTAATGTTTATAGCGGAATTGTCAGCTTTTGTGTGTGTGTGTGTGTACCTATTTCCTGTTTAGTTGTTTCTTTGGAATTAAAAATGTCAACATTATGAAAACTGTCATGTACACGTTCACGCATATTTTTGATTTCTTTATTGACATCATAAATGAATTCAGGACCATCAATGTCCATAAATTCTGTGTGTTCATTATTCATTCTATTGTTTTATAAAAAAAAAAAAAAAAAAAAAAAAAAAAAAAGTAAATGACAGTATTTAGAAAGAAAGAAAAAAAAAATAACAGCATAGGTATAATGATACAATCTCCGTTGATTTTAATATGATACATGCTCTTTGAATCGTGCTTTTTTGTCAAGTTATAAAACATGAGAATAACAATGTTAACAATAAAATTCCTCTTTATATTCTTTTTCTAGGTGGAGGAAAAAAAAAAGCATACGGCAGCTAATAAATTGAGTAAATGATTGCTGTGAAGCGAGTAGTGTATATTATCCTAATTTAGGTTTTTTGAAGTGTTGTCTCCTAAACTTGCACAAAAATTTTGATAATTGACAACTGATTTGTACAGACTTCTTTATACTATTTAGTTCATTGTTTCTCTTGGAAGAAAAGGATACAAAATATTTTACAGATTATTTAAAAACGAAAAAATCTTTTTTTTTTTTTATCCTTCTCGTTATCCTTTATATAATTTCTACTTTTTTTTTGTATAACATTTTATTCCTATATAACATAATAGTCTTAAGTGAACGGTAAAAATGAAGGATTTTCTTTCTTTTTTAGTTTAAGGCATACACAGTATTTTAGTCTAAAAAGAGACACTTATAAAGTATCTCATAATATTCATGAGAATAACTGCAGACTTACAGATAAGACGTCATATATAAGACACTTCTTAAGAAGATATAGTTAATATGCTCGGAGGATATCAGCTATTTATCTTTGATGGTATGCTACTTTGAAAGTGAAGTAAAGATAAAATTAGTCTACAAGTACAGCAAAGTCACTACATCAGAAGTTTTCAATGACTCTGTCCATAAAATTTAGAAGCAAGAGTGTTTCAAGGAGGACTTGGAGGATAGCTTAAAAGAGATTACTAAGGAATTTTACATGATCTTTATTTTAGACGACGAAAGGGAAAAAAAAAAAAGTAAATAAATTTAGCCCTGAGCAAGTCGGTTACCTTTATCATGATTTTGCAAGAAAAAAAAACATCTATTTCCAGTGGTAGCAAAAAGGTACATGTTTCCAGGTAGTACAGTATACATATTATTTGTTGACTTTAACATCGATGATGGCACTGTCTTGCCCGGGGACTTATTTCAAAAGAAAAAAAAAACATAGACATTTATCCTTGATTGTTGTAAAATCTCTTCAGTATCAACATCATTTTTAATTAAGCAACTGCATCCAATTGAAATGTTTCCCTCAACAATCAAGCTATTGAATCTTTGCCACTGATTAAACACATGTCGAGACTATATTAACAGTAAAAGATTCTGCTGCTAATACTATAGAATAAAGATATGTTAAAGCTAATTTTTTTTCTATTTTACCAAATATTTACACATATATTATAAGCTGTTATATAAAAGATTTTTTTTTTTTTTTTTTGAAGTTAAGCTTAAATTGAATGCACTTTTCAACTAATAATAGTAATGTCATGTATTCATTTCAAGAGCCTATATACATATATACATTTATATAACAATTAGAAAACAAATAGTATTATGTCGAAGTCTGTAGATGCAACTTTAATGTTACAGAATATATTTGTAAATTTATTTATAAAGTAATAATAGAATGAAATAGTATACTAATTGTATTAAAAGAAAAATGAATATATGATACACGTTAGGAAAAGGAAACAAAAAGGAAAAAAAAAAGGAAGTATGTCTTACAATGTATTGGCTAAATGTGTATTAATAAATAAAATCTATAAAGTTTAACTCATATATAGATCACAAGCAATAGGCTCGTTGGAGGTTAAGTTATTAGAACAATACATCATATTTGTTGGATTTATATATCCCGAGGTTTGCATCCACAGTTGCTCTTCATTTGGTAAAGGAGGATGTATATAGGATTGTTGTGATTGCATCATAGGATACATAGTTGGCTCAATAAAATGAACAAGACGTCTTGTCTCTTCATGATTATTGACTAACGCAATTAATTCTTGCTTTATATGATGAGTTACGCCTTTTAATGTATGTCTAAAGAATCGAGATGCTTGTTTGCCTTCAGTAAAATCAGAACATTGAACCCATATTGGGGATGCTACTTCGTCATCTGTAGTCCTTTTTTTCTTTTTATCATTTGATGGCGTCTTGTTAATAGCAATCGATTCCATATAAAATAAGGGAGGCTCGCTAATATCAAAATGAACATCTGCTAACCCTTCATTTACTACAAATTCGATACTAGAGACAGCATTTTGAGCAACTTCCATTTTGAAATGGCATCCACCATCCACTATATGCCATGCAAAGATTCTTGTGTCAGGTCGATAGACACAGACTAGGTCAGTATCATGCATTTTTAAACGATGCCAGGTACCGATTGTTAAAGCACTGACACTAAGATATAGGTCCTTTGGTTCTTCATCATTTACTTGTTCTGTTTTAACATCTATGGGTGTCAAGGGTATTGTTTCTGTATCTTCAGTAAATGAAGTCACGGAGGAATGCTTTATTAAATCAGAGGGATCAATTGTAGATACTTGTTGTGCATTTATTGTTTCTAATAAGAATTGTTATTATTAATATATATATATATATATATATATAAACCTATGTCTATTTTACCTGGAGAAGAAGCTGAAGAATAAGAAGAAGAAGCCTTAGATGATGGAGTAGGACCAGAAATGGAGTTTGTCAAATCACTCGTAGTCAAAACGGCGGTTGGACCTGCATCAGGAACTGAAATCAAGGTAGGCACAGTAGATTTATTCACTTGAGGACTTGAGAAGGGTGACATGGATGGTCCAGACGACATATATTCTGGAAAATCCAATGTATTTAAGAGTGGCTCAATATGATGATCGTAAGGATGAGGCGGCATACTTTGTCTTGTCAATGGTGTATCATTCTGTAAAGAAGGCATCCAACTTAAATGTTGTTGGTTAAAATAGGGAGGATAAGTCATTGTATTGTAAGCCTCTGACAAGTGCACAGCGTCTATACTATGAGCTCGAGCTGGATAACGAGCTGGGTAGTAATAAGACTGTAAAACAGGCTGCTGATGGAAATATTGTGCACGAATAGAAGCTTGATGCATTTGCATCTGGGCTCTCTTTTGCATATGCTTTACTTTAGCTCTTCTATTCTGAAACCAAATTTGGATAGATCTTTCAGTCATTTGAAGTTGTTCTGCCAATTGTTTTCTTAATTTTGAATTAGGACTAACGTTAACTGCAAAAGTATCTTCTAGTACAGATAATTGATCAGCAGTAGCTCGGGTTCTCTTACGAACTGATGGAGCCGAACTTCTATTATTTTGTTCATTATTATCAATAGATGCTGTATTTATATTTGTAATATTCTCAGGCATTTGATGAGGCCAGGTATTAAATTGTTTATTTAATAAAGATGCCATGAGTCTAAAAGTAATAATTTTAATGAAAGAATAAGTTTTTTTTTTATTATTATTATAGGAAAAAAAAAAGGAAAGGAGAAACGATAAATCGTAAGATTTGTAAAATAGCCAAATGAAAAGGGAAAAAAATGTTATAGTGCTTGTACTTTTTTTTTTAAAAAAAAAAAAAAAAAAAAAAAAGCTTTACCATTTTAAGCTAAACAAAGAAACGGTAACAATAGGAGTTTTCATATAGGTAAGGAAAGCTTTTTTTTTCCGCTTATATCTGTTAATTATATACATATAAAAGTAGAAACATTTTGAAGTTATATAAAGTGTAAGCATATAGACATTTTCATAATTTTAGTTTCACTCCCTTTTTTTTCTTCCAATTGTTACTATAAGTGTGTTTAAGACTTGATATATTGTTTTAAATTATTTAATTTTTTAAAATGTGCCTGAAAAAAAAAAAAGGATTTATTCTATGTCTGCTGACTTTTTTGTGTCAATATAGATTTTGAAGCAGTAATAAATTCTCATTAAAAATTTTCTAATTTATCTCAAAAAAAAAGAAAAGAAAACAAGCTGTAATGTTGTTAATTTAATATAAGGAGGTATTATAGTTTGTTTTTATATTAAAATAAACAAACAACAAAATATTTGTTCTTTTTTTTTTTTTTTTTTTTTTTTTTTTTTTTTTTTTTTTTTTGAAAACAGTCTTCGCACGCGCATAAAAGTTACCGAGGTACAAAGGTGACCTGTTTAGAAGGAAAGCACGATGTAAAATTTTAAGTTTTCAACCCAGACTTGTAACCCAACTATTACCTTTTCTTCTTTTCTTTTTCCCGGAAGATCTTTTTCTATAAATAACTTATACTTCAAACTTTGAAAGTCTTGTAAACAAAACAAATAAATTGTTTGATCTGATAATTTATCTCAGTTTATAAACAATAAAAAAAAGCTTATTTTAAGATAGCAAAAGTAATAATATAGATTAGATTTTCTCTAACAGTTCTTGATCAGATTTACACAGAACCTGTTAAATTATCTGCATGCAATCATATACCACTATTTATATCATTTTCTTTAATTTATTGAATAAATACTACTTTATTTTATAAAATATTTGTTCTATTTAAAGAATTAACATAAGCGTTATATCAATTACTTTATCTAACATCAGGAATCGAGAATATACAGCTAAATCGATGAATTTGGTTGGTTTATGAAAATATAATTATCGGTTAGTGAAAAAAAAAAAAAAAAAAAAAAAAAAAAAAAAAAAAAGATAGTTGAAATATATTTGTTAGTGATTGCCGTCTTGAGTTAGAGTAAATTTCATGATTAGGTTAACTCAGATTGTCGGAAACTATATGCCTAACCATTACTGTAAGTTACTATATCATTTTTATAAGTATGAACAGAAAATGTTTTCATTGAATATGAAGATAGTGCAGAGTTTAACAGAAACTAGAAAGAATTAATATCTATTACAATAGTAAAAAAGATTCGAAATCTTGTACTCAGTTGAAGTAATAAAAGTTAAATATCCTTATACTATTTAAACATGGCATATATTAAATAGCAGCCATTCTGTAAAAAACTCCTTTTTCAGTTAATTTTAAAGAAAATCCTCGACAAAAATAAGTTTATAATTAAACCAAGAGGTTCTTCCCGATAGACATATATAAAATAAAAACGTTTTTTTTTTTTTTTTTTCATCTGTCATTATATTATTTTATAAGTGAAAATGAAAAACGATTGATTATAAAATGGTTTAAGCATATACAGTTACAGATGACATATTATTGCATTTGTGACAGTTTATATAATCCAATTATTAATAGCTAATAAGGATCTTTATCATTAAATAGTCTATAAAACTAAAGTAAAAAAAATAAAAAAAAAAAAAATTGTTCTGTGTACAAAAATATAAAATCAGCAAATATACAATTAGCGGCTACTTATCTTCATAGCTTTTTGTTAAACTCAACTACTTTCTATGTTCAGAAAATTGTGACCTATTCAATTGGATACTTAGTAAAAAACGTGGCAAAAATATTAATTAACAGCTTGACTATTGATCCGGTTATCAGTGAAATTATTCTCGGCATAAGTTCTAATCCCGTATATAACTTTTAATGCTTATTTAGAAAATGACAAAGGAGAATTAATTGTAGATATAACTTATTCATATGTGTCTGTAAGTAAGCTAATATATAGTTAATACTATATACACGTATAGTTAAAAGCGAACATCCTAATTATTCGAATAAAGAATATACAAGGAAAAAAAAGAGAGAGTAATAAAGCTAATCAAAAAGAATTGTTGAAAATAGATCAAACAAGAGTATGTTGAAAAGAAAAAGTAAAAATACAAATAATCATGCATTTCTTTCCTTTTAAACTGGTCAAATTCTAACATCTTTAAGCATAGTCAATAAAATTATACTGAAGATGTTATAAGAGAGAGAGGATCCTTCCCCTATTTTTCTAATGATTACTTACATTACTATATTTGTATCTCATATTAAGCTTATATAGCTTATTACAAGCGAATGTAGAATAAGAGTAGATTTACATACATACATATATATATTTAATTTATTTAGGAAAAAAAAAGTAGAACATGTGTTGTAATAATACATTGTACTGAAGTATAAGTGAGTAATAGTAATAATAATAGTAGTAGTAGTATCAGCTGCTAATATTTAATTAACTTTTGAGACTTGATTCCATTGTCTTGTATCTATTAACATGGACGGCAAAAATTTCATTTGAATTTGTAATTTTGCCTCTAGGTTATAATTCCACGCACTCTTTTTGTTTCTTTTCTTGCCTCTCTTGGTAAAAAATATATTAGCCTTTTATAATAAAATGGTATAGCCATAAAAAAAAAGTCAAATAGCCTCGGAGGTTTACAATAATTCTATGAAGATGGCCTTCTATATTCTGTTTTGGTCCTTAGTTTAAAGATAAGTATTATAAATTCAAGTTATTATTGACAATTAAATGCACAAAAAAGAATATATCATAATCAGTATATTATAGTTTACAATTTAATAATATCAAACATTATATATTTTTGAAGCTATTTTATTTGAGGAAACTGTTATAGAACAAGATCTGGATATAGTATAAAAGATGAATTATATATTACAGAATAAGCTATAAGCGTGAACATATAATAAAAGACATCATATCTTACTGTATATAACATCTTATAAATAATATAAACCCTATTGGCATCCAGTCATCTAAATATGTCAACTATAAGTCATCGTATCATTTCTAAATATTTATTTTTATAACCTTGATAAAGGATTCAGGTCGTCTTCGAAAGACATCAGGAACATACACTCAGATCAAACAATGTTTTTTTTTTTTTTTTTTTTTTTTTTTTTTTTTTTTTTATTTAAAATTTAATCAGATTATTACAACACACAATAGATAATCCTTAGATCAGTTGCTTGAACCAACACAATGTATATCTGAATACTAACACTGTTTCATGACTCATGTTCTTTGACAGTTATTTATATTTCTTTGATCCAGGATTCATTAGTATAAATACAAGTAGTTGTTTAGACACAAAATAGTCCTTATATCATTCTTCTTACATTGAATAAACAGTCTCAATCTATACTTCCTTTTGTTGTCTTTCTCTTTTTCTTCTTGTTATTTCTTTTTATTTCTTTCTTTTTTTTTTTTTTTTTTTTTTTTTTTTTTTTTTTTTTTAAATCATACTATCACATCTTTGTCAACTTTTTCAATAGTTTCAGGAGAAAAAGTTAATATTTTGTTTGACTCTTCTTCTTGATCCATATGCCTGACACTATCTGGGAGGTTAAGTGCCTGGATTGTTATGTCTTTTGCTTAGTTATCAACAAATTTTGCTTCTGAATACGAGAAGTCTGCCAGTCTCCTGGGTTTTTCCATGATATTTTTCGAATTGTTCATTAAGTATCTGCGTAGTCATGACTTTGAGGTCCTCAAATATCTCTTTGGCTGTTGTGGCCGAACAGCGAAGTTCCTCCCGAGTGTTTACAATGTTGGGTGATAGTTTGGTAGATGTCAACATTATGTCGTCGAAGATCGGCATGAAAGCACTCGTTGATTGATGTAAGCTGTTGTTCGCTTGCCTCATTCATATCTTGGTAAGTCTCGTTGATATTTCTTGATACATTGTTGGAGGTCAGCTTTGGGAGTGGTTTTCAACTCTTCTTCTACTTCCTTTGGAGGAGATTGATTTCGTTTTGTTATTCATCTTCAAAACGAGCTCGTTATCTGAATTCTCGGTTTAGATTTACAATCTGTTCGGGGTTGAAGCGAGGTTCTCGATGGATACTATAGTTTATTTAGTTCATTATAAAATTATTTCTAATAATAAAAGCTTGATTCAGAGACTCTTTTACAGTATCTGAGGTCTGAATGGAAGAAACTCTAATTGGAGTAAGAATGCCCTGCAATCAAAATTTTGTGTGATCATTCAAAAAAACGTAAAATGGTCAATGAATTTATTTAGTTTGAATAATAACTTTTTCTTTATATGGAATGACGAATGTCATTAAAGAATATATTTTTTTTCTTTTAAAAAAAGAAGATAAGTAGGTATTTATTTGTGGGGGGGGAGGGGAGTAACCAAGTTATTCTTCAGCAAGATATTCACTTCTTCTTCTCTTCCTCTTACTTCCTTCACTAGTAAAACTAGGAAGAAATGATTTGTACTGCTCAATATCATCGTCAATATTTGCTGGTTTTTGTTTGATAAGCCTGTTGGTATTCTCCATCACTAATCTAGCTTGATATACGGCTTTTAGTATTGGCAACTCATTTCAAGTAATGGAGTGCAATTATGACTCAAATGTCTATTTATTTTTATTTTTATTCTTATTGTCATTTTCTCTTTTATTATATAATATTATATTGGCTCCTTATTGTTCCTGAATTATTCATTTATCTCAGTATGAATGTAGTTATAATAATAACAATAACAATAGAGAAACAGATAAAACTATGCTTGGGATGATGTTAGTATAATAAAAGATGAAGGAGGAACTTTGTACAGTCCAGACTCATGACGCTTTTCTGTAAGTTTAAAAACTGCTGGTCGTATTATGTCTGTTAGTTTACTTTTCTGCTTCATACTACTTGATTCGAGATAATTTGAATTATTTATATTTTTACGCTGTATCTTCATTTCTTCACTTACAGCTACAGTACCATCCAGGCGGTTCCATTAAAAGTTATTACATGAATATTCAATTTACTTTTAAAAGACAATTAATGATATTAAAAACAGCAGTAATATTTTCAGAATACTAGTGAATCGTTCGCAACTCATTATACTATCTGCTTTATCTTCAATTTTAGAGATATATTTTCGTTATATATCCTATTCATTACAAAAATATCGCTTTTATATTGTAATGGCCATAATTGCAATGATTTTTCTAAAAATAAAAATAAAAAAATAAAATAGAAAAATTTAAGGAAAGATTTTTTTATTAGGAATTAATCTTCCAAAAAACGGTCGTTTTCTTCTAGTTTCTGCCGCAGAAGGCGAAGCGTACGGTTTTGTCGCCCCCTTCTCATAATGTACTGCTTGAAGAATATCCTCTCCAGATCTGCAGCGGGGCGCTGATTCTTTGAGATAAAATATGTTAGAATTATTATTTTTTTCTTTAAAAAAAAATTATACTTACTTTAACAATTTGTCTTGCTAAAATTAATTCTGGAGAGGATAAACAGCCACCAGTCGTCGTCCTGAGTACGTTGAACAACTTCTTTGCGCCAGTCATGATAACATTGAACTGGCGCACAGTGCAAAATTGCAGTTCTTCGTACTCTATAAAGTGCAATCAGTTTAATTTTTTTTTCTAAAAAAGGTTTTTAATAATTACCAGAACGAACATTGGCGCTGTGTCGTTTATTCAGTCTTCGCTTTAGTATTTCCATTATGAGAAAGAGGTCGTATCCCTTAAGGAAGGCTCTGACTTCTACTCCAATGTCTATGGCTCCTACTCCTTCCCCAGGGATATCCGCGATGTTGTGCATCCTTTCTGCGGCCAAAGTTACCAGCTCTTCCACTGGTTGCTCCATCAGTTGTGGAGCAGAGCAGACCGTCAATTGGTTGCGGAAAAGCCTAATCCTACTGTTCCATACACAATCAGTAGGAATAGGCTTTTCCGTGCTGGGAATTATTACAGGGCCATTTTCATCGCCATCTAATTTTTACATTTGTTAATACATAATCACATTGTACACACCTATATATTGTCATATACCTGGCTCATCTGAAAGTTCTTCAGTATCAATACTAATCTCTTGGTCCAATGAATGTAATGGGATATCGCTCACGATGACGCTTCTCATATCAAGTCGGGCCAATACAACTTGACCTTCATTATCATCATCGTGAACAATACCAACATGTATTTCGTTAAAAACTGAACCCAAGAGATTGACAAATTCGCCAGTTGATCCTTCTTCGATCAATCTTAAGAAATAATTCTTCATAATTTCTTTGTTGTCCTTGATAAATTGTTGTGCGTCCATTTTGTAATGATATTTTTTAAGTAGATGAAAAAACAAGGAAAATAATAACATTTCAAAATAAAATTTTTTAATCTATGTTTTTATTAACTCCGATTTATCATCAATGGTCACACTTTGTTTGCTGTACAACCATTTTTTTTTTTTTTCAAAAAGTTGACCAATTGGGACTGGAAGCACTGTATATACAGTAAACACCCAATCCTGGTCGATATCTCTTAGATTGGCTTCCTCCTTCTCCTACACTACTTAAATAATTTTTACATTGCACCTATCACACCCTTCCTTTCCTTTACGTTTTTCCTCTTGCTCCTAAAGAGGTTTTTTCGTCCCTTATTCCTTTAAACTGACCCGGCCCGGGCAAATTTGATGTATTTAATAACATCTTGTGCTCAAATGGGGTCATGTATTTTTTACTGTTTAATCGTATATACAGTAAAAGTGCCTGCTATCCTGTTTATTTTTTCATTAAAACAATTATTCAATAAGAAAAACACTATTGTGATTGCTGCATAATTAAAAAGATTATAGCTTTCTTTAGGAGTAATAGTTAGTATTTTTCTGTAATTTGGTAGATGCTTCAAAAAATACCTTGCAATATTTTTTATAAAAATAAACAAAAATGCTTAACATTCAACCAAAATTACTGTATTATCATTGCCAAAATACTGCTCTTTTCTTTTTCCTTCTCGTTTTCCTTTTTCCCTTCTTGTCCTTTAGGAAGGTTTTTATTCTTATTTCCCCTCTATAACTGGCTCGGGCAATATTGCGCATTTATTTCGTCGCTACATGCTCATTGCCAAAAAATTTAAAAAAAAAAAATAATAATAAAACTCAGAATTTAATCGTATTATCATTGCTTCAAGTACCTTCGACCTTAATTACTTGTAACTATTAAGAACCCCCCTTTTTTTTATATACTAATTTCCAACACGTAAACTACGTACATATTTTAATATTCTTCCTTAGTTTATCCGATGGCTAGTAACTTTAAAAATCCTTTATTATATTGACCATTTGAGACTGTCTTTACTACTGTAATGAATTTTTAATAGTCCCCCCCCCTCTTTTCTCCTACTCACTAACTGTACCATCACTATACTTTTATTCTTTCCACTTTCTCCTGTCCTTTTCTAACCTTGATCACAAAGGGATTTTTTTTTTTTTTTTGCTGATTACTCAATCAGAACAGCTCTGATTTGTTCTACATCTTACGCCTTATTGTTATCTTAAAAATTATCATTGCTTTATAAAAAAAAATTGAATCTTCCTGAAAGGAAGAATTGTAATACAAATGACATAACGAAGTTCAGTTTGGAAATTAAAAAGTAAAAAAAAAAAAAAAAAAAAAAAAAAAAAAAAAAAAAAAAAAAAAAAAAAAAAGATATATGTGCTTAAACTTACAAGTTTTAGCGATACAAGAACAACTATTATTAATAATCAAAAGTTAAAACCATATAGATTTTTATATGCGAGTATATGTCAAACAAATATTAATATAATGTTCTCAAAACATATTAGGTTACTAATATTTTTATCTTTTATAATATAGTTCAAGATTACTATTAGTGTTAAAAAGAAAAGAAAACTATAATAGTAAGTTATGGCTATAGCGCTATATCTTTTTATATAAATATATATAAATGTATTACTAAGATTTTGTACTGATATGTTCAATATTAGTAGGTGAATAATAGTAAAAGTCACTTGGACTAAAGAGTGGGCTTGGAGGTGAAGAATAATCTTTTTGCGAAGATGTTACAGAAAGTGGCTGAATCTTCCCGTTAATGTGCAATTGTTTAGCCATTTGCTGGTCTCCTTTTTGTATTAATGATTTCTTTTGTACCATAGATGCTAGCAGTATTGTCCTTCTTGTTGGTGAACAGTTGCTTTTACCATAATGTAATTGAGTATTTCTGCTTAATGTAGTACTTTTGTTTTCTTTATTTAGTCTCAAGTTTAAAAAATGACCATTTTGTAATGTGCTCTGTTGACTTGATTTGGTATAAACTGGATTAATAGGATATTTATAAATGATAGGTATATTAGACTATATACGAAAAGAAGAAAAAAAAAAGTCGTATAAGCATCACAAAAGTGTCTAAAAATAATTTAAATATACATACATTACTATTGTAAACTGACAAATTTGATATCTTCTCCAGTTGTTCATTCACAGATCTCAGCTCTTCGCCAGAATTGACAGGTATATTGATTTCTTTAAAAGTTTTACAATTAAAAAATTCTAAATTTTTTTCACTTTTTTGATTCTCTGTATAAATTCTATATGGTCAGATATAGGTGGATAATGGATCTATTATATATACCTAAAATCAATGCACCGGTCTTATGATTCTTTATAAATTTCGAAATTTCTAGATTTATATTCAAATCCTCCATAGACAAAAAAAGTCTTTCGCAAGTCTATAATATACTCTTAGCTATGATATATAACATTAATCAAAGTATACACGTACTTGATCGTCAATATTGTATAGGCAGCTAATCATACTTGAAAAGCTAACTATAATGTTAAACATAAAATACTTTAATAGATAAATAATTTTTTTTTATATGTATACGTTTTTATGATCGATCTTAAATGCTCTAATCTTTTTGATTCTAATAACTGAAATGTTCTACAAGATTTACGCCAATTATTGACCCAGTCATTAGATTCTTGGTTTTCATTTTTTTGAATGTCTCTTTGCTAATATACAAAATGATATATATTTGAATGTATCTTTGAAAAAAAGAAAAAAAAGAAAAGCATGTGTATACCTTTATCACATTATTATTATTGTATAATGATTTTATATCGTGTGACACTTTCAATTGATGAATCATCTATATATAACTTCTATTGGCATCGTATAGATATTTTTAAAATATGGGATAGTATACGTTACAGCAGATTTTATAGATTCTCGATCATTTAAATACTTTTCAAGAGGTATCTCTAGCATACTCTTTATATCTTGACTTAAATCAATATGCGCCCTTGCACTCATTTCAGTAGAGGTGGATAAAGCTTGAAAGCTTTCCTCCATATATAATTGTGAAAGTTTCATTAACTCATTGCCGTACTCTTCTTCAATTTGTACTCTAAAAAAAAAAAAACCTCCCAGTTGTGAATATATAATACGGTATTTGAGACACAGTTCTAAAAGTATACCTTCTAGCAAAATAATGCTGAATTGATTTTATAGATCTCGTAGTTTCTTCAAGTTTATCAAGTAAAATCTGAAGAGCAGTATTATCTGAAGACTTTATTTGATAGATGAGTATTTATTTTGTGTCAACATTTTAAATAATGAGAAATATACCCAGAAATTTTCTTCAATCATTGAATCAGAAACATTTTCTAATAACATATTTATCACTTAAATTTAGTTGTATATTAAAGTAAAAGAAAAGTAAATTATTCTACCCATTTTTTTTTTAAGCACGAGATTATTTATTTCACTTCCATTTTACCGGTCGGGATCAATAATAATAACAATAATAATAAAAAAAAAAGTACCAAGTATTAACTTTTAGTGTAAGCTATAATAGTATAAATTTATGTATTGGTTCTTGATATAAAATTTGATTGAAACTCTGATGTACTATTGAAATTTGGATATGGTTCTTTCGGTATTTGTTTTCCAAGAAACTTACATAATCGATCCCATCCTTCTCCCAACTCCAAGATTAGCAACTGGTCTTTAGGAACTACCTGTTTTACTTCTTCTATGTGGTCTAAATAAATTTTCTTCGTTTCTTCTTCATCATCAAATAATTTGGGTTCTGCTAAACGACCATTCATACAAACGGTTATTGCCATCCTCTTAAATTTACTATCGATGGATGTTGTGGTGGCAACTTTTAGAATTGTATTCTTTACAGAGTTATACCAGCTGTCAGCACTGCGTATAGTTAACAAGACTTTAGCTTTAGGATATTTTTTCAAAAGTTCCTTGTAGAATTCTACTGTTGGCCAGTCTACAGCGGCATTATAATCTTTATAAAGTTGATCCCAATCTGCAGTCTCTCGATGAAAGTAAGCATCATAAAAAAGGTCAGGATCCAACTCTGGATCTTCAAAAAAGCATTTCATATGATGCGTCTTGTATCTATATATATATATATATATATATGAATGTATGCATATATGTATATATAAATTGCCTATATTCTATATATTATGTACCCTAACATATTCAATGCTGCACGCAGACTGTCAGTCCCAGTTCTACCGAATCCTGCTCCAATTACTTCTAAAGGTGCCATGTATATACGATAATTGAAAATGAGAAGAAAAAAAAAAGTATAGAAAAGACAGATGAATGTGCTTATATAACAAATAGTACAAATTACTAGTATATCTGAATAATGATAAATATTATCCTACTAAAAAACCAATTAATCAAATACCATCTATATATAAATGATATTCTACAGTAAATATTGTTCACAATATAAAATTTGTTTACCAAGTCAACCTAGTTTTCTAACGTTTCTTTTGGCTTTGCTAAAAATATAAGTGAGTAGCAATTTTTTTTTTTTTCATAGTAATTCAAGAATGTTGGTAATAGTTATTTATTAATAAAATTTCATTCATAAACAGGAGATAATACGCAAGAGAAAGTATTATAGATATATATGTTATATTAGAGTATAGTAATAATATCAAATCAAATACAATATGAATATATACCTATAAAGCTCAATATACTTCAAAAAAAAATTATGCGACTAATGTAAGAAGCTATTAATCAATGACACACTACTACTACTATTAAGTAAAAATTAAATATCAGGTATTTAAGATTAATTTATTATGATTTTGACTGAAATCTGCAGTTTTTAATTAAACAAAAAAGAAAAGTTATTTAAAATTGGTCATAGTTATTCTATTTTATAATTAGAGCCCCTCTTTGGGATGTATTCAAATGATAACAATGTTTAAAATTTCTAAATGCTTTGTTTAAAGACATTGAGAAGATAAATTATATCCATATTTTTGATTTAAGCAAGGTGTACTATCACCATTGACAATAAATCAATAAAAGTGACTGTGTAATTCACCTCTTTTTTTTTTTTTTTTTTTTTTTTTTTTTTTTTTATGTACACACATTTCATTATTTGTTGACTTGTATTATTTTAAATAATATATTAAAAAATAAAATAAAATAAATGGTTACTTATGGTGGAGGTAAAATCGCCATTCAAGCATAATATACAAAATATTCACAATTTATAAATAGATGAAGTAAACGCGCTTGTGTTTGATATGGGATCTACATCAACACGTGTAGGCTTTGCTGGAGAAGACGCGCCCAAAGCCACATTCCCAACATCATATGGATTTGATCCAACCACCAATCAATATTACTTTGGCGACACTCAACTGAACATTTGGAGACCCAATGTAGAAATTAAGAATCCAATGCAGAATGGTCTTATTAATGATTGGGAGGCAGTAGAACATATTTGGCAAGCTGCTTACAATGATATGTTGAGAGTTCAATCTTCAGAACATCCTTTATTATGCACCGAGCCTGCTTGGAACACACCAGAAAATCGTGAAAAGATGATGCAGTTAGCTTTTGAAAATTTTGATGTACCTGCTTTTTATGTAGCAAAGGATGCAGTTATGACAGCGTAAGAATCTCTCTTTCTCTTTTTTTTTTTTTTTTTTTTTTCATAGCTAATAAAAGTAAAACTTATTCTACTGTAGTTTTTCAGTAGGTAGAGCAACTGGTTTAGTGTTAGATTCTGGAGGAAGTATCACAAGTGCTATTCCTGTTTATGACGGATATGTATTAAAAAAGGGTATACTTCATCAACCCATTGGCGGAGACATCTTGACTCAACAAATGAGAGAATATTTAAAGAATGAATTACATTACAATGTGACACCTCTTTATAAAATTGCTAGTAAAAAATCTATTGCTGCAGGTGAATTACCTCAAATTAAATTACGTGATAGACCCAACACAACAACAAGTTTTGAAGAATATCACATTTCGGTATAATGAAATTTGTATGGAAGAGAAGATTATTTTCCTTATTAATTCTGTTTAATAGAAAACTATTCATGAATTTAAAGAAACAGTATCTCAAGTATCAGAAATTTCGTATGATGAAAATTTAATGTCACAAAGACCTCAGAAGCCATTTGAATTTCCAGATGGTTTTAATAATTCATTTGGAGCTGAACGTTATAGAATACCAGAGATTATGTTTAATCCAAGTTATATTCGAGTGGTGAGTTTAACAAAGTGAGGAAGGGATATTTACGTATATACCTATCTGTATAAAAAATATACTCAAATTTTCTTTTAATAGCCACCTATTGAACCTGGTAAAGAGACACAGCCAATTCCTTCACTAGGTATCACCAAAAATCAACTTCAACATACTGTCAGTGTTTCTCAGTTGGTATTCAACTCTATTAGTGCTTGCGATATTGATTTACGTCCCTTACTTTTTAATAATGTCATCGTCACAGGTGGAAATACACTTTTCCCTGGATTTACAGAAAGACTAAGTAACGAATTACCAATGATGGTTCCTGGTGTAAGTAAGTAATAGATCTCTATGGCTGTAACGACTAATGTATTATATAGAGTAAAGTAAAAGTTCATGCATTTGGTAATCAAATTGAACGCAAGAGTAGTAGTTGGTTAGGAGGATCTATTTTAGCCTCTTCAGAGACATTCAATCAACTATGGATTACAAAGAAGGAATATGAAGAAGTTGGACCTTCCATAATTGAAACTAAATGTCAATAGGATTTTGATTATTGATTATATTACTTGTTATTATTTTTTGCTTAATATAAATAAATTTAGAAAAAAAAAAGTCTAAATGGATATCCCTTTATTTCATTAAATTTGATCAAAAGAAGTAATGATTTTAAATTCTTTACTTTCGGGGCCCAAAGGTGAATTACCTGGACGATCTGAAATGATTACTTGATATCCTGCTTCTTTAGCAGCAAAGATTTCTATTTAAAAAAAAAAAAAAATACATACACTTTCTCTTTAGATATACAAAATTCATAAATTCATGTTTGCATTACAAACCTTTAATATTATCAGTAACGAACAAAATGCTACTTGTCTCATTTTCTTTGCCAATTTGCTTTGCAATATTTCTATAAGATTCGGTTTCTGTCTTCAATCCAACATTTGTATCAAAATATCCCGAAAAGTAAGATGTCAAGTCACCCTTTGTTGAATATCCAACCAACAATTTTTGGGCTGGAACACTACCAGATGAATAAATGTAAATTTTTTTCCCTTCTGCCTTCCATTTATCTAATACAGGCGTAACATCGTCATAAACACTAAAAAAATAGAATAAAATCAGATAACAACTTACATACGGAAATAATATACATATAAATATATTTATATATTTACACGCCACAGAGAATTCCAGATTCATAACCCTCTTTCCACATGTATCCTTGAAATGATTTAAGTGCCCCAATTTTACGATCCATTTGCATTTGCCAAGCAATTGTTTCTGTAACTGCAGCCTTAATTTCTTCAGAGGAACTGTGTAAAAAAAAAGGTAAGTCAAAAATTTATCCTATATATCAGTAAGGCTAAAACTTACGCTTCTGTCTCTGTAGGAATTAAAATGGCTTGAGGAATTTTGTCTTCTACATCTTTTTTAGCCTTTTTATTTATTTATTTATTTTTTTTTAGAAAAAAAAAAAGAAGAAAAGTATATAAGTAATATTATATTTCTGATTATTATTGCATTACTAACCTGAACACGAAGTAATTCAATTTGTTTTTTTAAATCCTCTGAATTCCAAGTTCTATCTAAAAAGGCAGACAAGCCCGAGGTAACATAAGGAAACTGATTTATAATATAAGCATATAAATATCTCTTGTTATTTATATATTCTTTACCAAAGTTTCTTTAACAAAAGTAATGGGGGTAATGGTCCCTTCAATATCGAGAATAACCGTATCGTAATTTGACATGTCAAAGAAGTATTTTTTTTTTCTGATAAAAAATAAAATAAATATATTTTTTTTTTAACTTTTTTTTTTAACTTTTTTTTTATGTGAATATAAATTGTCAGTCCCAATAAAAAAAAATTATACATATTATTTGATTATGCTTAATAAAATTCTATCTTTTCTTCTTAATTATGTCTGTAATTTATTATAAACTTAGATCAGCTAAAGATTCCGATTATGACGTATTTACATTCGATGGACCTGGAGCAACCGTTTTCGATTTGAAGCGCGAAATTATTCGTGCAAAGAAATTTGGAAAAGGGACTGATTTTGATCTTGCCGTTTATAATGCCCAAACAGATGAAGGTTTCTTTTTTTTTTTTTTTAAAAAAAAAACATAAAGCATACGTCTTTATAAATTACAACATACTAATGTGTACATGTAGAATATAAGGATGATACATTTATTGTACCAAGAAATACTTCAGTCATTGTAAGAAGATTACCAGCTGCGAGACCAGGTAAAGGAACTGCACAACGGTATGTCCTAGGTGTTCTGCCAACAGACGGTAAAGGCGTGTCGAAACCAACACCAACACCGCATTATAATATAAGTAATAATAGAAATTTGGTATTGAATGCTCAAAAACAGGCTATACCAAAGGCGACAGAAGAGAAAACTACGGAAGAAAAAAATAAAGTAGAAGATGATTCTGAAGAAGCTCGTATTCAAGCTATGTTTCAACAAACAACAGACCAATGGGGTGCAATGCAAGAACGATTAGCAGAGTATGTTATTTTATTTTAATTTTCGGAATAAAGATTAATTTATTTTTATTTAGGCAACAATATATACCTTATAATAACCGTGGAGGAGATAATAGACGTGGAAGAGGTGGCTATCATCCTTCAACTACGACAACTCATTCTACAGAAAATAAAGAAGGACAAACGCCTCAACCACAAAGAGTGCCACCACCTACTTATGTATGCTATAGATGTGGACAAAAAGGTAATTTATAGACGAGAGAACAAAACTAAAAAAAAAAAACACATACGCATTCACTCACTCACTCACTCTATATATTAGGTCATTATATCAACCAATGCCCAACAAATGGAGATAAAGACTATGACAGACATCCTAGAATTAAACGAACTACAGGTATCCCAAGAAGCTTTCTTAAAGTCATAGAAGAGCCTAAAAATGCTGTTAAGGCAGGAACGGGTGGACTCATGGTCACACCAAAGGGTGACATTGTTGTTGCACAAGCAGATTCATCCACTTGGGACAAACATGTTGCAAAGGCAGCCACTACACTAGGTCTCGGAACCTCTGCTGTAGGCGATTTAATGGACTGGTATGATTCAATTCCTGTGCCCTCTTATTTAGCCTGTCCTATTTGTCAGGGCCTATTAAGGGAAGCAACTATTACGCCTTGTTGTGGGACAAGTTTTTGTGATGAATGTATACGTGTTCATCTTATGGAACATAACTTTGCCTGCCAATCTTGTGAACAAACCATCCAAAATGGGTTGGATGGTCTTATTCCTAATATTGATGTGAGAGAATGTGTAGATAATTATGTCAGGAAATTTGCTCATAATTACAATGCTAATAAAGAATAATAAATATTTATTGCTGTATAATTTATTTTATTTTTTAATCATCACTAAAATCCGTAGTGTCATCAGGTAGACCTAGTCCAAATGTATTTGATCTATTCCATCGTGTTGAACATTGAGGGCAACAAGGATTATTCTTGTTGGCAAATAGTTTATCTGCACAATACTTGTGAAGACGCACAGGACATTCCTCAACCTCACATCGTTCACCCATTGTAATGAAGTCTAAGCAAGTTGTACATTCTTTAACAATGTCACTATATTGTTCACGAAAGTAGGATTGTAGTTCAGCAATAGCACGTGTATCAAGATAATAAACCCCCTTTTCTTCCATTGCAATCCAACGATCTTGAACTAGACGATCCAAAATGTCTTGTGTGTCTTTAAGTGTTAATCGTGATTCGACACTGTGGCCTAGATTAATAGCTGCTCTTGTTGAAAGTGCAAAATTCTCATTATCTGCTGTAATAATCTTTTCAAACTAGTAAAAAGGAAAGAAAGAAAGAAAGAAAGAAAGAAAAAAATTAGTTATCGAATTAAAAATAATTTAAATCCATGTTTACTAATTCTCGAATGTAACTTATTTCGATGGGTGTAAATGTTGTTGCTAATTCAGTTACTGGATCCTGTTTGACATTAACTAACGTCAAATAAGCAATCCCATCACGTTCGTCATGCGATATTCTTAGTGAATAATCCAATTCTGCTAACTCTTCGTTTAAGGATGAAATAAATAATGGATAATCTTCAGTGGCAGGGACTATCAATTGTCAAATTAGATGTTATTCGAGTTTCATCGATTGTATATATTTACGTCCTGTTAGTTCGCATACTTGATCATAAAGTTTTAAAGCATCATCTTCGGTAATGATTCGTTTTGAAAACATGGATTGTATAAATAATCGATGTGAATCATTGTATGTATTATCCATTCTAAGAAAGAAAAAAAAAAAAAAAACGGAAAGTAATTAAAGAGGAAAAAAAAAAAAATCGAAATGCATGTAATTTATTCAATAAGTTTAAATAGCAGATAAGCCTAAAGCTTTTTTTTTCTGGTATTTTTTTTTTTTTTTTTAAATACAAGTGTTTAAAGTCGTATTACTTTGAGCTGTTGTGTTATGATTAACTAATACTTGATTTTTAATTTGACCTGGTTGTTGAAACATATTAAAATAAGCCCATGGTGTGTTAAAAGAATGATTCTGTTGATTTTGATGCTGCTGAAAGGGATATGATGCAATCCAATTAGGTTTATTAGTTGGATCATCTATCATCCAGCAACTATTATTAGTAGTAAAACATTGATAAGGTTCAGGTGTAGTTAAAGGCGAGATTGTCAAGTCACGATAACTTGGCTGTGCAATCACTAATTTTGAAGCCAATTCTGGGGCTTGTGCCATAAGCTCTAATAAGGATTGTCGCAGTAACTCATCAGAACCTTGAAGGGTATGTGATTGAGAGTCACTTGCTTGTTGGTTTTCAGTAAAGTCATTACATCTAACCCAATCAGAATCAACATTATTTCTAAGCATAGAAAATGATACTAATGCAGGCGACTTGATCTCGAAATAGAGTTGTCGTTGACCTAATTTAATTTCTTGTATATTGTCAAAGGCAACCTCAATTCTGAATTGATGGCCGCCGTCATGTATTTGCCAAATCAATTGTTGCTGGATAATATCACTGAAGCAAAAGAGATCCCATTCATTTGTAGTAGTAGTAGTAGTAGTAGTAGTAGTACGCCTACTGAACCTTGTCCATGTACCGACATGTATACCTTCAACAGTGAATGAAATGAGTGACTTTTGCTGATTATCTAATAAATTATAAATAAATAAATAAACAAATAAATAAATAAATAAATAATAAATAAATAAAGATTTACTTAATTTGTATATAAAACCTTACTTTCTTGTTCTATCATTTTATTTTTCCCAACTTGACTCTCAGACATAGCCCTTTGAGGTAATAATGAGAATGAAGTTGCTCTTTCTGGTTTAGAACTAGATCGTGGTCGGCGTTTAATCATAGTGTCAGCTTCAAAGTATTCAGGAGTCATACAAGTCCTAAAGGTAGTATTGTTGTTCATTTGTTTTGAAGGTATATCAACCCAACCTGTTCTAACATTAGATACTAAAGTACCAACTGATTCTAATTTACGAGCTTTTGCCCTTCGGTTTTGGAACCAGATCTGAATAGTCCGTTCACTCACACCCAGCTCTAGGGCAAGTCTACATCGATGATTAGCGTCCGGAAGTGTGTTGGACACAAATGTTTCTTGAAGTATAGCTACTTGGCTTGGCTTTAAATGTGTTCTCTTTCTTGATGAAGTACCAGCTAAATAAGGTGTGCGCATCTTTATAAAATGAATGTTTGATAAATAGGGAATGAAACACTAATAAGTTACTTTGCTGTGTAATAAATAACGTGAACCTGCACGATATTAGGAAAAAATAAAGAAAAGATAAAGAAACAAAAAAAAAGAGAGAAAAGAAAAGAAGAGAATAATGGTAATTAATTTTATGCTTTTATAGTAAAAGAGATCAAAATTCGAGAGGCTGAGACAAAACAATAACATAAGCCGAAAAAAAAAAAACAAGGGGTAAAAAAATCATTCTATCATCATATGTGTGTAAGGAGAAAATAGAGAAAAAAAAAAGGAGAAATTAGTAAAAAATAAAGTTTGCTTTGGGGACATGCAGTGTTTTATATTCACAAAAAAAAAATGGTTGTGCTTCCGACATACAATCAAATTGATAATAGAATAAAAAGGCTTAAATGTATTCGACACTCTTTACATTTATTGATCGTTGATTTATATCATGTTTTAGTGTATTGGATAGTAGGTTATAAATAGCACTAACATGTATAACAATAGAAACCATATAAATCTATATGTATAATATCGAAATTATTCTAGATACATAAAATGCTGTATTATAGGTGATACCTAGACCCATAAATGCTATCATATGAATGGCTTATCAATTAAGATATTAACTTGACATATAGAATAATTTTGGACGTACTTCTTATTCTATGTTATAATTTGGCTTAATTAATAGTTATTAACAATCTTAGTCAAATACCCAATTAGAATTTAATGCCCATAGTTGATTTTGTGTAATACAATACCTTTTATAGTTAATGCATATATAAAATAAAGCTTATTTGGGTTATTCTATTTATTCAGATTTTAATCTTTTCATGATAAACAGGTGAAGAAAACGCAGTCAAGTCATGTTTGGTACATTTCTAGTAATAACCTGTTGTGTCTATTCCATATATAAAAATGTGTTTTTTTTAAGCATACATATTTGTATAAATGATTGTAACATGTAATAGCATTTAATGTTCACTTTTATACATATACAATAGACCAGGCATAGATAGCTTTGGGGGGGGCGCTTTTTTGCATAAAAGCTTAAGTTAAATAAAATTTGATACAGCGATAAACTTGAAGAAAGCATTTTTATATGATGCATTCTTTTTTTTTTAAAAAAAAAAAAAAGAAGTATACTTGATTATATTGCTACATAAATATGCATGTATGTTAATTATTAAAAAAAAAAAAAAAAAAAAAAGATAAGCTATTTGTTCTAAAAGAAAAAAAAAGGGATTTTTTCTTTACTGTCCAAATATGCCAATTTAAATTTTAAACAATTTATTGACTATTTAATTCTATAAATATACATTAATAAATATCAGCTAATAAAAAAAAAAAAAAAAAAACTCGTATAAAGACATGAATTTATCAATGGATGATATACATAACAAACAATCCAGAAAACTATAAACAACACAATTATACTATATAACTTTTTTTTTTTTGTAAATCATGTTTTATCGACTTTTCACTCTAATGACTCTCCAGACACTTGATCTCCAAGATATAGATCCTTTAGTTGAGTCTTCTCTGTTGATATGCTGAGTTAGATATGCATTTTCATCTTCTATATAGTCTGAATATCTTTCTTCTTCTTCTTCTTCTTCTTCATCATCAAAATAGGAATCCCTCACTAACTGGTCTGAATGTAAAAAGCTTGATCTCTTTGGAATCTTCTTCTCCCTTGAAAACGGTGACACCACTGAAGAAATAAGGCTTGTTGCCTTTATAGAAGGTTGATCCCATGAAGAATTATATTTCTGCTGCTGTTTATCATCAAGTGAAGTATAAGATGATGATCTCTTTCGACCAAAGCGTTTATTATATTTTTCTCGGAAGGTAGTCGCTGATGAAGAAGGCAATAAATTACTTCTTTTATAGTAAGGAGAAGAAGAAGATGATGATGATGATTGTGAACCAAAATACTCTTCTTTATGGTCAGAGTTCATAATATATAATTAAGGAAAAATAAAAATAAAAATAAAAAAGGCAATTGAAGAGAAGAACAAAAATTGATTTTATTGCTTCGCTTTTATATTTACAAGCTCTATTATAATGCTGATTATGATGCTGATGATTTTTGAGCTTTGGGAGTTTAAAACAATGTTTCTAAAAAGGCAAAGTTTAATTTGTAGAAAAAAGATTTATTCTTACGACTAAATTAAATTGACCAATAGGCAAGTAGCTAATATAATTACTGAATTGCCATAATCAGTTTAAAATAAATAAATAAAATAAAAGATCAGTTTATAAAAAGAAAGGAAGACAATTATAGAAGAGGGTTTAAGGTAACTTACCTCTCAGAAGTAAACCTAGATTAGAGATAGCAACTAAATAACTCATCTCATGTAATATGGAATTCATGGAAACTCAACGTACAAACTATAGAGAGACTGACATTGTGGCAGAATATATACCTATAAATATATATATATATATATATATGTATATATATTTGGAAGTTTATTAAAGAGGAAGACAGAGGTATTTCAATTGTTTGTGGCATTTGCGCAAATGGAGACGAAATATTGAATGAGTCCTACTAAATAGTTGATCAGGGCGGGGGAAAAAAAAACTAGTCAATAAACGACTGTACGGTAACTAATAGAGACACTGACTTCGAACAGATCGTGTCATAGGCAACCAAAGAATAGGATCAATCATTTATGCAGACACGTATTTGGAAAAATGAGCAGAACGTCTTTTATTTAAGTTGCCAAGAAGGAAAGTAGAACGAATATGTTCAAAAAGAACTCTATCAATTTTTTTTAATGGAAGGAATTCATCGTTTTGAAAGGCAGTACCATTTTCAGCGATTTTCAGAGAGCTTAAAGTTAAAGTATTAACTTTACAATATCGGGAAGGGCACGATATCAAAAAATAAAATAAACTGAGCTTGTAATATATCTCTATGTTCTTGTATGGTGGGGATATAGAGTGATCACTAACTATATGACAGAGACGGCTATTCCGACAATAATCTTTAAGGGTTTTGGTAGTTTTGAAATTAAATGTGTTGATAGCCAAACCATACTTTAATTATGAATGTGTGATTTATGTATAGTAGAAACGGGTGGTTGGTTAGTTTATCAAATTTAGATTTGTTGACATCAGTCAAAGTAATTTAGTTTATTGAAGATAAAGTCTTTTTAAACAAGAATATACAAATCTAAAAACCTGTTGGTCTGGTCTTGATAAGTATTCTGGAGTAAGAAAAAACAACCATCCTTAGATAGCTGAATGTTGTAAAGACTGTAAGATTTGGACAGAGGTCCAGGAACGAATATAACAAATTTTTGTCAGTTTTATCTGTAACGTAAAGAATAACTATGACCTTTACAGAGGCTAAATAAAGATTTTAATAACTAAGAATATATTATTAGGGTCATAACATGGACATAAAGAAAGCAGGTAAATTAAATGTTGGTTAGACTGAATCGTTAAAAGTGGTTGTCAGTTAAAAGGTTGCGGCTTTAGTAGGAACATATAGGAACTGGAACCCCTAATTTTGAGGGCGGTGCTTAAGAGAATTCAGCAGCAAATACTCGTTGTTGTTGATGAAATTTTTATCGTGTCAAGAAAACAGCATAATTGAAAGTTTGTAATTGTACAGGCTTATGTGAAGACGCTGAAGGAAATTGGGTTGTGAAAGATACTTAAATAAGAGGTAGGAATCCGCTTATAGTTTTGACAGTGGTAGATATTTGCTTTTTGTAAGATTTCAAGTTTAGTATTAAGTTAATATTTTTTTTTTAGCTTTAGCAAGCTTAAAAGTAAGTAGTTGAGTAGTATCTTGGAGTTCTTTTAATGATCGATGAATCATTTGCTAATATGTTAGGAGCAGATTAGCGAAATAATTAATAATAATGAGAAAGCCCCTTCCAAAAATTTCTACAGTTGCCAAATTTGGTGATACTGTCAATTAACTAACAGAAGTAGATAGTGAAGTGCTTTGGTCGATAGTATCAGATATTTCAAACACCTTAAATATCTTATTACAACTAATATAAAAGAATTAACTTTTATCGGGGTCTTGTTAGGTGCATCATTTAAAACAAATAATAATGATACTGTCACATCTAGGACAAACTATCTATTTAAGGACAGAATCAAAGACAGTACCCAGCTCATTCATTTGTTCAGGAGAAAGTGCTAGTATAGAAGCTTTGTTATACGAATTACAAAATCTAATTAATGATATTGTTTTGGGAGTTATTAAACGGCTTAACTAATAACAATATTACTGAGTGTTGAAAAATATAATATTGGAAGGTATCTAGTTTTATGGTATTTTCCAAATAAAACAAAAATTTGGTAGGAATGGTAGAGAGGCGGAAAGCGATTTTATACAGCGTCTCCAACTCCAAATGATGTAGAAATTTCTCAGACCTAAAAGGACAATTTAAAAACCTGAATTGACACATTTTGTAATCCCAGAGGATAATTTATAGAATTACAAACGGTGGAAGCCCGCCTTTCCAATTAGCAGTATTCCGACACTTAATTGGCAGGTTTTGGTTGCTTTGTTGATATATTGCGACTATAGTAAGTAAAATTTTCAAATCAAGAAGCCAAATTAAAAAAAAAAAAAAAAAAAAAAAAAAAAAAAAAAAAAAAAAAAAAAGTGGTAAGCAGGTATGGATACATCGTATTTAAAATCACATGTTTTTTATCTACATATTCCAAAACGATTAATCCAGAACAACATATACCAGGAAACCTACTATATTTCAAAAGATATTGTTTTTAAACAATCATCACAAACCTGCTTCTGCAATGACTTTGGAAAATTCAGAAGGGATCTTATAACACATTTATTTTTACATCTATGGCAAGCGCCTACTAGATTTTTTCATATTGTATTAAATTTTTAATACCTTATATTAGTATAAAGAAGGTTCAAACTAGATAATGCATTGTTTTATAACATTATATTCAACTATATTATATTCTGGACGTAATCCTTTAAATATATTCAAAAAAGGGATTTTATCTCTGTTCCCATATTAGAATTGGAGCTTTACAGAATCATTGTTAGACTATAAAAATGATATATAAAGAAGAAAACAAATCATGTACATTAATGAAGAATGTCTTAATTCTGCTTAGCCAGTATAAAAATACTGAAATAACAGCTATTTGATATATAGAAATTTCATCAAGTAAAAGAACATTAAAAGATGTTTTTTTTTTTTTTTTTTTTTTTTTTTTTTTTTTTTGAAAGTGCAGCAAGTTCATCTAAAAGATTTGAAACAGGAAAGGAAGCTACTTTAGAATATTTGGATGGTGATGAAGGTCATGCAATCAGTGATGAGAATACACAGAATGTAATAATATAGATATATGAATTATTATTTTCTTCTTCTGTTCACTATTTTAATTCTTTCATGTATTCATATAACGGATGTTACCAAATGGAGATAATTTATATTTTAAATTCTATGCCTTTCAAAGAAACTCAATTCAAAAAAAAAAAAAAAAATACAAATTAAAAAAAAGCCGTCGAATATTTATGAAGAACCATAATTTTGTGAACAGTTATTGTAATTAACAATTATCTAATCTAATAATACTGGGCTGCTAATGGAACAATTACGTTTATGTCTGATGACACATACGTTGTATTAAATAAATGAAGACGACTGGAATATAGCTGAAGGAAATGCTCTCCATTCATATTTATACTACGAAGAAATATATGAATTTTCAAATAATATAATTAATATATCAAAAGTAGTATTTATATTATATATTATACAAATATTTATGATTAAAATCATTAAAAAAAATTCAGAAATAACGTAGATGAAGGTATCCAAGATGTTACTACTTAGCTTCAACAATCCTCAGAATCTAGGCATGTGGCAAAGGCAATGATAGACATGTAATTTATTTGCTTTTCTTTTAGTAATATAGTTGATATCTTGGCTGATCTAATTGTATTAATTTTTAGCTTAACAAACATTCAAGAACATGATGTAGATAAATTAAGAGAGACATTATTTAACAGTATGATGGTTGAATCTGCAGTTTGTCCTTTTTCTTCCCTATTTGAAGTCATACAATCTTAAAAGGGTAAACTGCAATATATTTTATGCATGTGTATATTCTGATATATTATATATACATATAGCAGCTCAGAGTAATCATCTGGTTCTCGTTAGAGAAGAGACAGTCATAGTCGTATACTAAATATCTTACTTTGTGTCGAAGCAAATAATTTATCGAAGGCTATCTTTTCTTTGTGAGATCAAATCTCCATATTTCATGAAAGAGACGAAATTGGTAAATTCTGCTGAAATTATAAAGTGACAAAAGATTGATTTTTTTTTTGTTCGTTAATAAGCTAAAGGTAGCATGTTTGTCTTTAAAATATTATAAACCAAAGACTCTTTTTGTCAAGTAAGAATAGTATATTCCTTGAATAATTTTCCATTATTGCTATTATTATTTTTTCTATAACACCTCTTTTTTTTTTTTTTTTTTTTTTTTTAAAAAAAAAAGTATTACTTCCAATTTGCCTTGCTTTAGCTCATTTTCCTATTATATTGATGCTTTGTAAGAATAATATTCAATCTAGTTGATAATTAGCTTTCTACATTTTTTTTTTCGCTGTTACAGTTTTAAATTAAACTGAAATTATAATTATAAATATGAAAGCAATAGATAAAACTCTAAAGACCAACTAGAAGACATTTAGATATATAGGCAAATGAATAAAATAGCAAAGCATAATCTCAAAATATTTCTTGTAGATGGCTACATCGTCAACCAGTATTACTACTTTCTTTATATAAACAGCATCTATCTTATTCTGAGTAGATCACCTTTGCAGTCTGACGCCGGAACTTGCCCTTATGACAAGGATCTACTATTATAATACATTATTCGACTCATTGACAGTCATTTAGTCTAATACCTGACTTGGCAAGACCAAAATATATGTCGAGCACTAAGAGTTCTTGTGTCCAGTACCTTAGAAAATTATCACTATTAGGGGGAAAAAAAAAGTCCAAAACGTCCCTGATTAGTTGGTTATTATTAGCAGTTAATCATTGCATAGGCAAATTATTTAGTTAGTTATACGGTAAGATATATACACATAAGTTGACCTTTTGCTTGTAAAGAATGTAGCTAATAATATAGTTTCACTTGAGGTATCTTTTCTTAGTTTCAGACTTATAAACAGCATTTGGAAATTATAAAGAATTTAGAATGAATATTGAGTCCTATCAAGAAAAGAAAATAGGCCATTTATTGATAACACTGAAGCTTTTTAAATTAAAATATTTTTCACTTTGAACCAAAATGAGCAAAGACTATGTTCTGTTGTATAAACAGATAACAATTATTAAGCTTAAGAATCATAAACAAAACAAAACAAAACAAAAAAAAGCCCCTAATAAAAGATAACGTTTAATATACATTATATGGGCAATACAGTTTTGTATGAAGATAAAAACAGAGTATTTAATCTGTATCGAAATCCTCATATCAAATCAAACCATCTATAGTATAACTCATCATAAATGTCACTAAATGAATATCATTGAATGATCCTTTACATTACTTACCCCCCTTTTTTTTGAGGGGATGGATAGATAAGTTTATCATTTTTATTATAAATAAAAAGTTTTCATTATCACATAGTTGCGTAAGGTAAGACATTAGTACCTTTTGGTACAATGGGTTATCTTGAAATCTATAAAACATTAAAACTACTTGAGACCTTACAATTACAGGTATCTTATGCTTTTGGTATTACGAAATCCTTGAAAGAGCTTGAAATATTGAAACTTTAGGATGCGGAAACAATAGTAAGATTTTATTTATCATTTTCATGAGCATACAATTTTGATTACATGATACGATTAGACTGAGATTTAGTATTTTAAAGACCTTAAATAGCTTCCATGGAGATATGATAGATTGGTCAAGCACAGTTTACCAACTTTTAATGAAACATTATTTACTTTCTCTGATTTAGGATTTAGAGTCATAAAATCAGGGGTTTATAATTTATACTTAAAAAGGAAGGGGGCCTAAGCTAATCAAACCAATTTTATTTAGTAACCTATTCTATTTGGTAACTGGAATGCACGTAATAAAGATTAGGGATGGTTGAGTATTGCAAGTTTTAAAGATGGTATCTCATCTGAAGGCCCAAAAATGATCATTTATTTGGAAAAAAAAAAAAAAACTAGCCAATAAATTTTGCGTATTTCGGCACATGAGAATCATAATACAGTGGGCTATTATACCTGTAAAAACCTGGCTTGAATAGCATTGGCCAGTTCCTTTGTTTTATGCTGAATACTTCTCGCTATCTTCGCTATCTTATATTAAATCTAAATTGCTTAGTTTATACGCGATATTTTATTATGAAATTGGGGACATTAAATCACGAATATATGATCACAAAGGGTTATCAAACCATTGACTATAATAATAGCTCTTTTTTAAATTGGGAAAAATTGATTTAACCAATGTATTTACAAGTATGATAGAAACTCACACTCATATAAATAACCTTTAAACGTATAATTACTAAAAAAGAAAACAATCTAAACGATCATAAGAAACAGTAGCTTATTATGCTTATCCAAAAGATGTACATGAAGAAGGTCAAAGGACAAGTGTTTTATTTTAAAGTCCGTAAGATTTATAAAATAAAAATCCACTTACCTTACTAAAAATAGATAATTTCTATCAATAGACTCTTCTAATAAAGGTTATCTTAGTTTTACATGAGATGCAGCATCTATCATGGGTGTTAGTAATATATTATTGTATTCATCATCTACATAATTTATCATCATTTATTGCAGTAATCAGGTACAATAACAGTCACATTAAAAAAAAGCGAAAAGAAGAAATAAGCCACCAGGATGATTTTTCTAATTAAGGGTGAGGTGGTGGGGTGGGTAGGAGAGGGAGAGGGGGGGGAGAGCGGATAATATATCTCTAATAAACAATATTAATAACTAAATTGTAATTGTATGATAGGTAGATAAACAAGAAATATATATTATAGGATCTTATTAACCCTAAACCCTCAAAATCAAAAAACCAACCTTATTCCCGTAAAGTACTACTAAAATTATGTAATCTTATGTACTAACAACAACAATCCATATTTATTATTGAAGAGAAAAAGAAAAAAAAATTTTTTTCTATCATTGTGATGACAATTTATGTAATAGTACATTTTTAGTCAATCATTGATTTGTCATAGATCGAATTATAGTATGATCTACAATAGTTCTAAGAAAAAAAAAGGGCATTTGTCGATTTTATTACCTTATTACAAATAATAAAACTTGGCTTATTAGATAAGTTTAGTTTATTTTTATTTTTTATTCTTAGCATGCTAACTTGTAACTAATTCGCCGGAAAAAATAAAAATACAAACTCGTGTTTCACATACATAGTGTAATAGATTATCGAAGAGGAAACGTATAATTTAATAAAGTCACTGAAATATATTACGAAATCATACATAAATATTTACAAACGATTTTTGTTTTTCTTTTGTGATTGTTTTATTTATTAAAACGAATACCAATGAATTGTCTACAATAGATAAACACATGTTAATTTGAGCAGCAGCAGCAACAGCAGCAACAGCGCACAGCAGCAAACTTGTGATAATGTAAGATTTCTTTATTTGTTCGGATTTGTTTACATATCAGTTAAATATCTTTAAAATAGTAGTTTCGTAGTTACTATTATTGTTTTCCTTTTTTTTTTTTTTTTTTTTTATATAGAAATATATATATTTGTATCATATAGAAAATAGTATAAAATAAAATAGAGTATAAAATGTGTATGTCAAGAGATATGTATGTAATCAGATAGCAGCCAAAACAATTATCCCTATTTATTTTTTTTATTCAATTTTAATTGATTCTATACTATTTTGAAAAGATACCAATTACAAGTTGTAAAAGGCTTAACATTTAATTCCAATAAAGAAAGTCCCTAAATGTTTCACAGAACATTTTGATCCTCCGAGATAAAATTAAGTTTCCATCTGTCAAAAAATATATAACGAATTTTATTTCTTTTTAGTAACACTTTAAATTTTTTTTTGTTATTATTCTTATTATTTTTTTCAACAAAAACTTATATTAATAAAATCATTCTATTTCAACAATGAATGATAAAACCGAAGCAGACAATTTTTCCTTATCTAATAAGGAAGACTTTATGCATGATCAGTCAACTATTGATGTAGAGAATCATTACGCTAAAGATACAGAAGAATTACATGCACCTCCTAATGGTGGTTTAACTGCTTGGCTTGTTGTTTTTGGTGGTTTTTGTGTAAGTTTAAGCAAATAATAATAGTAAAAGAAGAAGAAAGTATAGTAGAGAAACGTATTTTATTTTTATTTTTTTACTGATATAATTTTTATTTTTATTTTATTAGGGCATGGTAGCAGAGTATGTGTATATTGATTTCATGTGTTAAACTCTGCTTTAACAAAAAAAAAAAAAAAAAATTGCTTTTCTTTTCTTTCCTTTCACTAGATTTGGAGTCAATTATTCTTGGGGTGTTTTTCTTAATTATTATAATGAAGTCGTTTTTCCTGGACAAATGAATCAACTTTCTTGGATTGGCTCTATTTGTGTAGCTTTATTTTTTATTCTTGGACCTGTTAATGAATGGGTTATTTGTAAACTTGGCTATACTAAAATGCTTATTATTGGTACGATTATGTGTCCTCTTGCTCTTATGTTGGCTAGTATTAGTAGTCAAGTAATGTGTCATTCATAGTATCCCCCTTTTTTTTTTTTGTTGTTGTGTATACTAAATAGGTCACTTATATAAATAGATTTGGCATTTATACTTGACACAAGGTGTTATGTTTGGTATTGGTGCATCATTCATCTTTTTCCCTTGTATGGCTGGTCCTCAACAATGGTTTACAACTCGAAGAGGTTTAGCCGTTGGTTACTGTATGTGCGGTTCTGGTGTAGGAGGTTTGATTTTCTCTAATATTGCTCAAGCCGCTATGGAACATTTAGATTATCGTTGGGCTCTTCGTATTAATGGCTTTGTCTGTTTTGCTTTCATGATAGTTGCTGTTGCCTTAGTGAAACCTCCCAAGAATGCTTCAAATAATCAACAGGATACCTTTTTCGAATTGTTTGAAAAACAAAAGGCATTACTTAAGAATAGACAATTTCAAATTATGCTTGCTATTGGTACTGTTGCTCCTTTTGGTTACCTTGTAGGTGATTAAATAAGTTATCTAATTCCCCTTTCCTATTTGCTAATTACTTTATCTTCTTAGACGCCTTCCTTCTATTTAGCTTGTAAATGATTTTTAATTGTCTTTTATTATTATTATTATGTATTGATTTCATTTCTTTTCTTTTCGTTTAGCTTTTGCTAATTATATTGGTCTAAACCCTTGGATTGGTACCAATTTGGGTGCTATCATGTCTGCAGTAAATGCTGTTTCTATGCTTGGCATTGGTTGGATTGGTGATTATATCGGTTGTCTCAACGGGTTCTTTATCTGTACACTTTTATCTGGTGTTTTTACATTGGCTATTTGGACAACAGCTAAATCATCAGCTGCTATTTGGGTTTATGCTGTTCTTTATGGTTGGTTTGGAGGTGGGTATCTTACCATGAACGGATCATCCATTCCTGTTGTAGCTGGCTATGAGTATATTAATGCCGCAAATGGTCTTTTATATTTTGCAAATGTCTTTGGTTATATCTTTGGTACACCTATCACTTCTACTATCATCAATAGTTCTGGTTCTTCAGGTTATAAGTATGCTGCTGTTTGGTGTGGTGTTCTGATGACTGTTGCTGGTTTAATGTGCTGGGCACTTCGTGTTGCTAGGTCTGGTTGGAGACTATTTATCAAGACTTAGTTTTGTACATAATTATTTTATTTATTAATCATATACATATACACATATATAAATGTATAGTATATACATAAAAAAAAACAAAAAACAAAAAACAAAAAACAAAAAACATAACAAAACAAAACAAAACAAAACAAAAAAAGGTCTTTCTTTTTTTATATATATATATATATTTACAATGAGTAGAATAGTATTGATATTTTAACTGTAATATAGTTTTGATTCACCATATCTCGAATGAATATTAAAATGGGCTCCACATAATTCTTTATAATATCCAATTTTAATTGTTTTCCGCCTAGAGGACGTGATGTGTACATCATGTTTATGATGTGTTGCTGTATTGTTAGATACGACTGTAGGCTCACATAACCAACAATGAACAGTAAAAGCACTGTCCGTCATACTGTCCTTTCCTTTTGTCACTATAGTCTTTACAGGTCCGTCTAAGCAGACACTAGTTGATTTCAAATTGTTTGACTGTGGTGAAATTTGAATATGTGTTGCACCTTTAATAGATGCAGCACCAATAGATTCTGTAGGTAAATAATTACCAAGAATAACGCCATTCAAAGTTCCCAAAAGTATATTATCCGCTTTAAGATCCTTTTTTTTTTCCAAGAATATAATATAAATATATGTATATATATTTCAGTGAGTTCATTCTAAATCATGATGAATATATATCTTTTTCTTTTTCTTTTACTTACTTTAAACTGGATAGATCCTCTTCCTACACCAACAGAAAACTTTTGGAATGAAATATCTTTCAAATCTCCTTCTATACGATTTACGTGATTTACTTTGATATTCATATTTTTATAATAATCAAGATTTGAAGGAAAGATGATATCCAAATAATAGACCAAGCAAGAAGAGGATAAAGAATGATGGTTGCTGATATGAATACTCTTTGTTGGAGAAGTATCAATTTCAGAAAACAAGACATGTGTTAATAGATCTTCTGTTTGTGCATATAAAGTAAAGTTAAGAAGAATACTATGATCTGCTGTTGTAGATGTTCTTAGTCGAATTCTTCCTCCATCACTAAATAAGCCGTCTAATTTAATATTCGTTGTTTCATATTGTAGTGGAAATAAAGTGATTATCTTGGACCTTTGATGGCTTAATTTATGTATATCACATTGCGTCATGGAGTCTTTTGATTTGAGGGGCCCCTTTTGGGTTTTCATATTATTATTATTATTATTTGGCAGGAAAGCAATCTGATCTCTCATCTTTGATAGACTCTCTTCATTTGCTCTTATTAATCCATTGACTCGAGGTAGTTCACCTTCATCCGTTACTTTAGGAGTATATGTAGGGAATAGGTTGGATTCTAATCCAAGTTCCTTTGCAATATCATGTCGAATCTTACTCTTTTCATAAAAATTATCTATATGAATCTCTTTTGTCGAATATGTATTGTAACTTGGATCAGAGAGAGAAGGATCTATTCCTTCTTCATCCTTCCATAACATCGACAACGCTTCCATAAAACTGGATAGATGAATGGCATCCTTTGATGTTATCTCATTCGGATACTCTAAATACGAATGACTTATATTACCCTAAAGTAAAGTTTTATGCATTGATGGCGATTTATTACATCATTGATATATCATTAGAGTCACATATTTATTTATCTTTTTTTTTTTAAAAAAAAACAGAAGGCTTACATCTCTATTGAATCCAAATGTTATATAACCAAGTATGTATGTGAGTAACACTGCACTCGTTAAGATAGTCAACACTGTCAAAAAGCGTGCTACACAGAAGAATAAAGTCAATACTAGGAGGAAGAAGTTCAACCAAATCTCAGTTAATAGTTTTAAAATACTTACTTAGGAATGAAGTTAAAATCCTTTTAATTTGACTTGTAGTCCCTTCATTTCTGTCATACATTATTTCATTTTTTATTGACATTATAATGTACAATAAAAGAAAAAAAAAAAAAAAAAAAAAAAAAAAAAAAAAAAAGAGAGAGAGAGAAAAAGAAGGATTACTTTATGCATAACAATTAAACATATTTTTTTTTTTTGCACTCCGTCGTTTTTTTCTTCTTCTTTTTCTTACTCTATAAAAAATCTAATCGGTTGCTACTATTTTCTAAATCTAGCGTATATGTGATACATTATGCAGGGAAAGATGAAAAAAAAGTAGTTATAGGACAATAAAGACAAAATAATACTATAAAATACTGTCTATTCAAAGTAAGTTATAATTCTAACTATTTTCTCTTTACTTATATACATACAAATATAAATATATATATGTCCTGAGCCTAGGAATATTCCCGTCTTATACAACTAAATGAGTGATAATGAGCTTCTTAATATTAACAAAGAAAGCTACGTGACAATGTCTGGATAAAACATCATTATCATTCACAGTAATGAAAGTTGGAATATAACAGGTTTTTTTTTCTTTTCCTGACAAACTTTATATTTCAGTGTGTGGACAAAAAGCTTCTTTTTTTTTTTTTTTTTTTTTTTTTTAGAACCGTTAGACTTGTCTTTATTGATTTTGTTTTCACGCGTTCATACTTTATTCAAAATACGTGTGTATTAATAAATAGATAATTGAGCTTCCACTTTTACTTGTATTGCTTGTAAAAAATAAAAAATAAAATAAAGCCTTTATCTTTAAATAACGAGCCTCTTAAGAAAAAAAAACTCTTACTATTAATTCCCATATTTTATTCAATCCATTATAAAGTCTCTTATGCATACATTATTCTTTATTACTCCTTATTTTATTTTTTTATTTATAAGGCATTTCTAACCAATTCATTATTCAAATACCGAAATTGAGTATCAATTTAAACATCGTCATCGTACCAGACAGTTATCCCTTTTTTCTTTTTTCTTTTTTCCTTTTGGCATACAAACCCAAAAATAGTTCATCTAATTTCAAAGAATGACAAAGCACGACACACAACAAATAGTTCATCCTCAATTATCAACAAGCACCTTCAATTTAGAGTCAAATGATGGTCAATTGCTAGATGAAGAAGAAGGATCCAATGAAGCAGTCATTGTACCTACAGATGTTGATTTAAACTCACAAACTGTACAAGTGACTCGACCTGTACAAACTGAAGATTTTCTATTACAAAGACCATTAACAACAGAAAAAGAAATTTTGGACCTTGCTTTTAGGTAGCAATTGACAAAAAAAAAAAATAAACGTTAAATAGGATTAACAAAAAATTCCTCCCTTCCTCCTCCTCCCTTTTTTTTTATGATTATTACTATTTTTAGACCTGCTGCATTGAATCTTCGTGTCACTTGTCGAATTCAACGTTGTCGAGATGGTTTAGACAAGTTATATCCTCAATACCATTTATTTATTGAAAATTTAACTACAGGTGAAATTCAACATGTTATGACAGCTCGTAAAAAGAGAAAAAGTAATACGAGTTATTATACGATTACGGGTATTTATCGTGAAAATACAAGTGTACCTGAAGGATATGTTGAATTAGGAAAAGTGAGGTAAATAGAAGATTCTCTTTTATATAAATATGGGTGTGACTGACTTATATGCATCGATTATAGAGCCAACTTTTTAGGCACGACATTTGTCACCTATTCTCATGGAAAAAACCCAATGAAAAAGGAGATGACGATAAAAAAGAAGGATTTACCTATTCGAGAAGAGCTTGGAGCTGTTTTATACGTAAGGAAATCTATACATGTATAACGTATATTAGTTTATTGATTTGCTTTAATTCAAAAAAAAGGATCCTAATATCCTAGGATTTAAAGGACCGCGAAAAATGACAATTTTAATGCATACATTAACACGAGATGGAAATCGACCTGAATTTAGACCAGTAAAAGAATCAGAAACATTATTAAGTAAATACAGAGACGGATATGCACGAGATCTTTTAGTTCTTCATAATAAAAGCCCACAATGGAATGAAGGTAATGGTTAAATAAATAAAGAAATAAATAAATTATTTAAATATATTGGATATCCTTTAGAGACACAATCTTTTGTCCTTAATTTTAATGGAAGAGTGACGCAAGCATCTGTCAAGAACTTTCAAATTGTACATGATAATGATTGTAAGTTCTTTTTTTTTAAGCCATTTATATATTGTATTTTTTTTTTTTTTTTTTTTTTAAAAAAACGAATTTATTGTAGTGGATTATATTGTCATGCAATTTGGACGTGTTGAAAGAGATTCTTTTACTATGGATTATAAATACCCCATGTGCTTATTACAAGCATTTTCAATTGCTCTTACTTCATTTGATGCAAAACTGGCTTGTGAATAAATAAATAAATAAATATACTTTTATATGTTAAAATTAAATATGTTACGTTCATTCTAAGTAGACACTTTATCACTATTGTAACATAAAAAAAAAAAGTCTGTTATTTTTATTTTTGTAAAGATTAAATTTCAGATAGTACATGTGAAAACTAAGGAATGTTTCATTTACAATAAAACTTGATCCTATAATAGCCTTCATGTGATCTATATATAAAACAAATAGAAGAGCAGCAACAATAGCAGTAGAAGTAGTAGTAGTAGTAATAGTCTAAACATCTACTTATATATATGTATATATGTAGTGTATTCTTGCAAAAGAAAAGAAAAGAAAACAGTCATAGCCTTTCTTTTTCTTTTTCTTTTTTTTTTTTTAAAAAAAAAAATTACAATATTGTCTGAAATTCAATCTTATTCATAAAATTTGACATATAAATAACAGTCGATCATTTGATTTGTTCTGTTCTCCTTTTTTTTTTTTATTTATATATTTTTATTTTATATATCTATACATATATTTTATTGTAAGGCCAATCAAATGACACAAGCGAATAATAGAAGCACCAGAAGACAGATCACACGTAACAAAACACTTCAAGAACGTAGAGAAATGAAGAGAATGATGAAAAATGCTCCTAATGGTGCTAATTTCAACCCTAAAAAAAAGTCTTCTGGAAAAGTGAGCCCTATCCATTCTATCAATATATCTTCTTCAATTGAAAAAAAGACAACGATTGAATCAGATCCCATTGTTAAAAATAATAAGAACGCGTCTAAAGAAGATCCATCATCTAGTATCCCTCTTGAAGAGGGGAAGGAATTATCAGCAATAGGACCTATTTCTAAAAGTAATGAAATAGAAGAAAAGAAGAAGAATGATTTACTGATCGATACAGAGGCTACTCTGATTCATAAGAAAGAAGAGGATGAATCATCAGTCATAGAAGAAGACGTGAATGTGTTATCATCTAATAAAGCAGTCGTCATTAAAAGTAATAAGGATACAAATCAGGAGTTAATCATAAAAGAAGAAGAGAAACCAGAAAAACAGGAGCCTAAATCTACTTTAAATACTGATACAGCAACAACGTCTAAAGACTTGAAAAATAATAAAAAGAAAATAAATTTAATTTCAAAGTTATTTAAACAAAAAAAGGTAGATAAAATACAAGTGTTGATTACATGAAATACTAATAATAGATTCATATGTACATTGGATAATAGCAGGCAAATCATGAAATCTCTGATTCAATATCTGCTTCCAATAATGAATCAACGAAAAAGAAAAAGTCCAAATCTTGGAAAATTTGGAAAAAAAGATGCTGATTTCTACGTGAACAATAAATGATAAAAGCAGAGAGACCAGCTTTTTTTTTATATAAATATTTAATAATAGCAAAATCTATAAATATGTACTTGAAACGTAATAATATAAAAAGCGCTTTTTTTTTTATATATGAATATACACAAATATGTATATTTTTATTATTGAACAACAGCCACAGCTATAATTGAAAGCAGTAATAGAAACAATAAATTAAGATTTGCCCCCCAAAAAAAATATACATATTTATACAAATAAATATAAACATATAAATTTATACAGATGATTTCGTAATACTACTGATTTATTAATAATAACTGTTACATTTAATTATATTATATAGTATTACAGCTGTCTATGTTTTAATATGTACAATTGTTTAATATATTATTAGCTTCTGCTATATATATGTGTATTCCATCATAATATCCTCCTTTTCTTCCCTTTTTTTATAATATCATCATAGCTGATAACAACTAAGCTTTGTAGACTTTAAAAGGAGGAAGGAAGAAAATGAAAAAAAAACATGACATAAACTTAGAGTTAATTAAATTATGAATACAGTATTTATCCATGTATTCGATATATAGAGATAAATGTCTTTATATTTATATGATATGTAAATGCAGCCTTTACATATATATATGGCATAATATTCATCTATTTTTTTTTTATTTTTTATTCTTTTTAAAACAAAAAGAAGTATCATTCCTTTATGATAGCGAAGAATATGAAAATGAGCTATTCATTCATAACTCCAAATACAGATTTGATATTAAAAATAGCAGATCCTTCTTTATAAAATAGGATTTCACCACCCATATTTAAAAAAGAGCTGAATAAAAAAAAATAGGATACAGTTGGGACTAAAATAAGTTTATCTCAATAGTTTCAGCATAACTGACAAGTACCTTTTTATTATTATTAATATAAGGTTCTTGGTATACTAGAATAGTGTTAACATAAATTAGAGTAAACGTAAGCTAGTAGTGCTCTTGGTTTCAATTAGTATTTGTAAATATAAAATGTATTCATAAAGTCAAGCATGTCAAGGGAGGAGGAGAGAGTATAATGTTCAATTAGAATACCATTTATAAGCCTTGATTATTTTCAGTTACAGTTGTTTTTTCCTTCTTCTTCAACCATTTCCTTTCATATATTTTTCCGTTTTTTTTTTTCTTTTTTCCTCGAAATATTAAATATCATACTACTTTTCAAATAAAAAAGATCCTATAGATGAATTGGCTAGTAAATTCTTCAAATACAAGGAGCAGGGCATATGTTATCCACTTTAAATGATAGAGTATTCCTATTGTATCTTGTCTATTTATATTATATTATATTCACTTTCAATAATATTATTCATTCATTCGAAAATGCACTTCTATTTATAAACTGTAAAATAAACACGTCTGATCAAATCTGGAGACAAGAAGTATAAATCAGCGATAAAAAAAGTTGGGGTAGGGTAATTGATAGCATCTTTTATGAAATACTTGCAAATAATGAACAAGAACTTTAATAAGTGAAACACAGTGCTTCATTATGAGATTAATTTCAGATTTGCAGCTGACAGTATTCAATGTCTTTATTGAAAAAAAAAAGAAATGAAAACTACAAGGTATTTGATCAAGTAAATGACATCAATAAATATGTCTTTCTAGTTAGGCAAGGTGCTTGGTCAAGCCACCCTTTAGCTTCATGATGGTGAATAAACGACTAGGAATGTACAAACTGTGTAAAAATTAACCAGAACTCATAAATTGGTCAGGTTTCCCGCAGACTATCATGAGATTTGCTTAGTAGAATACTTTAATATGTTAAAGATTTTTTAAACTATAATGAAACATATTAAAGCAAAACTAAGAAGGATAACGATATTTAAAAAAAAGAAATGAAATAATGCATAAATAGGTTTATAATGAGAAAGAGAAAATGATAACTGTATATAGGAAATCTATATGTAATATATCCATGAATATAACAAACTGAATATATAATACGCATTAGAAGATAATCATACTTCTCCTTTGAACACTTCAAGTATTCTTCCAGCTGTGTGCTTGTTCATTGTATTGATTGTACTTGATAATTCACTGGAGATCCCTTGTAAATATTGCTTCAAAGTTTTGTTTTCACTCAAGATCAGATCGCCATTGCCATTAAAATATTCTGCAACGACATGTCCCAAGAATTCTTTCATCCTTCCGGTGTTACACCTTGTCCGTAGCTCTTCTATTTTACTTTTTTTTTTTTTTTTTTTTTTTTTTTTTTTTTTTTTAACAACGCTTTTATTATTTAGTTTGAATCTGGCGATGAGTTGAAAGAAATTGGATCCAAGCTTAGCAGCTGTAGTTGTTGTTGATTTATCATCGTAATTGTTGACTGTCCAGACTATGTATGGCTTCGGGTTGTGATAATTGGTTATTGGTGATGAGGCATGAAGAGTCAAGTAGCCTCTGTTTTTGATAAATTTCAAACGTACTTGTCGTAACTGTGATAGTATATCTTGTGGATATATGTACTTTATGTTATGATTGTAGTTGTCTTTACAACTCAGTTAATAGAATCAACCATCATTTATTTAATAGGAAAGAGGTTATTCAAATAAAACTAGTATATTGTACTTTACAGCATAATATTCATTCTATATTCTGTTTTAATAATAGTCATTGTTAGAGTATTCGAGCATTAAAAATAATTATATGCACTTCACCATATCTAACTTGCACACCTTTTCGGCATTGTACAATTGTGATGATAGGATATATATCCTGGTATTTGTAGATGGCATGAACTGCAATGTGGAGCTCCCATCGTCAGGTAGTACTTTCTGATCAATTCTGATGGAACTTGTTACTAAAGCATTCATTAATTTGGTGGCAATAATAAGTTTTCTGGAGCTATCTTCTTTTTTTACAGTTACAAATACACCATTGTATATCAAATCTGTTGAAGATGGGAGGGTCGTTGTGGTTGCTTCTTTTCCATTTATAAATCGTTCGTGGTATGGGTCGACCAAAGATGTATGTCCATACACCTCGATGGTCTTGATAAAAATACCTTTTTTTTCCGTCAGGTAATACAGCACCAGCCAGTAAAAGGCAACAGTAGTATTTATAATTTTCATAAATAAACCAGTCCAGGTTAAGATTACATGCCATACCTAAATCAAGTTCAATATAGCTGTCAGGATTCAAAATATCAGAGTAAGGACCATTGGTAATTATTGTCTCAAGGTCATCCATAGGTTTAGCAATACCAGTGCTCACAGTTTTTTTTTTATCTTTTTTGCCTCAACATTAAGAGTGCTAACTTCTATCCTCTTTTTCTGCCTCATGTTTTTTACTATTTCTTGATTTCCTAGCAAAGCATATCCCTCATCATTTTTGTCCTTTAGTATGATGGGCTCTAACTTTAATTTTTTTTTTTTTTTTTTTTTTTTTTTTACAAGGCGGTTGGTATTCTTTTGTTCTTCTATGGACACAACAGTTGGTTTTGTCACTCTTTGTACGGCTTCGTGTTAAGGGATGGTTCTTATTTAATAAATGTTTGAAAAAAAAACAATGAAAAAAGTCAATTACCCTTGAACTTCACGTTAGACACAATTGGACATTTGGATACATGAGTCTTAAAGCCATTCTTTGTTTTATATTCTTTTTTATATAAGCATATAAAAGGTTGATTTAGCTCTCTTGTGATTATAACTTCATTTTCTAAAAAAAGCCAAAAACAAAGCGTGTTAATTTTGAATCTCTTGACAGACTTAATCGATTTCTTTGTTTTACCGTTATCTTTTATGCTAATTACCGCTTCCAGAGTATGTGCATTTTGTTTGTGAATGTAATATACGTTTGAAGAATTGAATTCTTCATTACAATCGTCGCATCGTATAGAAGATATCTAACAATGGAACTATGAAAAGAAGCGTCTTGATGCATTTTTTTTTAAAAAAAAGCACTCAGTGTCATGGTTGTAAGATTTGTAACTTAATTCAACAGGATAAATAGCCATAATAGAACACAGAGTGCACTTTTACAATAATTCTGCCTATAGACATATTCTGCTGAATATAAATTTATAAGCTAAACTGGGATAATACAAGTACGCATAATAGCTGATTCCACTCAGAGTACACGTATTTGTTATAAAAAATAAATACATACATATATACAAAAGACATGGATGTATGTCTATAATGATTCTTGATAGTATAATATTTATATTATCAAATACAGTTGGTTATATTACTACTTATCATCTTTATTTCACGAAAGGTATAGATACTTTTACATTATTAACCTTTATATTTTGTATAATTGAATATAATTTGAATTAATTCATTTTTTATCTTTACCTTAATAAAACTCATTGACAAGGCTCAACGTACTTCTTTTGTCTGTTTTCTTTTATTTCTCTTTTTATTCTTTTATTTCTATTTCTATTTTATTGTATTCTTTCCTGTAAACCATAACACTCAGGAACAGAATTTTAATTTTCATATCCAAGATCACTCAATTTTAAAACCAAGTGCACACCTTTTCTTGATTGTTAACATTTCTGGTAAAACTGTATTGCTAAAATATTTATAGAAGTGATGGTTAACAGTTTTAAATGACCTATTAACAGCTTTAAATGTTTGATTCTACGAATTTGTTGGATCTGTTAAATTTACCTAAGGGTGTTTCTCGTTTTCGAGGCACGCCTACAATTTTTATAAGGCTAACGACTAAAACTATATCAATGTTGTTGATGTTGGCTTGGGCCAAAAAAAAAAAAAAAAGATGACAGTATCAAGAAACCTTGCTCTAAAGAGACTGTCACTGGTCATTATTTGTGAGATTTATTTCGAATACTGGATAAGATATATCAACTTCCAGAGATGACAATTGCCTTAATACGGTCATGGATAATGCTCCTATTCATAGCTCAGAAGTCGATAAAATAATAACACACAGTGGCCATAAAGGCATATGTCTTTCTCCTTATTCCCACCATAACTCGATCTAATTAAGTAGAGTAATTTGAGGCAACCTTTTAAACCAAGGAAATATGCTCTCTTTGATCGACAACAGGGTAAGCCTTGCAAAAAAAAAAAAAAAAAAAAAAAAAAAAAAAAAAAAAAAAAGAATGGCGTTTCTCTCTGTGTAAAATCCATAATTTACTTTTGAAAAACCGCCAATTAGTATGGTAAGCACTGTAAATTTATCATTTTTAATAGAGTATATCATTTTGATCTATTATCGATAATAGATGGAATTAAAAACTTGCCGAGTCTATAAAGGACAACAGAAAGCTTTGATTGTTCATCTTGAAGGAAATAAAACATTCAACGTCGTCAAGTGGCGTAAAAATCACAAGAGAATTTTAAAATGCGACAAGTGAAATTTTCAGATGTGACAGGTAAAATTGAAGAAGACGACAAGCGAAATTGAACAACGAGACAAGTAAAATTTTAAAGAACCGACAAGTTGATATGGAAATACTGTAGGAGTCATAGACAATTAAAAAAGAATTATTTTAGATACAAATGAATAAATAAGCTTTTTAACACTCTTATGACATGGCAATTGATTATTTGCCTTAAGTTGACTATACGTTACACGATCTCGTTAGTCGAGAAGAATATTTTTTTTTCATCCTAAACGAGGACAGTGTAACAGTTACAGATATAATAAATGCATTCTCTGAAATAAAAAGTATTTCATTTATATTTTTTTCTTTAGTATAAATTTATGATTTATTACGACAATCTATAAAAGAAATTCGATTTTATTTAAGCTTTACATTCCTTTTATAGTTTTTGACATTCATCATATCTGAAATAGATTACAACAACAACTTGGAAGTATTATAAAAGAAGTCTCCCTTTTATTTTGATCTTTTTTTTTTCTTCTTCTTGTAGATTCAACCCTGATAATATTAATATATACAACAAAAAAAAATCACCCTTGAATTTTCCTCTCCTCATTTATCTCTAACTTAGTAACGAATTTGTAAGTTGATTGTCACAGCATAAATATAGATATGTGCTTTAATAGAGAAAATCAAACTTTTTTTTATATAGTGTTTCCTTTTCTTCTTTTTCTTTCTTTTTTTTTTCTTTTGCTCCTATAACTGCTTTGATTATCTTTCCTTTCCTTTCCTTTCCTTTTTTTTATTTATTTTTATATCAACTTAATCTATGCTTTTTTAATGACCACTACTATTCAATTAAATAACTCAAGTACTCATCAACCGACTACTGCAGCCGTGCAAGTGGGTAAATAAAAACATTTCTTTGCTTCTCTCTCTCTCTCTCTTTTTTTTTTTTTTTTTTTTTTTTTTTTTTTTTTTGTTTTACCTTAAAAAATATATATAGATATTAATATTGTTTGTATATAGCACTTCGAGTAAGACCATTAACAGAACAAGATCGAAAACATTCAAAACTATCTAATTCAACCGAATCCAGTAATATAATAAAAACACATGAAAACTCAATAGCTATTGTTCCATATCAAAAATCATTTCAATTGGATTATGTTTTCGATGAAAACAGTACACAAGAACAAGTTTTTCAAGCAGTTGCTTCGAATCTTATTGATAAATTTATAGATGGTATTAAAATACACACACGCACACAATAACTTAGTTTGGCTATGTAAAATTTGACTTATATTTTGTTTAAATAGGTTTTAATGTCACTATTTTAGCTTATGTGAGTTCAACAAAAAAAAAAAAAAAAAAAAAAGAGTAGCATACATATTTATCCATACTCACTTTTCTTTTTAATATAGGGTCAAACTTCGTCCGGAAAAACTTATACAATGGGTACTGCTATAGATGATCAAATGGGCAAAAATACAAAACAAGAAGGTACAATTAACAAAACAAACATATACATATATGTATTAATTCATAAATTGATTATTTTCATTTTTGTAGGTATTATTCCTCGTGCAATGACTGCCTTATTTCAAAGATTGGATACAAAAGAACATCATGTATCAATAAATGATAGGCATACTCCCTCTCCATTATCTAGTACACCTTTTAATTCTAGCTTAAAGATCCCTAGAAGATCAGTATCTGTCGCAAAAATGAGACCAAAGTCAACCATCATCAACATGGATCGACGTGGATCAAGTACTAGTTTACCTTTAACAGGCAATCATATTCATCGTAATAAAAATCGATTTGCAATCTTTGTTTCATTTATCGAAATTTATAATGAAGAATTAGTAGATCTTTTGAATCCTGCTCCACCTAATGAAAGAACACCTGTTATGATTCGGGAAGACACAAAAGGTCATATCATCTGGTCTGGCATAAAGGAGGTTCCTGTCGACAGCACTGAGGATGTCCTTAGGTATATAATAATAATTATAATATATATTGGCATATATGTATATACATACATACATAAATATATATATATATATATACATATGTGTATATATACATATATATTACTTGCATGCATATGACTAACCTAACTTCTCCTTCTCTCTCCCGTCCCCTCCCCCCCTCACTTTCATGAAAAAAAAAATTATAATTCTATATCTTAAAGATATCTTCGAATGGGCACTGAAAATCGAGCAACTGGATCTACAGACATGAATGCTAAATCTTCACGATCTCATGCTATCTTTTCTGTCACCCTTAAACAAGAAAAATGGGTTCCTTCAAATAAAGCCAATAATTCAACTCCTATCTCCTCTTCCGGCTTAAATAATCGGCACACAGTCAATAATGTAAAATCCATGGTTGGTCAAATGGAAAAACAGTCCAATGAAGTTCATCATGATGGTGAATGGATAGTGACGCATTCCAAATTCCACTTTGTTGATCTTGCAGGATCTGAACGTTTAAAGAGAACAGCAGCTGAGGGAGATCGTCGTAAGGAAGGTATCAATATTAATGCAGGTTTATTAGCCCTCGGAAATGTGATCTCTGCTCTCTCTGACCCTTCTAATAAGAAATCAATCCATGTTCCTTATCGTGATTCAAAATTGACTCGTCTCTTACAAGATTCTTTAGGAGGAAACTCTACGACATTAATGATTGCATGTGTGAGCCCCGCAGAAATTAACTTGACAGAGACAGTCAATACAATCAAATATGCCTGTCGTGCTCGCACCATTCGAAATAAAGTCGAAAAAAACGAATCATGGATGATGAACGATAACGTAGATCATCTTCGTCATATCATCTTGAAACTAAAAGCTGAGATTAAATCATTAAGAGCTTCTTCTTCTTCTTCTTCCGCTATTGCTCATTACCCATCTCCATTAGCATCATCTTCTTCATCATCTAGAGGTGGTAGTACTGGTGGATCTTCAAAATCACTTGTATCCTCTACCATCTCTCCCTCTTCCTCTATATCAGATCCCGAACCAGTTGACCTACCACCATCATCCTCACTTGATTTAACTGACCAACATCACAATGAAACTGATATTCTCGTTGCTGATTTACGCAGACAGATAGAGGAGCTACAAAACGAAGTCATCGTTACTCGTGAACGAAATCAATTAGTGGAACATGAATTACGTCAAAAGCCAATTAATACTGATAATGATCATGATGATTTTGAACATTTAGTGGAGCCCGTCATTCAAGAATATGAAAAATCCATTTCTGTCTTGGAATCTCAGTTAGACATGACAAAGGTAGCCCTTCATCGATCTGAGCAGATGATGACTGAACAAAAAGCTAAATTAGTAGAATATGAGACGATGCATACGAATGAGATAAAATCTCTTGAGGATCTCAAAAATCAGCTAACGGAGGTCCTCTTTGAATCAAATCATCATAAGGCCTATATTAATAAATTAGAAGAGCAATTGAAAACCGCTCAGGATGATCAACTCCTGTTGTCTCAACTACGTAAAAAGATTGTGTGGTTCAAAGAAATGGATGAGCATACAGAACACTACATGAATGATCTTGAAGCTCGTTTATCAGCTTCAGAGAATGAAAGAGCTGAATTAACTGAAAGAATTGATTCTTTATTACATCTTCCTAAACATATACCTCAAGGGTGCAATAATGAAAACGAAGACACCCTTAGATTGGAGCTTACAACATGTCAAGCAAAGTGTCAGCAATTAGAAAGTGAACTAAATTCGATTAAAGAAAGGCGTCAGACAGAGGATATTTCAGTACAGACAGAAGGCAATGATTTCGCAACTATCTCTCAATTAACACAGCTTATGATTGAAAAGGAATCCCAAATTGATTCACTTGGTTCTCATTTAAATGAGATAGAAAAAATAAATCTGGAGCTCAATCATCTTTGTCAAACTCATCTCCAAGAGATCAATCGACTTGAAGAAACGCTCATCCATCTAAAATCTACACACGAAACAATGTTATCAGAGGAGCAGGAACGTTCTCATCAAATCCAACAAGCCTTGACTTGTGAATTACAACAAGTGCATCATGATCATGCTAATATTCAACAGAAGGAAGAAATAGCTCAGTCTACTATTCATGCTCAACTAAAGGACCTCAAGAGCCTCAAATCTGACCTTTCTTATTTACAGAAAGTCGAGGAAAAACAAGATGCCATTATTCAACAACTGGAGGCCAAGTTAATCGAAATGGAGAATCTCACATCTTGCTTGCATAATCAACTAGAAGAACAATCTCATGTTGTTGAATTGTTGGAGTCAGATAATGTAAAAAAATCAGATATTATTATTAAGTCTCAAAAGGAACTTGAAGGTGTTCTCAGGGAGATGAGAAGCATGGATTTAGAGAAAACCCAGCTTCAGCAGGTTATGTATTTTTTGGAACAGAATTTAAAATTGCACAACATAAAATCAGATAAAGCCTTAGAGATGGTCAATGATATAAAACATCAATACAATATCCGTAAAGAGGACGTCAAAGAAAAGAGAGCCACCATCGATTTGCTTGAGGCAGAAAATAAGGAAATATCAAAAACATTGAAACATGCTCTACAACATGCCTCTCAAAGTGATAAAATCATTGAAAGTCTAGAGTTAGAATTAAGTAAAACTAGCCATAAACAAGCTGATATTGCTACGCAGCTTGAGCAAGAGAAGATACAAACCGAATATGAGTTGCAGCAGTTGAAACAAATTTTTGAAGACCGCATTCAGGAGCTAGATCAAGAAGTTCAGGAATACGAAGATGAAAAATTAAAAAGGCAACAGGAATTGAGTCAACTTGAACAAATTGTTCAGAAACAGTTACTTCAAAACGAAAGCTTAATAAAGACAATTGCTGAATTAGAGAATACAATAAAGAAAGAGCGCACATTGACCTCCTGTCATGATCATACAGGCATCATAGTAGAGCTCGAAAATAAATTAACTGCATTACAAGAGACTAAAAAGAGTGACGATGATTTTTGGAAGGCCCAATTAGAAAAATCTAAAGTGAAGTTATATTCAAGCTATCAAGCAATTAATGATCTCAAAAATACAATCAAAACACTTGAAAAATCATTAGAAGAAACAGAAGGAAAATTATCTAATAAATGCAGTTATACCAAGCCATATGAAACAATAGCAGTCGACGTTGATAAAGAAGAGGATTTATCAACTGAAAATAGGCAGCCTGATTTAAAACAACCGCCTTCAAATCATCTTTCCTATGAAGAGCTTTTAGATAGGATTGTACAGTTGGAAGAAGATAAAACACAGTTACTGAAGCATAATGATGATTTAGAGTCGCAGCTTGTTCTACAACGGAACCGATTAACCTTGGAGACAAAAAATCTAGAGTTAGAACTTTTAAAGTTGACTGCTGCAAATGACCGTTTAGAAAAGGAAATGGAGCAAGTCATACCAAGGAATATGACTAGCTCAAGTACTGACCCCCAAAACAGAGATTCTGCAAACTTTACTTCACCCCCACAGACTCCACGAATATCATCCTCACACTCTACAACAGTGAATGGATCTATTCAATATATCTTACAACGAGATATTTCTCGATCAAGTCTTGCAAAGTTGTCAAAATCAGGATCATATAGGTCCGTTTCAACACTAGTACATGACAGTTATGTATCCGGTACTACAGAAGAAGATATTGTGAAACGACTTTCTTCTGTCTCTGGAAAATCCGACACCACACTACGCTCCTCGCTGCGAAGTAGTAGTCGTACACATATCAGTTCTACCAATCTGCCGCCTCCAACTGCACCCCCTTCCAATCCTTTGCCCCCAATTCCAACACCTTTACCGGCACTACCACCACCACCACCATCTCTTCCTCCTCCATCTTTTACATCAGCATTACCTTATCTTGGTTATACCTCTGAACTCAGCAGTGATCCTGGATCTCCACCTTTGTACCCTACTACCGTCAGTCAAGCATCACTGCATCGTAATGATTCTACAACTTCTACTAGTTTCAGCGAACTTATGAACTCCAGTAATTTTACTACAGAACAATATGATAAACTCATTCGATCCTTACAACGAAAGGCTCAATGCGCCGAAAATGACGTTCGAGCACATCAAGAGGTCATTACTAAGCTAGAGACTCAATTATCGCGTTCTGAATCTTCTGTACGAGAAGTGAAAAAGCAAATGGATGCACTAAATAGAGAAAAGCAAGTTTATAACCTTGAGATTCAAAACCTTCGTTTACAAGTGACACAATTTGAATCACAACAAAAGACTTTCACAGATGAATCACAATTAAAACGTAAAGACTTGGAAGAAAAATTAAAAGAACAAATTGTATTGAAAGAAAAAGCTGAAAAGGCAAGAAGGATTTTAGAGAATCGTATGGAAGAACTAATGAATAAGAAGAGCAAATTTATGTGCTTTTAGATTATTTGTAGTAGTAATATATACCATTTTAAAAAGAGAGTATACATTGTATAGCTTTTATTCTTTCTTTCTCTCAGAATATATACATATACATATATATTTATATATGCGTATATATACATATATTTATAAATATTATATAATTTTTAAATTAATTTCATGTTTCCTTTTATTATTATTCTTATTATTATTACTATTACTTCAAGTTTGTATTGTTATAATACTTTTTTTTTTATAATTTTATAATAAAATATTGTACAATATACATGTTATATACACATTACGTAAATGTTTAGCCTGACAGTTGTCATCTTGCCTCGCCCCCCTCCACAAACCACTGACTTTAAAATAAATTAACTATGTTTAACCCTGGTGAATGACACTATACATATAATATATGCATTTTCTCATTTCTATAGTATCCTTATAATCTCTATATTAAAGCCTAATGTTGAAAACAAAACTTCGTATATTTCCACAACTCATCATTAAAAGAAGTCACTCAACAATTAGCCCTGAACGTGTAGAAAGTGCATTAACATATTGTAAAAATTTAGTTAGGTATACATAAACTTGAAAAAGAAAAAAAAAAAGGTCCTTTGCTTATGTAAATATTTGTATACATTAGGCAGAGGGACTATGAAGGTTATCTTTGTGTACCATTCTTTCCAGCAGAATTAAGGAACACACAATATGCCATTCGAGCCTTTAATGTTGAATTAGCATCAGTTCGTGAAAATGTTTCAAAAGTCGAAATTGGTAAAATGAGAATGCAATTCTGGAAGGATGTAATCGATAGAATATATGCAGTATGTCTATTACCATTTATTCATTTATTTTTAAAAAATATAAGACGATATTAAATATTAAAGTTTAGGGTCATCCTCCTGAACAACCTATCGCTTTAGCGCTTGCAGAAGCATTAAAGACGTCTAAATTATCAGCCATGTGGTTAAAGCGCATGATATCTGAAAGAGTAAAGTCATGATATACTATCTATTTGTATATTTTTATAGGGCTGTATTTTAATCATATTTAAACTTAGTCTAATAATTTGGATGATCATCAATTTATGACAATCAAAGATATGGAAACTTATTCTGAAAATACTCAATCAAGTCTTTTATACCTTGAGCTTGAATCATTAAATATTAAAGATATCAACACAGATCATGCGGTTAGCCATATTGGTAAAATGATTGGAATATCCACTTTTCTAAGATCAATACCTTTTCATATTAGTCAAAAGCGTCTAGTACTTCCAGCAGAGATTACAGCAAAGGTACAGCATAACTTTTTATATATATACATATATGCTCTGACTTATGATACCTATTATAGCATGATATTGTTCAAGAAAATATATTTCGTGGTGAAATTGATAGAATGGAAGATGCTGTATTTGATGTTGCGACAGCTACATATGATCATTTATTAACAGCTAGATCACTTATTAATAAGATACCAGCAGAAGCATTTCCTGTTTTATTATCAGCTGTAAGTTATATTTATGTGTAGTATATTCTATTATATCTATGATGTATTTTAACATTTCTATCTAGGTACCACATGTAAAATTTTTAGAAAAATTAGAAAAAGTGAATTTTAATATATTTGATACCAAATTGCAAAAGAAGGATTGGAAATTACCATTAATAATGTATAAATCATATAAAACTGGAAATATTTAAAGGTTAAAAAAAAAAAAAAAAAAAAAAAAAAAAAAAAAAAAAAAAAGCTATCTGATTTATCGTCTTTTTATTGTGTTGTTAATGATTTTCGACTAATTTGAGACTCATGAATAGAGAAATTACAAGAGTTACTTTCAGATAATGAGGCTTGATCATCCTTGTTTACTTTAGAAGATGAATAAGGAGACACAATTCTTAAATGATCAATTTGAAAATCATTCTTCGTATAATTATAGGCATTTGCTTGTTGCTGTGTTACCATTATTTCCATATCAATATCATTTTTGCAAAGAAATTCCGGATCTTGCTTTTGATGGTAGTCTGAATTATCAGGACTTGAATCCCTTGGGTAATGATGAGTATTATAATCTACTCCTATTTCTTTTCTTCTTTTACCAGGAGCTTGCGAAGTAACCTATGCATGATCTCATCAGTAAACGCCTATCTTTTTTTTTTTTTTTTTTTTTTTTATTATTATTATTACTATTCTTGTAATTTTTTTTTCTCCTTCCCGTTTCTTACCCAATGAACTGTAATGACGTTAATAGTAACATCTACAGTACAGCATGTTAAACATATAAGCCCTCTTTCTCTTCCTTGAAACATGAAAAGAGAAAAAATATTGGCAAATGAGGCTAATAAGCAAACAATTGAAGCAATCAATGTACGCAATGCAACTTCATTTAGTCTTGAAGTACGCCAGTTAGTAGATTTCGTATTTTTCCCGAGTTTTATCAAGGGTCGAATGAAAAATAAAGCCATATAAAAATTGATTAGCTATAATAATAATAACAATCATATTAATATTATTGTTGATCTAATATCATATATTCTGGCTTACAAAATCGTAGATCTATTATGTACATGTATATATTCATAAATAATTAACCCATAATATACTATAAATCATATATATATTTATTATATCTGTAAGCCTACCAAAAGCGGAAGAGAAGCAATCGATTGAAGACCAATGATGCAAATTCCTGATTCATCAATTTCTGCTACATGAAAAATCATCTATTTGAAGACATCATTATATGATATATATATATACATATATGTATGTGTGTATATGTATAACAAGATTTTAAAACTTACCATTAATACAAAAATCGCAATATATGGCAATAAAAGGCATAAATGGAATCGATAAGTATTTGATTTCCATCTTGTTTGACGAATAGATGATACAACGTATATTTTTTCTATTAACCTTAAAACAAGAAGGAGAGGAAACGAAAAAAAAAACAATAGTCAATACCCTTTAGAAAATAAAAAATAAAAATAAAAATGAAAATGAAACCTGAAGTAGAAGACGTACCATGTATAAATAACAATCTTTGTACTGAAATAAAAGATATCACATACCATAATAGAAAGGAAACATGAAGCATAGTTATCTTAATAATTTAAAGTAACTTTAAATTAGTAATTATCTCAGTAAAATTATAGTAAATATGTATATATATATATATATATATATATTTATATATCCATACTATTGTTTGTAGTGACTAAAAGCATACTGGCGGTTGTAAATGACCAAGAAAGTAAATATAAGCATATTACCAGCCATCGTGAATATGTCAAATACTTGAAATGCACATTAAACGTCTTTATTCCAAAGAGTAAAGAAAGTGAAGATATTGAAAAAATCGATACCACTTTAGCTGCAAGTTCAGCATGATCAGGCTGTGATGAATATAGAGGATCTATTGAAGTGCCCATGATATACACGTTGTACTATATATGTGTTGATCTTTATATTATTATTTAAATAGTAAGACTAATGTATAAAACTAAATAATAAAAAAGAAAAAAAAATAATACAGCATACTTCGAAGCAACCTTTTATAACTACCTTTGCTCCAACTATAAAGGTACAAGTACAGAAAAAAAAAGCTTACTTTAAATATATAACAATGATAAGCAATATCTTTCTATTTTGCCTCCTATTTTATTATCGGTTTATTCTTTCAATTAATAAATTCGATGAGTTAAAATAGTATAAATGCACGCATAAATTATTGACTTGTTGTATAAAATATTTATATACAACTCTATAAGATAAGCATAGCTTTATACATAATGTTTAATGCATGGGAGTATGTTTAGAATTGAATATATTCTGTAACACTAAATAATTATATACTTTTCCTCCTTATTTTTATTCTGATTATTTTTTTTCCCATAAACTATAACAAAAACTCAATATAGCATATATTTCTGTCAAAAAAAAAAAGTTATTCCTATTATGATTTCCCTATAATTTTTTGTACTACGTATAAACTTTTGGTTTGTTCCTATTCTTATTATGCTCAGCTGATTATAGACCTTGACCAAATATTTGGCATTTAAGGAAAAATAATTTATTGCTATGTAATATATGACAATTAAAGTATGGCCGTAGGGCATATATAACCATCAAGATATGTGAGACAAATGCTTTCTCACTATGTTCATAATAAACAGTGCAAATCATTTACATTCATGCGCTCATAATATTTGTTTAGCCAAAAAGCTAGCTAAATATTATATACACAAGTATGAATTTTATACATTATAGATCTTCCAACACCAAGACAATTATTTATAAATAGAAAAATAAGTGAAAAAGATAGAACTTTTTTATTTATTTATTTTTTAATAAGAATTAGTGAAGATAAAAATGCTAAATAAGATACAGTTTTCTAGGTTTCTCAAGTTATACAAATACTATTATATACCTTGATTGATAACAATAAACTTTGATAATTTTAATCTAATCTAAATGAAAGATAACATGGTAAGAGATTTATTGAGTATGAATGAAATAGTTATTTGGTTATAGTTGATTGTGTAAAATATGATCCAAATACAAATATTATCTGTATCGCTACTATTAACTAAAACATACTTATTACATATTTTGACACCGCATAAGACCAAAAGAAAAATATATGTTAAAATTAAGGGGTAAGTCACACTTAACAAAAGAAGAGTAATACTAATTGCTATGTGATAAATTCGTTTCATGTTAAATATGATATATTTTTAAGAGAAGCGGTATCAGCATGTAATTATAACTTGGAGCTAATAATTCAATTTTTTTACGCTTTTTTTTTATTTTTTTTATTTTTTTTATTTTTTTTATTTTTTTTATTTTTTTTATTTTTTTATTTTTTTTATTTTTTTATTTTTTTTATTTTTTTTATTTTTTTTATTTTTTTTATTTTTTTTTATTTTTTTTTTTTTTTTTGAAATATGCTATTTTATAGACTGATAGTTTTGACATAAAAGGAATTATAAAATCATGTTTAAAAATTTCAAGAGCAACACATACCATATTCGTGCGATTGGAAAATAAATTTAGCAGTAATCAACTTGTCAATTTCCTTATATATTTATTTTTTAAATATGCGAAAACAGGTACTTAAAAGATACGATGAATATAAGAAAATTGGATTATTATTGGACATTAACTTTGGTTTTATAGCCTATGAATTGTTCAAATATAGGCATCTATCTATTAAAAGGCACTGGCGCTGTCATGTTCACAGATAATAATGTTTTATTTGATTAAGATAATTGGACTTGTATTACATTTAAAAAAAAAATAATGCCTGTTATTCTCTTTTTTTTTTTTTTGAGGAATCGATAATCGGGAACTTTTATAGGAGAAAAGGTTTGCATTACATAATCAAAAATAATTTTGACGCCGAGTTAATTTAAGCTTTTTTTTTTTTTTTTTTTTTTTTTTTTTTTTTTTTTTTTCTTGCAAGTTTATTGTACTACATAACAAATAAATATTGGGGTAAAAACATACAGCATTTTTTTCAGAAAATACTATTTATTAAATACAATCAAGATGACTCAAACTGATATTTCAAATTAATGAATTGGTTTAGCACACAAATTTGACATTCCAGCTTTTTCAGCCATAGTAAGCAAATTCGAATAGGGTTTCATTAAGGATTTAGGAAGAGTTTTCTTAAATTCTTCAGTATTCATCCAATCAAGTTCATGTTGGAGAATACAAGCAGCACGATGATGACCGCCTCGAATAATCCCCATAGAAGCATGAAGAGTGGCGCGCTTTTGGGATGAGACATAAGAAGCGCGATGTAAGATATTATTATCGTAAAAAACAGTTTGACCTGCCTTCAATTCGACTTTCAATTGACCTGGCATTTTATCACTTCGTGGATCATTAATAGTGATATCTCTTTCGGCTTCAGTTCGTACACGACGATGTGAGTTAGGAACGACATAAAGGCATGCATCATCGTAAAGCGCACTGGAGTAAAAAAAAAAAAATAAATATCATGTTTTGATACATATATTGATTTACTTACGTGTTCCATTGAGTGCCAAAGTGAGGAACAGTAAGTTTCTCTTCTTCCTCTTCTACAGGAGCCTCAGCCTTGATAGCATCACGATGCCATGATAAGTCAAAATCAGACTCTTGAGGGTTTATCAAAAGATTAAATAATTCTATTAAAGATAGTTAGTAAACCTATAAATTTAATAGTTAACAATTTACCTAATTGTAGTTCCTCATGTTTTCCATCAGTCAATTGTTCAACTGCTTCCAAGAGTTTTGAAGATCCCAACCATTTGGCAAACACATTTTCATTGAGATCTGGGTGAAGTAGATGTTGGACACCCCAGACATCAGTGCCTTCTGTCCAAGGAGGGAACTGAGTACCTACAAGACGTCTGAAACATGTGTTAGAATTATATATAAATCATTTTGTCTTTAAGCACCTACCTATATTTCCATTCCCCTTTTCTAGCTTTATCAACAACTCGGTCACAGGCCTCCTTAAGTTCACTAACTAAATCCTCAGGGACTAAGTTATCAACGATAACAAAGCCATTTTTCTCTAAAGATTCATTAATGGGAATGTTATTAATATCTGTTAACATTCTATTATTTATAAGGCAAATGGGAACAAAAAAAAAGATAATATGAACAGGGTTACATTTGTGGGAAAATATTTATGATTTCGAGAACCCTGTTTGTACCTCCAGAATGTTTACTGCTATATTATTAAAAAAAAGGGTTCTTTTTGTAATTTAAAGTAAGATAATTCGTTCTGAATACAAGCCTCTTTTTTGCATACTACGGAACTACTGCTTCATTATTGAAAAAAAAAAAAGAATATGCAATTCAAATTAAAATACTTTGTAAAAAAAAAAATCATTTAAAGGGGGAGGAGGTACAGTATTTGAACTACTTTTTCTAAATTGAAAATATAATAAATCTTCTGAATTTGAAGTTTAAATGCTGAAGAAAACTAATGGGCAATATTAGAAGCCAGCACTGATATAACAGCTTAAATCTCTTTCTTTTGCATTTTCTAATCTTTTTTTTTTTTTAAGGACAAAGATGGTCTATCCTGGAGCTTATGGTTCTCATGGCTACGGCCAACCTCAACAACAATATCAGCAATCTCATGAAAGTTATTCTTTCCCTAATCCTTCAGAACAGGGTTATCCTCCTCCTCAAAACAATTATCCACAGCAAGGTTATCCACCACCACCAAATTATTCACAGCAGGGATATCCTCCTTCCCAACAAGGTTACCCACCTCCGCAGCAGTACAATAACGGCTACAATCAACCATCTCAGTACAGTAGTTACTCATCCCCTCCTTCACAACAACATCATGGCTATTACCAACAACAAACTCATCCACCAACTCCTAATTATGGAAATTATCCTCATCCTTCTTCAGAGAATTTAGTAAGTATTACTTTGTACATTAGAAAAAAAAAAAAAAAAAAAAAAAAAAAACTCATTCCGTATGTAGTATCGTAATAATGAAGCTAGTCAAATCCAACCTCCTCCATATCAAGGTAAGCTTATTTCTCGATTTTACACATAAAGAAACTAATAATCTTATAGGCCCTGATCCCATTTTTAGTCCAAATGATCCTAACTTGAGTCAAGCTAATTATCCTCAACCACCTAATTCAGCTCACAACCAGGGAACTCATCCAGGTACTGGAGAGTGTATTCACTTTTCCCTACCCCTTTCTCTCTTTATTTATATAGAAATATTTAAAACATTATTTTAATATTATCATTTATTGTAGTTCCATATGGTCAACAAACAAATGCCTCAGCAAATGATTTTGTCATGCACGTTAACCCAACCATGAAAAATGAGGCACCACCTAACTTTCAATTATCTAACTGTAATACGATTTTATTCATCTATATTTATATATTAATAACCTATTTATGTATATATAGGTCGAGGAAGAAAAAGGGCTTTGTTGATTGGTATTAATTATATTGGAACAAAGAACGCTTTAAATGGCTGTATTAATGACGTGAAAAATCTCGAGCAGTTTTTGATTAGCTTATATGGTTTCAAAAAAGTAAATTTTAAAGCAAATTAAACAAGATAACACTATTAATTAAATTTATTATAGGAAGATATGGTTATTCTTACAGATGATCAATCCGATCCTAAGTTTATTCCTACAAAGCAAAATATTATAAGTGCCATGCAATGGCTTGTCCATGACGCTAAAGAAAATGATTCGTAAGCTTAATAGTTATAAGAAAGACAAATAAACTAACTTGAACATTTGTAGTTTCTTTTTCCATTTTAGTGGACATGGTGGTAGAGTCAAAGATACAAATGGTGATGAAGATGATGGTTATGACGAAACTATTTATCCAGTAGATCATGATCAATATCCCGGTGAATCCGGTCAGATTGTAGATGATGTAATATTTCTAGCTATAACTTTTATATACATGTATTAATCGTACTTGTAGGAGATGCATGATTTGTTGGTTCGTCCTTTACCAAGAGGAGCACGTCTGACTTGTATTTTTGATTCTTGTCATTCAGGTACTGCTCTTGATTTACCTTACGTTTATTCTACTCAAGGTACTGTTAAAGAAGAAAATATCTTTAAAGAAGCTGGATCTGGTTTATTAAATGCTGGTCTCGCTTATGCCACTGGCAATAAGTCTGGAGCATTATCATCCCTCATGACTTTTGGTAAAAGTTTAATGTCCAGAAAAAAGATTGATGAACGTATCAAGAAATTTAAAAGTTCAGAATCAGATGTTATCATGTTCTCAGGTTGTAAAGATAACCAAACATCAGCTGATGCTATGGAGAATGGTGCTTCAACTGGTGCCATGTCCTACGCCTTTACAAGTAAGTTTTATTTACTTATTATCATCACATTACTAATTAATTATATTATGATAGCTGTGTTGAAACAAAATCAACAATTGACATATCTTCAATTGCTCAATGCTATTCGTGATATTTTAAAATCTAAATATTCACAACGTCCTCAATTATCATCTTCCCATCCTATTGATGTTAATCTTATGTTTCTTATCTAAAAAAAAAAAAATAATAAAAATAAGAATCAATTATAAAGAATGATAAAGATAAGCCACAGAGATCACTGTCACATTCTAAATTATTTTTTTGAAAAATATAATGTAATATCCCTTCTTTTTTTTTTCTCTCAAATTTACATACATATTTAGCATAATGGCACCAACTATTAAGGAAGAAAAGGATACAACTGTTACCATTAAAGAGGAAGAGGAGCAAATGGAATTAGATGAAAACTCAGAAGTTGAGGAAGAACATGAAGAAGAAGAAGATGATGAAATGGATGAAGAGCCCGATTTGGTTGTTAGTCCTGATAAAGTCGAAATTGTAAGGAAATATTGAGTCATTACTTGTTATGGATCTGACATGTGTTTTTTTTTAGATTGGTAATCACGCCGATGCTACTGCTGTGACATTTTGTTTTAAAGATGAAGACCATACTCTTGGTAATTCATTAAGACATGTTATTAATAAGAAGTAAGTTCTAATAAAATCAACATCGTTAGAAACATCCTAATAATGTCTTTTTTTTTTATAGCCCTGATGTAGATTTCTGTGGTTATTCAATTCCACATCCTTCAGAAGCTAAAATGAATGTTCGTATTCAAACTACAGGTAAGCTTCTTAATTTAAAGAAACAACAGCTGTGACTGATATACGTCAATAGACAAAACAAATGCGATAGAAGCTTTGAAGACAGGTCTTTCAAATTTATATGATTTGGTAGCTCATGTTCGTCAAGCTTATGAAGAAGATTTAGCAAAGAAGGAGTATATTGAATTTGAGGAAGTTGCATAAAACTTTCAACTAAACAACTTTCTTAATTTTTGTAATATAAAACTTGTGCAGATATACATATATGAATTTTATTTTGGATTATAAAGCTTTTTATAGTGTCTATAAACAGATATCATTGAATTATAGATTTTATTTTTGTGTGTGTGTGTGGCTCTGAGATACTAAATTCTATTAAACTTAGTAGTATAAAAAAAATATACAAAAATTTACAAGATAGATTTCTTAAAAAAAAAAAAAAAAAAAAAAAAAAAAAAAAAAAAATAGAATAAAATATGAAAATTCGTATTTACTATTGACTGTTAACACTCAATGGCCTTTGATCATCTTTCCATCTTTTTCTTAAATCATCAATGCTGCTGCTACTATGTCGATAATTAATTTTTGCTCTAAATGCACGCGTTGGCGTTTGTGCCAAACGATCAAACACAGAAAGTACACTACTAGTAGCATGTCTTTCAAACGTACTTGGCATTAGAGGTGGTCTAATAGATTTTGGTTGTTGATACCAATTCTCAGATTGTTTTTTATACCCATCAGTCTCAATTTCAAAATTAGGGCTATATCCTTGTAACACAGAGCTGGTTACATCATTATCTATTGCTTTAGACATATTATTTGAAGTGCTTCTTGGATTATTGCTGTAAGTAGATGGTATAGATGACTCTCGATCCATTGCATAATGTTTTAAATTGATCAATTCTCGCTCATTTTTAGCTTGCCAAGGAAGTCCTTTTTGAAGCATATTATAAAACCTATCAGGTGATGGTGTAGATTCTCGTGAGAGTATTAAGCTATTATTTCCAATGGCACCTACCGCTGGCAAATTGTCAAAGTGACTAATATTGTTAGCAACTGAATCAGTAGTGTAAGGAGATAAAACAATTGGAGAATTAGGTGAACTTGTATAATACTTTTTAGGTGAAGGTATTGTATTTAAAGAAAAGTCCTTGTGATGAATCAAGTCTATATTTTTTCTATTATTATAAGTTTGAAAGTTATTTTCCATTATTTCTTGAAGCATTGTATCAGCTATATTGTCTTGGCTAAGATTTTTAAAAGATTCATTGTCATTCATATTAAATTGTTGTTTGATAAGCAGCAGTTCACTCTGTAAATCAGTAACCGTCTTTTCTAAATTTTGAATGGTTATCTGCCTATTGTGTTCATTCATTCTTAAATCCATAATATCATCGAGTAGATTTTCTATAATAGGTTTACATTCATCGACTTCAAAAGATTTGATAAGTTTTGAGGTAATTTCGTAAGCCAATTCAGGGGACGCATTGATAGGAACATTAAATTTTTCTTCAATAGTATCAATGTCTATCCATTCATCATTACTAGACGATGGTTCTGTAACAATTTCGTCTGCAAACATAACATGTTTGACTTGTCTTGAAATTAAATAAGCACCGTTACTTTCTTCTGCTTTTAGAGCCTCATCTGCTGCTTCAGACTGTAAGGCTTGAATTCGAGCCGAAAGATAAGAAATTTCAGTAGATATTAAATCAATTCTTTCATCTATTAACTCAAGGTCGGATGTATTTATAACTTGATCAGTGATTTGATAGTATTCTAATTGAGATTGATAAGTATATTTTCGAACCTCTTCAAGTTTTAGCTTCTCTTCTACAAGACTTTCACGTCTAACTAACAATTGTTCCATCTCGACTACTGCTTCTTTTCCCTGAATATATTGATATAGGGCTTTATCAAGTAATTCCTTTTTACAAGACACTCGAACTTCTAATGGAATGTTACTTTTCCTTTTTGTAAGTCGTCGTCGAGGGAATCCGTGGCCTCCACCACGAACGATCACAGCAAAACGACCCCCCATGATAGGAATTAGATTTGTCAACATCTTTTCGTCAAGTATACCACCTTCACGTACAGCCTTTTTCATCACCTCAATCAATTGCTTTACCTGATTTGTGCTTATCAAAAGTTCATCATTGCATCTTTTAAGTGTGGATCTTTGCTGTTCATATGTACGCTCTAATTTCAACTTGAGTTGATTTGACTTTGCGTATCGACGTTGTAATTGTTGAATCTTCTGTTGTTGTCTAGAGATCTGGTCACGAACACGATCAGCTTCTAACTTCATGCGTTGTGTCAGACGCTTCTTTTCTGTTTTTAAAATTTCAACATTAGATTTTAAGGACCTTAATAGGCTTTCATTTTGGTTCTTTGTCTGTTGAAGCGTCATTGTTATATGTGCATACTTCTTTTGCCATTCATGAATTTTAGATGTTAGATTCTTTATCTTGACTTCATATGTTTGTTGAATCTCTACAATTTGTTTATCTACCATGATATCTGATTTCATAGCTAGGCCAGATTTGGCTTTCATGAACGCCATCTCTTTCTCCTTTTGTGTTTCTACCAATTGAGCTTGGAGCCTATTGATCTTTTCATCCAATTTTTCCCGCATAGATACATATTCATTTTCTGATCTTTCGAGATGAGATACAAGCTTTTCCTTGACTTTAATATCAGACTGAATTTGATGAACCATACGGAAAATCGGTGAGTTATAATCATTTGTGACAAATTCAGACTTTGATTCTTGATCATCGCCTGTAGAAACAGTCTATAAATGTTTTTAGTTATTATTATTATTATTATATCAAGTAGTATACACTTACCAGTTTTTCAGCATCATAGATATCTTCGTTAACGGGAGAAGATGCAAGTGAATATACACCTTCATCAGACAAAACTCTTTGGATTTCATTCAAATTATCTATACGCTTGTCTTCTGTTTCAAAAGCCTATCACAAGTATTAATCTATATTAGTGAGGATACAATGTAATAACAAATAAATAATAATTTACCTTTATTTCTTCTTCCCAACAAACTGTTACATTATTTAAAGGCTGTAAATTGTATAAAAAGGGATTTTAATAACCTTTTTTTTTTTAAAAAAAAAAAAAAAAAAAAAAAAAGGAAAAAAAAAAGGGGGGAAGGAGGACTTACTTTTATGAGTTCCAGTACTTCTATACTCTTTCTTATATCTGCTCGAGCTTTTGCAATACTATCTTTCACTTCCTCATGATGTATGTCATTTTCTTTAATTTGATTGATGTAATCTTTATTTTCACCATGTTTTTGTTGTTTATGAGCTATATATTGTTGTTGTTGTTTTGATTTTATGCGAATATGTCTTTTTTGTCGGCGGCCTGTTCTAGAGGATATACTTGAACTCTTAGTAAGAAGAGGGTGTCGTGCATTTATTTTAGTTGTAACTCTATCAGCAGCAAAACGAGTTGGTGTAGTAAGACTTGAGTTAGTACTGATATGATCATTATCTTTTCTTCGTTTTTTATGACTACTATTTTTTGTCTTTGATAGGCTAGTTGAAAACTTGGGTAATATGTGATTACATGTACTAGGTGTCAATTGAAATGAAGATTGCCGAAGCTTATCTTTTGTTTCATTTAGTTCATTTGTTAATGTTTGAATCGTCTTTTGATATCTTTCAATTATAGGATGAGCTTGAATTTTTCGAGTCGATCCAATATTTTCTAAAAGCTGATCATCCACACTTTCATTTTGCATAAATTCACCTAGTTCACGCTCAATTATTAACGTATCTCGTTCAGTTGTCAATTGAACAATTTGGTCAGACATCTCTCGTAGACGCTCTCTTAATTGATTCATTTCGTTTATATGATGGCTCTTTGAAGATACAGTGGATGATGATGATGATCCCTCTACTCGTAGTGTAGCAATCTCCATACGTAGACGAGAGATAAGCGCCTTAAGTTGATTAACATCTGAGCCTTTCAAGTCTTGATTAACAACAACCCGATTTTTGATGTTACGGGCTCGATTAGCATATTTTAGAGTATTTACAGTTTCCATAAAATTAGTATCAGCTGGAGACACACAAGCCAACATAAGCGTCTGACTATTACCACCCAATGAATCTTGAAGTAGACGAGTAAGTTTGCTGTCTCGATAAGGTATATGGGTTGCCTTTCGTGTTTCATCACCCAAAGCAGATATAACATTTCCAAGTGCTAATAAACCTGAATTAATGGCTATGCCTTCTTTAGCTCGTTCTCCTTGTGCATGTGTTCTTTTTAACTATATATGTATAAAAATGAAAATGAATAAAAAAAAAAAAATAAAATAAAAAAATTAAAAAAATAAAAAAACTTTTTTTTTCCTAGTGGCATATATAATAGTTTATAATATAAAACGTACTCGTTCCGAACCTGCCAAGTCAACAAAATGAAATTTACTATGAAGTGATTTAACGATTCTTTTGCCTGTTTCATCATCTTCAGGTTTCTGTTGTTTTAATATAATTGAGAAAATAGCATGCGATCGTGATGAAACAGAATTCATTTCGGTTGATCCTGTTGTACGACTTAATGAGCCTTGAGCAAGAAGCCTTATTAAAAAAAAAAAAAAAAAAAAAAAAAAAAAAAAAAGTGGTCGTGGATAAGCTTATTAAGTCGAAGTCTATGTACAATTTATGCATAGAACATACCTCAATACATCTTCAGGACCATAACAAATTTCTTCTTTTACGCCACTCCAATAAATATTTCCTGAAATATCTTCTCGAATAGATACATCGCTATGTTGTTGTTGTTGTTGTTGTTGTTGTTGCTGTTGGTTACTGTTAAATGTTCCTGATCTACGTTTTGATGGCTGGTTTAATAAATCTATAAATTCTTCATTATAAAGTTCTAAAAATGATACGTATAGCTCAAACTTATAGTCTTTATCCTGAGATTCTCGTGATTTTAAAATTTGAAATAAATCAATAATACAGCGTGGTATAATGCCTAACAAATACATATTCGGAAGTTATTATTTTTATAGTTATGACAATTGACGAGTATGATCTAACCTTCACTGGTATTGTTATCTAAACTCGTACCCATACTATAAGTTTTACCAGATCCTGTTTGTCTATATGCATATATATATATATATATACATGAATACTTGAAAATTAAAAAAAAAATAAAATAATTATTAACTCTATTTTTACCCATAAGCTAATATTGTTGCATTAAATCTAATACAAAAAAAAAAAAAAAAAAAAAAAAAAAAAAAAAAAAAAAAAGACTTAGCCCTTATAATAAATAATATTATGCTGTAACACTACCCGTCTAAAAATTTATGTAATAAGGGAGATGCTGCATTTTGATAAACTTGTGCTTGGTCTGCATTAGAACTAAATACATAATCATATGTAAATGATTTATCGGTGCCAATCAATATTTGTGGTTCATTTGGTATGATGGTAAGGCATTCTGTACAATTATTAATCAACTCCTTTTCTGTTAAAGGACGAACTCGCAATCCGACTCTATTAGATTCATAAGTAATGTATATTAATGTGGCCTTTTATGTACAGTATATACCTTACTGCAGTTGAAGTCATCTATATAAAATTTAGACTTTCTATTTTTATTAAAATATTGGAGAAAGAAAGGAAAAAAAAAAAGGAACATAAGAAAATGCGTTAATTCCTTTTCTTTTTTTTTCTTCTTCTTTTTGTTTGTATGTGACACACTTAATACGGTACTCCTTCCGACATAACAAGTGCGCACATACATGTATATCTTAAAACTTTTATGTTCCATTTTACATGTAACATAAAAATTCATTTCATTTATTTGTATGCATATGTCTTTAATATGCTTTGTTTATTCCTCTCTTTTTTCTTTTCTTCCGTTTTTTTTTCTTTTCTTCTTTTTTTTTTATTGTCGTTCCTGGTAGGATCACAAAAAAAAGCTTATAATATCACATTATATTCTTGTGCTGCTAAAGTGTGTTCGGCAGTGGTCATTTTGTTTAATTTATTCTTTTTAACCAATCAAAATACATTTGCTTTCCTCAAAAAAAGGGACACCCTGTTTATAGATTAAATATGATTAAACAATGATTTGCCTTTTCTTAGTAATGCTTATTCAGTGTCATCTTAAAAAAAAAAAAAGGTCATTAGGAACTTTTTTTAGTATTATTGTAGTTTATCTAAAAAAAAAAAAGCAAATTTCTTGTTATTAACTGGGGGTGGATGGTAACTATTGCTGATTAAAATAGAGTTTCTTTCATTGGAATATTTTAATAAAGTATAATACAATAGATTATGTTTAAGGGAAACTTTTATTCATCTTATTCTTCTTTATGACTGGTTAGTAGCAGTGGATATTTGAATATTGATTCATAATTGTTTATTTAAACTATTTTAACTTACCAACAGGAACATTTAGCCTCATAGCTTTGTAATGAAATCAACGTTTTTACTTGATGATGGCATAAAAAAAAAATGGACGTGCAACCCAGTCACGTTACAAAAGTATCCAAGTACACCCGTCATCATTTTGCTTTTAAACAGCCCTACTACTGTTATATTAACCTAATCAAATTATAAGAGTAGTCATTTCTGAATTTGTTATACTCTTACAATTGTATGATTCACGGCGTCATAACTATTTTTTGTTTCTTACAATAATGTCTTCTAAATTGGATAAAGCTCATATAGTAAATAGACTTATTACTAAAATTTTAAAGTTAGAGAGTCTGACTCTATGTTAGTACAGTTTATAATAGACTCAGACGTGGTCTAACATAAAATGAGCAACCCTAGATTCTGTACAACTCTTTTAAAAAGAAATAATGATACGATTAAATATTTTTATTTAATAATAATAATAATAATAAAGTTAAAAAGAAGGTCAATGAGTAGATAGTATCTACTAACATATTGAATTACTCGAGTCAGTTTAATATGTGTGAAAAAAGAAAAGAGAAAGGAAGAGGAAAAGAAAGAAGATTAGACCATCAAGTCCAATTGTATAACTAATCAACTAGTTTTGTTTTTGGTTTGTTGGAGAAAAGAAGGAGATATCTTTATCATGTACCAAATTATCCACTTCAAGAAGGATATAGTACAGATGATTGACCACACAATATATCTCATCAGATAAGACATAAATGAGTGTATATATGTAGGAACTTAGTTATATGTGATCTATTGCAATGAGTAGTGTATGGGTGATATAAACAATATTTAGGTGTACTGCCAGGTAACTAACCAAGACATTATTGAATGATACGGCTATTTGCATTATTAGGATGTATAAAGCCAGAGTACAAGGTTAACAGTAAGATAAGATAAACTCAAACAAGTGACAAGTAGTTTGGAGTGGTGGTCATCCCGTAGATGCATAAGTCACTCGAGAAAAAAAAATAACCTTTTTTTTTTTCGAAGGACTCATTCATAGTATCAGATTCTGCAGCATATAGTTATTATTACAGTATTCTGTCAAGTTTTTTAATTTTTACCATTGAATATTCATATTTGAGCTTTTAGATAAAGAGAAACAAGAGCAGCAGCATCAACATATAATAGACAATTAATCGCGCTTCTTAATTGCTGTGTGTTATGGTACATCGGTCGTAATGGATGATAAATATAAAATGGTTGGAAGACTGTTGATAGGGTATAGAAAGGAGGGAAAGGATTGAACCTTGGAGTAAGCTAGTCCTAGAGACAAAGAGAGGCTTTAATAATGTTATTATTGTATTGTGGAAACAAGAACAATAGAAAAGTATGAACGATGAGAACCTAATTAAAAACCCCATTTAGTAGAAGAAGTTTGAAAATAATTATACAAGGCATAAATCAGATATTAATTTATAGCATAACAGTCTATTCATACTATATTATTATTTTTTTTTACATATTGAACATTATTATATTGGCTATTATTTACTTTATTTTCTCAAAGAAAGAAGATTTGAAGCCACTATCATCAACATGAAAGTTATGATAGCAATTAAATCTGCTCTCTTATAGTTAGTAATCCATTTTACTTAAATATACACTCTAATATTTATTAAATTTAATATATACAAATATCTCCTAATCATCATCATTATCCGACATGGACGTTTCTGTCTTCTTTCTTTTCACTTTCTTTCCCATCTGTGCCTTTAGAATTTCTAATTTTCTCTTTTGGGAACCTTTTATGCTCTTTTCGTTTTCTTCCTCCATCACTTCTTTTCTCACAAATATGTATCTTTTCGGCTCTGACGCTAAAATTTCTGCATTGCCAGCTTTACTAAGGCCTTCTTTAAAACCCAGTGTACGACGGTGTTCATAACCTGGAAAATCATCAACATAAAATGGTGCTGTGCCTCGAACTGCCAAAACTCCTTTAGCCTTTACCAAGCTTTTAATTGCCCATAAATTATAAGGTTTGCAAGTTTTAAGTGTTACATGAATTTCTCCTTCTGGCACATCCTCTATTACATCTTGATCATTGCCAACTTTTTCATCAGATGCTTTTGTTAATAAAGGCTCAACAGCATCAAAAAATCCATTAAGTAACTTTTGATTAGCAATTACATTACGATCTTGATCCTTTATGCCGGCACCTTATAACAAAAATTATGAACATTAATTTTTTTTTTTTTTTTTTTTTTTTTTAATTAAAACATACCCACATGAGGAAAATTGAATACAATCTTTGTATATTTATTTTTTCTAATCTCCTTTGGTGGATTTGTAGCATCGACACCAAACAAAACTGTTCCACCAAACGATCGCACCAACTCAATATTTTCTTTGGCTTCCTCATACTTTTCATATAAAACATCTTCAGAATCGAAACACGTAGCCGTTAAATTATCAGCACCTTCTTCCAAATAGTTTTCACAAAGAGATCGAGCAAATGAAAAGTTACCTTCTCCTACCAACAAAATTTTGTCTTTCGAACTGTATTGAGGACGAAGGCGCTTTGGTAAGACTGTGCTGCTTTTTGGAGTTGTACGATTTTTTTTCGCTCTTTCCATGTTTTCCTGGTACTTTTTTGCTTTTATTTCTTGTATTTTTTTCCTTTCATTTTTTTGAAGTAAATTATGAAGTGAGTTGGATAATTTTGCCTTTTTAGATTTGGCCATTTCAAGTAAAGAGAAAATTTGTGTATGTGTATAAAAAAAAAAAATCTTTGTCTTCTCAAGGTAAATATAACAGCAGTCACCGCAGGTACATGATTTCCAAATAGATATTTTATTTTACTGGAGTATTCTCAAATGATTAGTTGAAAGAATTTATTTTAAAAAGAAACTCTGAGATCATTTTTTCTTAGGCAAGGTGAACTGATAGTCGATATTAAGACTATCTTAAATATAGATGTCTATGGTAGTAAACCTCAACATGCTGAATCTATCCTGAATAGCTTGTTTTCTTTATCAACTTTATATTACACAGTCATGAACACTTGTAGAAACAGAACGTACTTTCATTACTGGGCCTCTTTCTTAACGTGCGTTGTGTATATTGATACTCTTTTTCAAACTATAAATAAACCAAGTATTTTTTAAGTTTTAAATAATCCACCTCTTCTGAAATGAAGGAATCAATTATAAAAATAAGACATATGAATATAGGATTAAGATAAGATACATTACAGCTTACTATGATAGGATTATGCAAGTCGTACAACTATTACATGAGCTAAACTAATAATTGCTTCAGAAGTAAGTTTACAATAAGAACAAAAAAGAACTAGTCTTGGATCTTTATCGGCTAAGCATTTTTGCAAAAGAAACATTAGATAAAGACAATCTAAAGGCTGTTATATGGTTCCAAGCTGTTGGTAAGTTCAATATTATAAAACTTCATTAATGCACAGAATACGCACTATATTGGCACATATATATATGAACAAAGATCACTTTTTTATACTTGCCAGCTTAATTTGGCAAATTTTATCTAATGACCGAAATATGAAGCATAAAAATACTATTAACAATTGAAAACCTGCCAATTATGCTTCTAAATTTGAATAATATGGTTAGAATAGCCCGCATATATGACAATTATTGCATTGAATCAAACATAAGCAAAAGTTCATTTACGCATCCAACACTACCATGGTCACTGATTGAAGATTTGATCAGTAGACGTAAAAGTAAACGACTTAGATGCTCTGTAAGATACCCGCAATAATTGTTTTATTATTATTATTATTTATTTGTCAACTGTATATTATTAAAATAAAATAAATATTGAATTCTACTCACACTAGTATTATTATTTACATAAAAAGATACTAAAAACTATTTTTAAAGCACTCGTTTGTCATGTCTGTAGTGTTCATAGCAGATTCTTCGCGTTTATAACGTAATCTCCTAGACTGTGTGTCTATCTCGTATTTTATTTTATTTTTCCTTTGAAAAGAGTGCAAGTCAATAAAGCTATTAGATTGATAAATATACATCGTTTTGCTCATATCATGTGTCCTTAAATTAGCTCAAGTAAACTATCAATACGTTAAACAATTCTTATCTTGTAACTTGCAACAAAAGGAAAATTCAATACCCAAAAATCTGTCACTAACGTTAAAGAATATTTCACCCGAATAACTATAACAAGGAATATTTAATTAACTTGTGAATAATAAAACTGTGTTAAACTACACATGTATGCCAAATTATATATAGTTTATTTATTTTATTTTATTTTATTTTCAATCTTCTTTGCGACAGTCTGAGAGGTTAATTGCCTTGCCTTTGGTTAAAATATGAATAAAGGACATTTCTAATTTGGTCTGAAATGATTTGTTTTATGTTATTTATTAATATCTCTAAATATGATTGTATGTTGGGGGGAGGGGTTAAAGTACAATAAAGCACTTTTTTATTTTTTTTTCTCAACTATTAGCAATATTGTTATTTTCTCTTAACAAGAATAGGCTTTGGTATGTCTAGAAGTGAATACAATTTGTCTCTTTCTTCCTTGATATCATTTAATGGTCCAGCCCTAATTTATAAAGATATTAGTAAACATGTACTTTTATATAATATCAAATGTATTATTACCAGTTAGTTTCAGTGAGAATATGAAGGACTTCCATCACTTTCTCATCATCGTCATCATAAAATGATATTTGAGTAAATAATTGCTCAGATACTTCAATACGGATCTATATAAAATGTAAGTAATGTTTAACAAAGCTATTTCATGTAACTTACTCTTGGAAATGAATGTACAAGATAAGTCAATAGTTGTTGAAGTGTCTTTGTCTTTACTTGTGAATTATTAACTGACATTAATCCAATGAATCTAATATACAAAAAAAAAAAATTCTTAGTGGTCTCTTTCCTTTGTTTTCCAAGAAACTTACAATTTAACGGCTGATAATAATTTACGGATATTTCGACATTTAAATACTTCCTTTCTAACAAGTGTGAACAATTTCAAATGTCTAATAAAACCAATTTAGTTTTGCTTTTTTCTTTCTTTCTTTCTTTCTTTAATCAATATTTCATACTTACAAATTCTCTTGTTCAATTTTTGTCAAGGTTCCAGATTCATATAAAAGCCCCAAGACATCTAATAATGGCATGGTTACTCTATCCTGTTTTTCGTATTTGACAAAAATATCGAGTAAGATATTAAAAATGTCGCTTAGTATAAATTCTGAGTGCGATACTGGCAAGAGGTCCATGTATTCAATGAGACAAGAGCTGGAATAACGTACCTATGTCATGATATTTTGAGTCATATTGTCTTTACCTTTTTTTTTTTTTTTGTTTGTTCACACTTACTAATGATTCTGTTAATCCACCTGCACTTGATATCAAACCAGTTAAAAGATCAAATCGATATTCAGGTATCTTTAATAATTGTACCATGACTGGATACAAATCAGAAGGTGAAGACCACGATAAATCTCTACCAAAAGATGATTAAAATTACATTTCAAATCGATTTGTTTTTAAAATTTAACTTACTGTTTAATATAGTGTCTTAAAACATCTTTTCCAGGACATTTGAAATACTCATTACAAAAGATCAAATCATAAATGACTTTACCAGCATTTGATCTAACTTTATCAATGCGTTCTACACTTTGTTTTAGTAAAGATGCAACCAATTTGGATGTATGCTCCATTGATAGATAGGCTTGACTATCATGATCTAGTTTAGATATACAGGGCAATAAATAGCCAATAAGTTCCATCGTGGCCGTACGAACCCATGACCCAACATCACCTCTCTGATCTGTACTATAGTCACTAAAACATCGCTCAAGTGTGTCAAGTACATACTGGAAATCATCATAAGAAAGACCTTGAATTTATGTTTTTAGAAAAAGCAGAGATATACATACAAAACTTAATATTAAAAAAAAAAATTTACCAGCTTTTAAATTAACTCCAAGTTTACAAAATATGCTATTTAGTCCTATCACAGCATTTCTTTTAGCTTCAGCATCATTTGCAATTGGGTTTTCCTATGCGTATAAGTATAATAGGTTGCCGAGTTAAATGAATATATAATACATACAAATATATATAATATATGTATACATATATGTACTACCTGAACTTGGGATGCTTTGCATAATTGAATCACTACTTTATGAAGCCAACTTTTATATTTATTATAATCTATTGTTCCTAATGCAAGTGTATATCCACGTCTACTATAATAATTGGGATTTGCTGTATCAATTTTACTTATAGCTTCATCTACTTCCTCCTCAGTGATACCATATGCTTCAGCGACTGCACCAAATGCAAGAACAGCGTATGCTTGAACGCTTTCTTCTTTTCTTTCTAATGAACTATGAATAACTCTTTTCCAATCACTTAAAACATGGGTAGCTTCTAAATGAGTCTTGGAAAGACAGGTAATTAAATGACATACAGCCTCTCGAACATGTTCTGATCCAAAAGTTGTAAGTGATCGTGGTGGTAAATTTGACACAATGGGTGCCAATATACTGGTATTATCTTGATAAAGAGAAATAATCTCTGAATTACTTGTCTCGTATAAAGCTAAAGAAATTTCAGCAATAGCAAGCATGGCGCCATGAGATACTTGCAAATCATTACTTGTTGCGTTGGGCACCTTCAAAAAGAAAAAAAAAATTAGCTATGCATAAAATGTATAAAACGACCTAGTTACCAGGTATGGGAGTGCATGCGTAAGGAAATAATTAGGATCTAAAGAAACAAGATTAGAGAGTGCCTTTGAAGCCAATACACGCATTGACTTATCCCAATGCTTGGCAGTAACCGATATTAAATGTTGAATCAAATGATATCTATATTCATCAAATTTCGCAATCACACAGGCAATGTTCAAAAAGGCGGTATTACGGTTGCCGAGTGAAAAATAATCTGCAACTTGAATAATGTCAATACCATGAGGGAAAATACCTTGTCGACCCACATTTTCTTGAAATGCTGCACTACTTGCACGACGAACATTAATCTCTCTATCAAAGACAGAAACTACGACTAAATTTTGCGCAATTTCTTTTACATAAGGTTTCATTATGTGAGGTGCATAAGCTCTTGCAAACGCCCAACAAACATAACAGCAGGCATCACGAACATGTGCACCAATGGAATGAGAGCCTCGTTTTATATCAAACTTAAGACCTCTAAGGATCCAAGGTATCGTTTCCTGAAGTCTTGCGGGTAATAATAAACCTCTCCTAGCTAGTTCTGCGATAGCAAGTGAAGCGCCATGCCAGGTATGATCTGATACTGCAGATAAATCCAATTCATTATTTTTATTCCACAATGTATTTTCTTCAAATAGCTCAAGTAAAGATCCTACAACATCTTCTGCCAATTCTTGAGGAAGTCTTTGTGTGATACGTCCAATACCCTTGGCAGCTGACCAACGAACAATTGTATCTTTATCTCTTAATCCATTCAATAAAATCTCTATAATAAGTTCAAGATGATCTGATATATCTTCTTCATCATCATCATTATTATTATCACTCAAATCATTAGCTGTATGTTCAATATTATCTGATTGAGTACTTTCCAAGTTTTGACGTAAAGATCGATAACCTCTTTGGTATCTCCAGGATGCAATTTTGGGTCTTAAATAGCAAAGACCAACACGTTGTGTTAACTTTGTACGAAGTTTACGAACTAGCGCATTATTTTCATATTGATCAAAAAATGGCATAGTTAATAAGGGTACAATACCATCGTCCAATGTGTCCAATAAAACTTCGCGAGGGGCTAACTGATATGTAATACACAAACTTTGAAGAATACCTGCTGTCTAAATGATATATAATCATTAATATCTTAATATATATATGTATATATATATTTGCTCTTTGTTTATTTTACTTCAAAAACATCTGCATCTGAACTTAGTCTTTCCTTTGCCCATACAATGTAAGGAATTAAATATTCATAACATATATCTTGTCTGGCAAGTAATCTAGCTACTAAAAGACTTGCACCATCACGCTCTTTACCAGTCGAGCGTAGGTATCTCTTGCATAATTCGAATATACGAACAATCAATGAATCCTGAGTAATTCGCTTTAAATCAAATGGAATCATGCATATTAACGATAGCCATATAAAGCAAATATATCGCACTTCCCATTGATCTGTTTTTGTTGAATCTAGTTTAGATAAAAATTCAAATACAGGTTCCAAATCAGTTACTTCATGCGACATAAATTTGACTAACAATAATAATAGAAAGACAAAAAAAAATTAATTATTATTAAACCTAAAAGTTTTGTAAATAAGTCTTACTAATTGTTTTATATCCTCGAGTTTTTGTTAAAAGATACAAAAAACGATACAACATGATTATGTTTTGATTTAACTCATCTGGAGCATCCATCTTCTTTCTTAGACTTATCATGACAGGCTGAATCATGTCCTCCAAGGTATGATCAAGTAAATGAGGCTGTTCTTGGTATAAATCAAGCTATAATAAATGAAAAAAAAAAATAAGCAAATGAAGATGACTTGTTCCTGTGTTTAATTTACAATATCTCTAATCCGATGAAGAGCATTAGTGATTTCTTGCTCTGGAGATTCACTAGTGATGATTGCAACCAAATTCATAAATTCATCTTTATGTTCAAAATGAGATCTTTGTGATGAACAAATTTGCTCGAGATCTAATTGATCGTCGTCCATCTATTCTTTCGTAATAAAAAATAAAATAAAATAAAAATAAAATGAAATAAAAGTTACTAATTTTACAGCCTTATATGCTGTCTTTTAAATTATTATTATTAAGAGTACAAAACTGTAAGGTAGACTGTTCGATTTTATTTTTATTTTTATTTTGATGCCCCTTTTCTATATATAAAAAAAATGAATTATTCTATTGAAACCATTAACCCTCATAAGGAACAGACATTGCCTTCTAATTCCTTTTTCGACTTACAAAGAGCAGCAGTTATCAGAGATAGTCCTTCTATTCGACTAAGAAGAGCAGTAAAAGGTATAAACAAACCATTAAATTTCTTTGGTCTTTCAATTAACATACATTTAGAGGGCAACATTGCTGCAGTAAAACGATTATTGAAAAAAGTAACAAATATTCAGAATCCTGATCCAGAAACAGGCTGGTATAGTATACATATATATATATATGTATATACATATATACCTCCATTATTTCAAAAATGTTAATATAGATGATAGTACAACACTCATGTATGCAGCACAATATGGTCACGTGGAACTGGTAGAATTACTTTTAGAATTAGGACATGAAGAAGAAGTAATCTCGGTTGTAAGTATACATTTAAAAGTTACTTTGTTATCTTAATTAGTTTTATAATATAGGATAATGAGGGGATTACAGTTTTAATGATTGCTGCCATGTACAACCATGAAGAAGTATTGACAATAACAACTTGAATGACTATTTGCATATATTTATATGTAATATAGATTTTCTTTTTATATGTAAGTAAATACCCAGAATGTATTCATGCTATTAGTAAAAATGGATGGACTGCCTTATTATATGCCGCACAAAATGGAAATGCAAACCTTGTCAGTGTAGGGTTCAAATATAGTCTTTTCTTTTTTTTGACTTGACTTGACTTGAATCTTTTATAGTACCTTTTATCTATATCAGCAGATTATGATCATGTAGATAATGAGGGAAACTCTGCTTTACATTATGCTTCTGCATGGGGTCATGTTACTGTTATGGATTTATTGATTGTAAGTTACTAAAGAGCAATTATGTGCTATGTATATTAATAATATCCATAGTCCGAAGGATGTAATGTCGATCTTGAGAATAATGAACATTTAACTGCATTTGATTATGCCTACAGTAATGCAGTACAAGAACATCTTAAAGGTAAATTTTTTAATAAATATTTATATATTTCTATAGCCAATATTTAACTATTACGAGCAGAAATGTCACAAGCTACATTTAATGATGACTCTACAATATCTGCATCTTCTTCACGTCAACAACAACATACAAATAATTTTTTTGCTAGTAATATAACAAATTCGCGTGGTACTTCTTATGCTGGTTATGAAAGTCCTATTCCTTGTGCATCTACTTCTTCTTCTTCTCTTGTAATACCTCCACCACAAGAAGGATCATTAGCTGCAAGTCCTCGTGGATCAAATCAAATTGTAAGTGGTAGTCCTTCTTCTGGATACTCTGAGTTATTAGAAAGAAGAAGAGCAAGTAGTTTTGGTGACACAAAATCAAAAAGGACATAAAAAAAAAATACGTACAATTTAAGAAGTATATTCTACCTTTTGGATATTTTGTAAATAGATATGATATAAGGAATAATATTCAATAACGTTAATTTATTATATTGTACTTTTTTCTTTTCTTTCTTTTTGAATTATAATAGATACAAGTAACTGATTATAATTCTATTTACTAAGCCTATTCTTAAATATATTTCTTTTACTATTAATCTCTTCAACTGTTAACCTTGATGCTATATCATTGTCACCAGAAAATATGCACTATTAAAACAGAGAATTAATTGAAAACTTATTTTATTTTATTTAAGAAAAAAAAACAGTATATGTTACCTTTATGAATTTATCACAATCAATCATTCTTTTTGGCATATTTTGAAGTATTTGAAATGTTTCTACAGAGTCTTCTGCCTTTGAAATACGTTGTTCGTTTAGCTTTAAAAGAGTAAAAGTGACTTGATAAAGTACTTTAAATCCTTCTCCTCTATAGAAAATAAATAAAGCACATTGAATAAGTATAATACAATTTAAATAAATAAAATAAAAACAATGTCTTATTTACACAAAAAAGCAATCCCAAATCCTCATGACTGTTTCAACCGGCAAAATATTAACAAAAAGGGTTAAAAACCAATGCGTTGTTAATAATGTAATAGGAGGTAGTTCATCTCTACAATCCCAGAAAGATGTATGACTCAATTTTGCCCAAACAGCCGGCATCTTTTCGTAAATCATCAGCATCAACGTACTTTGTTCAATTCGACCCCCTTCCATAGTTACATCAAATATCTTTTCAGGAAAATAGTCTTGAACGATAGTAACCAATATCCAAAATGCTTGCTGCTCTTCTTCCATTACAAGTAAAAGAAATCCAGCTACAAAGTTGAGTGATTGACAGTAGCCTATCGAGGGGGAATGAACACTAAAGGCCAAAAGCACACGGTATAATGCATCTGTATCAAAAGAATAATTATCCGGGAAAGTACGATGGATATCCTTTTTAATGGCATCTTTGCAATGGCTTGTGTCCCTTGCTTTTTGTAATAAGTTAAAGTAGAGTTCTGGATTTTTATTCATCTTTTCCTCTGCTCCACTATAATGCATCCAGGCCTTTTAAAAGAAAAAAAAAAGGAGAAAAAAAACCCCCCCTCCAGTTATTAAATATCATATTTCTGGTTTCTGTGTTTTTACTTGTCTTTTACCTTTGGCCTCATCTTCGGCGGGATACCTTTTCTTGCATACCTTTTGACTTTATATATGTTTATAAGTACGATAGATTTGAAACAAAAGATTTTTATCATACTTACGTTGTGGACATATTACTGGCCATTGATGGCTGTTATTAGCAAGTAATCTATTCCAGGTCTTTATTTGTTTTTGAATTGTAATTTTATATCTTTGCTCAAACTCGTATAATACATCAGAATCAACCCATTGCAGAGGTCTTTTAAATCCATAATTATCCCTTTTTTTTTTCAAACAAGTGTTAATATAAATACATTCCAAAATATATATATATATATATATATATATAAATATGATATATATTCACCTTTCAGTTAGTTTGGAAGTTTCACTCTTGGTAGTAGGTATAACTTGAATAGTTTGTAATGAGTTATGACTTGAATTGTCTGACATATAAACTGAAGAAGATGAAGAAGTGGTTAAAGAAGGTGTTCTTAGTGAAGATTTAGAAGTAATTGTAGAATTTGATAAAGAAAGATCTGTAAAAGGACAATAAGGGACACTGTGCTTTTCAGTGTTAAGAAGTAAATGATGATAATCCGTATTTACATAGTTCATCTGTTGCTTATAAGTTGATTGCTTTTTGTATATCTCTTGCTGTTCTTGTTTTGCTTGAATTCTTAATTTTTCAAATGCTTCCTTTAGAATATTTTGTTGCTTTTTTAAATGCGCTTCTTTAGAATTGCTATCACTTGAGACATAATAAATTTCATATAGACTCATGTTAACAAAAAAAAAGGAGATTGGTAAGAAAGTAAAGAAACAACGTATAAAAATGAAAAGAAGGAGTAGAGAAAAATATAAAATGGTTTAGGGAGATATGGATAAGATTTTTTTTTTTTTTTGTGTGTGTGTATGTATGCGTTTTACTGTTCATTTTCTTATATTCTTTTTTTTATCTTTATAAAGAAAAAAAAATACATAGAGAACTGCTATATAAGAAGATAAAAGAGAGAATCAAGTCAATAAATATAGTATCTATAAAAATGTTAACTGTTATAAGCTTTCTTATAATAAATAAGCTACATATCTTAATATGTAGGCTGAATAATCAAACAAAATAGATGTTAATAGTCATCTTTAAATTTATAATATTTACTTTTCATCTTTATCTTTGGCACAATTGATTGTCTAAAAGCAAACTATTCAAAAAAAAAAAAAAAAAAAAACGTGGCATATGCATTTGGATAACTATTTATCCGTGATATTTTTTTTTAACAATTTTGTGGGGTTTAACTAATTCTTTAGAGTTTATACTTTTTTTTTTTTTTTTTTTTTTTTTACATCAGATTGGTACATAAAATAAAAAGTATGATATTATCAGTTTCAGAAGCTGCTGCAACACCGGATACAATTCAGTTTAAATTAATTTTGGAGGAAAACGTAAAGCACATGTAAATTTCTTTTGATGTACGCATTTAACAAACACATTCTTTTCAGGGCAAATCTGAAACTATATTTCGTACATTTCAACAAATAAATTGGATGCATCATAGATTAAAACAGGCTTTCCCAAACATTGTACATGCCCCTTTACCTGAACAACCTTTGAAAACGCTTATTGATGATCAAGATTATGTGGAGAGAAAAAGACTTCAGATAGAAAGATTCCTAAATAGGATTACAAGCCGTGCAGAATTAACAAGACATGAAGACTTTCTTTATTTTTTATCTAATGACATGGTAAAACACCAACTTCTATTCCTGTTATTTAATATTAATATTAAAATTATTAGCCACTTACAAAAGTGGGTCCTAGTACAAGTACAGGTGTGCTGTCTTTCCTAAAATTTAACAGAGTGATCATGAAATCTAAATCTGATGGAGGTTTCAAGTCATATAAGCCAATTGAGATAATTGAAGGAGTAAGTTTAAAGTATATACAGTTAAAAAATAAATAAATAAATAATATAACATGATAGAATGAACAAGACGTATTTCATAAACACCAAATCTATATTTTATTACAAGAATCCTATTTTGGTTTTATAGCTGAATCTTTAAATCAGCTTGTGCATGCTCGGGAAGTTTTAGGGGATGAATTAACACAAATGGGGGACCTGATTATTGAAACAACACAAAGTAAATATAGACTTGGTATAGGTTTGAAGTCACATCTGAGGGAATCGCAACGTTATTTGGACAGAAAGATGCAAATGTTGGGTTTATTAATGGATGAGTTGAGCTTTATATTTACGAGACAAGGTAAAGAAGAATACATGAGATTTGGTGATGTCATGATTGAGTATAAAAACTCATTTGAACCACTTAAGGTAAATAAAATATATGCTAACAGAACATATTTTTTAAACAAAAATATATATATCATGATTAGATAGTCTTTAATACAAGAATAATAAAATTAATGGAATATGTGGATCAACTGAAGCTACGTAACAGAAAAAGAGATAAAGCAGACAAATTAAAGTTAAAAATAGGCCTAAGTCATCCAGAGTTAAATCAAGCTATAAATGAAGAAAGAAAGGCAAGTCAAGCATAATAAGTGAAGCATTATATTTCCATCATATTTATCCTATATAAAAACAGGCCACTGAATTATTAGAAAAAAGTAAAAAAGAGTTTGATGACTGTCAAAACCAAGTTAAGAAAGAGTTTCAATTGTTTGAAATACAAAAGAATAAGAACTTGCGAAAATCCATCAAAGACTATGTTAATTTGAGTTTACGTTATGAAAAGATAAAATTACAGCATTTAGAAAAAACATTAACTGACATACAACAAATAAGCAACAAGACTTCCTCTATTCAAATACCCCTTAATTGTAATACAAAGAAGAGAAAGCAAGACTATAAAGACTTGAAGAAACCATTGCAATCTTCGACTTCTTTACCCACAAATCAACATGAACACTATTTAATAAGAATTTCAGCTTCTTATGATGGTCGATTTAATAATAAAGATTGGTTATTGCCTAAAGAGTAGCAAGAATGATTATATATTATAATAAAAAAAAAGAAAATTAAAAGTTGAGATAATAGCATTCAAGTATGTATATTTGTATAAAGAATAGAGAACAGTAATTATGATATTCAATGTATATAATAAGATATATCAAAAGGTCTTTTTTTTAAAACTTAATAAGGAGTAAACAATAATATAGTGAATTAGTCTATGAGCATTATGTCTTTTACACTATTTGCATGCAATTTTATTTATTTAAAAGAAAAAGCTTCGTTATATACTATTCTCATATATTTATATACAATCACTAAAGACTATACATTCAAAGATACGTGATATGCTCCCATATAGGAATTCATGCTAGTATAGCTTTCATTAAGCATAGTTAGATTTATTACAATAATACATTCAAGTCAACTAAAGTAAAAGTGCCTTATGTCCTTTGTTTTAATCCAATATATAAAAATACAATTTAATTCTTTTCTTGTCTAAGATATATGATAATCGTGATATATTTCATCAGCATGTATTATAAAACAAGTATTTTTTTATTATTCACTAAGAAACTACAAACGAAAAAAAAAAAAAAGAGGATTGTATAAATATATAAGTAAATATATTTAGTTTCTCCTGAAATATGAGTTTAACTAAAGATATTATGATAACGATTAGTGTGCTATTAAGATTATCCAATTAGATTCATCACAGAGATTGTGACGCCTTTTTATGACAGTTAAAAGCATATGATAACGGATCAAAAAAAAAAACTATAAAAGGAGGTCATTTTCATGCCCAAACTTGCTTTTTTTTTTCTTTTCTTTTTCTCTTTATACAATCCTTTTTTTTCATTTGTTGGCTTGTAAAAGGGCTGATGAGTGATTTTTTGGGATGGCTTCATAGCTTAGTTAGTATTTTGTATGCTTTCTTTCTGGATTATGCTCACCTCTCCAATGTATTCTAATAACGATGTAAACCATCATTGATAAACATTACGAGTACCTCCGGGATAAGTATATGGAACACTGCGACGTTATGGGGCCCATTTTTTTTATTATTTATATATTTATATAGCAGATTTTATTATAAATGAAAAAAAAAACAATATAAATACAAATATTACGCGTATAAGTATGTATATTATTATGCATGTAAATATATCCAAGTGACAAAGACTGTTTATTCTGTACAAAAACTTCTTTTTATGTATTATTCCCTTGCAACTAATGTATACTAAATCATAATTATTGCTTTATCTATGAATATATATTTACGATATTATGTAATAATTGTTTTTTTTTCTTTCTATGTCATAAGATTTTAATAATGAAAGAAGAAAAAAAAAAGTACAATAATCGATGTGATATATATTCCAAGATAAATCATCATGAACATTGTTAGAAAAAGATCAATATACTTTATAAAAAAATAGATTCTTTTGGAATAGCAAATGTAGGCTGTCATTTTACAGAAGAAAACCTATATAGTTGAAACAAACCAATGACACTATTCTTTAAAGATTTAGTAAATGTAATCTGTTACATGTAAAAATATATTTATAGAAAGTAGGTTAAATGCCTTTTATTTATAAGTGTAAGACTGCCATTTATACAAGAATCAATCCTATATTACAAGCCTTTCGTTCTCGAAAGTAGTATGACTTTGGATAAGCTCTTGGTAAAAAAAAAAGTAGAGAAAAGTAGAATAATTATAATTAAAAGTTTATTCTTTAATATTATTATTTGTGAATATAATAAAACTAGTAAATATTTTTTTAAGGTCCTTAGACAATTAAGTGGACGAATTATCACGAATACAAAGACATGGTAGTTTTTATCTAAAATATAAAAAGCATATAGTTAGTAAAAAATAAAAAAAAATAGATATAAAGCTGTTATAACTAGTATGACTTATAAAGAAAAGCATTATATTTTCTATATTTTATTATACTTATATATTACGTTTGATAGTTTTTTATACTACTGTTAAAGCATTTTTTCTATCAATTATCATAGTTTCACTTATAAGATAATAAGAAGCTATAATGGATTCATGACTGTTAGAATGTAATGATTTCATTGCAACAAAACAAAGAGAGAGACATAATAAATGACAATAAATGTACTATTATAACAATAGTATTAAAGGAAGTAATCTAAGCATACTATAACATATAGTTTTTATAAATTGACCAAATATAGATAATAGAAAATTTGAATGCACAATCCAGCAAGTTCAAATAACAATATTTATGTAAAGTAATAAAGTGAACTTAATTCGTTTAGAAGTATCTTGATATGTATTTTTTTATATGTGTAGTAGTCATATAAGCAAGCTTGAAAAAGTTGGACAATGAATCATGTTTGAGCTTTGCTTTAAGATAGAATACGTGCCAAACTTTCTTTTTACAGTCTTGATATATCAACAATAAAAACCATCATTTAGTCTTCTTGAAGATTAAATTTGTTTATTATATTTCGGGCTAAACTGTCTGTAAAGGATAAAGTGAATTCAATAAATTACATGTTTTAAATTTCACTTGTAACAGAGGAAATACAATATCATTACGGAACATAGAAGTATACTATATAAAAGTAAAGTTTAGTTATTAATTAGATATAAAAACTTTTTTTTTTTTTTGGTTTTGCTTTGCCTTCTTTCAAAGACTTTTCTTATTTATATTTGTTTGGCGTCACATTCCACTATTGTAGTGTTCTTTTATTTATTTCAACTTGTAATAAAAAGCATACTCTTTCCTTCTTTTAATGTAATATCTTTTCTTGTATTTATTTATTAGATTAAAAAAAGGGGGTATAATAGGCACAAGTGATACAACTATATTTAAAATATAAAGAAGGTATTATTAAAGCTTGGCCTAGTAATATTAAGAAAACATAATTTAGAAATAGAAACAAAGTACTTGTGATATGAGTAGAGGCGAAAAGAAGCATAGATAGACAATGCTTAAAAAAGAATAATATACCCAACTACAAATGATATTAAGCTTTGTAAATAATTTAGGGTATATTTTCTGTATGTCAAAAAGGTCAACTCAAGAATACTGTTTTTAACTGCAATCATAGTAATCTATTTAATTTACTATTAATGACATGATAATGTCTTTCCTTGTAGAAATATAAACAAGCAAAAAAACAAAAAACAAAATAAAAATGTCTACAGTGAGATATTCTTTACGTGCTATTTATACGCGTAATATTTATATTTATATCGTTTTTTTTCATTTATAATAAAATCTGCTATATAAATATATAAATAATAAAAAAATGGGCCCCATAACGTCGCAGTGTTCCATATACTTATCCCGGAGGTACTCGTAATGTTTATCAATGATGGTTTACATCGTTATTAGAATACATTGGAGAGGTGAGCATAATCCAGAAAGAAAGCATACAAAATACTAACTAAGCTATGAAGCCATCCCAAAAAATCACTCATCAGCCCTTTTACAAGCCAACAAATGAAAAAAAAGGATTATATAAAGAGAAAAAGAAAAGAAAAAAAAAAGCAAGTTTGGGCATGAAAATGACCTCCTTTTATAGTTTTTTTTTTTGATCCGTTATCATATGCTTTTAACTGTCATAAAAAGGCGTCACAATCTCTGTGATGGATCTAATTGGATAATCTTAATAGCACACTAATCGTTATCATAATAAACATAGTAAACAAACGTGATACCAACAATTACTCCTTAAAAAAAAAATATACACATATCTCTTTTAATTATTATTATTATTCCTTTTGTTTATAGTCTAATTCAGTAAGAATAATATATATGTTTATACATTTTTATAATAAGATCTTTAGTCAAGTCAACATTTCAGGGGAAACTTAAAATAAAGGGATAAATATCAAATATGTATAAATATATGTGTATACCATTTTTTATTAAATATTTACATTTTTACTGTATGGCAGTCTGCTTTTCTTTGTATTTAATCATAATAGAGCTTCTTAGTTAATGCGCTTGAAAGAGAGAGAGAAAGAAAGACATGCTACTGCATAATTAAAATACTCGTTATATACTCAAGTTACTTGTTGAAGGTGCTTAATTACAATTTTGGCATATCCATATATTGTGTAGAATGACTACTTTAATTGTATCATTGTGCACATGTTGTATATGTCAGGAACTAAGCTTTAATTTGTACTACTCTTAATTACTTCCATAGCGTTGTAACTCATCAAAGTATACCTATTTGAATTTATATATATAAATACTCTTTAATAATAAAAATGAAAGGATAGTTAGAATTGGTTTCAATTAACTATCTTTGAATAGTCAGTATTTGATGAATCACTTATAGTCTTTCTCCTATTCCTTTTACTGTGTCTTTATATTTATTGCTGAGGATATATCAATATTCTTATCATTAATCATTCTTCATAAATTTACATCAAATAAGCATACCAATACTGATTTACAGAATATCAGACTTGTATAAATCATATGGGCTATCTTCATTGCAATGTATGTATGCATACAAGAGTGTGTCGTATCATAGGGAGCTCTACTATTAAAGCATATTTGCTCATTGTCCTTACCTTAATCTTTCTTATTTTAATAGTAAGATGGATAAAGCAGAGAAACGAATGTATTACGATTGTTTTTTTTTTCCACATAGTTTCCTTAACTCACAAAAAAAAAAAGCAAATACTCCATGTAAGTACACAAATAATTTATTAAAAATTATCAAAATTGCCATATGTCTTTTTAACTTTTTTTGTTGACTCTAATTCACTTTCCACAGGTTCTTTTCTTTTTTTTACTGTGTTCAAATATTTGCCTACACCGCCTTCACTTTTGGACACACTAGGTCCGAACCATCCCATCTTGTCTTCTTTTTCTCGCTTCCTTCTAGCTTCTTCATCCTCTTTTTCTGCATTTGCTTCATGAGCAAGTTTCTTTTTTAATCTAGTTTGATACTCCTCAAATGGATCTACAAATACTTGTACTTGTTTCATAATAATTTCTCTTTCTGGACGGTCTCGTTCATCAACTGGAATTGTTTCTAGAATTTTTAAAACGTCCATACCACCAACAACTTTACCAAAGACTGTATGTTTTCCATCTAAATGTGGTGCAGCTGCATATGTTATAAAACTAAGAAAAAAAAATAGGCATAAGATAAGAGTTGATTCGATTATTCTTGTTTTCCCCCCTACTTACAATTGTGAACTGTTGGTGTCCTTTCCTTTATTAGCCATACTGAGGATACCACGAGCATTATGTGTTAACGTTGTCTTAATTTCGTCAGGAAAATCTCTTTTCCAGAATGACTCGCCTCCCCTACCAGTACCTGTAGGATCACCACCTTGAATCTAGACAAATATATTAATATCAATCAACACAGATTTTGTATATATTTATACATATACATATCTCTGTATGATATTTACCATAAAGCCCTTAATGTTTCTATGAAATTTAACTCCATCATAATAATTACTTTTAGCAAGTTGAACAAAATTATGACATGTACGTGGTACTCTATCACTAAATAATTCCAAGTTGATGTTTCCAAAGTTGGTGACAATTCTTACATAAGATTTTGATTTGATACGTTTATACATGAATTCTTCTTCATCGATTAAGGCTCGCGTCGCTTGGGTATATGCACTCATGGCAGTAGATGTGAACGACTCTGCTGCTTCACCTGTTGTATAATGTGCTGCATTATAAGGCAAACTCTCTTTCTTTTGGTGAAATGAGACTGGCACTTTATTATCCTTTTTGGACACTTCCTTTGTTTCTTTTGCTGCTAATTCGTCAAAGACTTTTTTTGTATTGCCCATACCCGCCACATTTATGTTATGCGTTGGTTTTCTTCTTTCAATTTCTTCTGCTACATTAATTACTTTTTTATTCGTTTTCAAGTAATCAAATTTGGACATGTCTTTGTTTTCTAAATTATGTGGATCCTAACGAAAAAAAAAAAAAAAAAAAAAAAAAAAAAAAAAAAAAGGTTAAACTAATTCTTATTCGAGTGCAGGATTCTTTACCTGAAGCATAATAATGTCCTTTTTGGTAAATGGCTCATCAGTCATCAAATCTTTCCAATGTTTAGTTTTAATATTTAACTTTTCAATTGTATCATATGCATATACATTGCCTGTTGTTTTGATAGCTGCAATGGCTGTATGATCTGTAAAGACTTTAAAGGTAACTGGGCAATAATACTCATCTTTGTCGTTTTTGGAAAAGTTGAGCTTGATCAAGTTCTTCATCTCGAGTTTTTCACCAGTAACAGGATTAGTGCCATATTTTTTAATGTAAGGGATAATATGTACCAAGTCGAAAATGATACCCTCAGATGTACAAACAGGATGTTCAAATGGTTGAAGTGAAAGTGAACAACAATAAAACGGTAAGCGTTTGAAGCCTTCTGAAGTCCTCTTCCCAGTAATACCTGAGGCAGCTGAATGTTGTCCAACTTCTCCACTCCATTCAGAATGTGTAATATATAATTTATCTGTCCATTTACCCATTTTTTTTTTTTAATTAAATAAAAAAAATAAATAAAGAGGATAGTCTATTTGGACAAATTACTGCAGACTTTTTTTTTTTTTTTAACGGCGAACGTGACTTTCAGTTCATTATGAACAAGTTACTATATTTTCAAAACTATTATTAAAAAAAAAATAGAATATATGAAACAAGTGTCTATTTTTTTTTTTTTTTTTTTGCCTTTTTTTTTTTTCATTCATATATACCATGTTGGAACCAGACTCAAAACAAAAAGACATGACGACACAAAGGCGTCGACCACTTAGCTTGATACCCGATCTAGATGTTCCTCCATTAATACCTCGATGGTAAACTAAAAAAAAAAAAAGGCATAAAAATCTCTTCTCAAAAGAAAAAAATACACATTAACATGCTTAAAGGTTTCATGCTATTGATAATCCAATTATAGATCGCACTTCTATAAGAAGAGCAAAAAGTTCTTCAACCCTTAATAAACTATCACCGAAAAGCCCTTCTAAAGTATCTCCTAGTAAATGGGTACCTTTTTCTAAACGTGACTCCGAAGCACTTGAAAAAGCTTATCAGGTACGTCAGTTTTGAAAATATATATATGTATATATGTATATATATATATATATATACTAATTTATACATAGAATAACGATGTTAGGGCAAAAGTATCTGTAAATGAAGACCATTTGTTTGAAGTAGATATCACTCAAAGAACAATTAGTCCTATTTATTGGGAAGGACCAACTTATGAAGTACGTAGAGCAACATGGTTTATGCTGACAGATGGTTGGGTACCATGTGAAGAAAACATTGCAGAACAAATAGAATTAGGCTATTATAAATTTAAGCCTTACAGGCCAAATGTAAATAATACTGAGGATTCCGTAGCAGCAGAAGAAACAAAATTAGAGATATCATTATCAAAGCAGTCTGTGGATGTACATTGGAACCTGTTGGGCCCTTACTTGGGTCAATATATCGTGTACACGGGTGAGAATACTGCTTGGCTATTATCTAATAGTACAAGTAGTAAACTAGCTAAAAGTATTATTAAACGATTAACGAACAAACATAACTTGGGCGGTATTCGACTTGTTCGTGGATATCCTGCCGTAGAAGAATTAACCAAGAAATCAAAGATATCAACAAAATCAAATACATCTACAAATGCTCCATTAGATGAAGAAAACAGCAGTAGTAACTATTCCTCTGATGAAGAAATAAATACAACAAAAGAGGAAGAAGAACAGGAAATAGAAAAGAATGAAGCAATGGATTATGATAATGAAAATAGTGAAGAAGAAGTAAGAAATATAGACCATCTTATATTTGTCATTCATGGGTAAAAAAGCATATACACCTTATATAAAAAAAAAATTAGCTAATTATTATACATATATTACCAAAATAGCATTGGTCAAAAAATGTCTGAAAGAACGGGACAAACCTTTGTACACGGTAGTTGTATAATGTTATTTATTGTCATGTATTTGTACTAATGGCTTTATGATAGATGTTAATATAATGAGAAAAACGATAAAGTTAGCTTATAATTCAGCAATAGTTACAACTTCAACTCCTAATAAACCAAATGGAATACAAATTTTACCAATTATGTGGAGGCAAGATATTAAATTTGGTATGGCTGCAGATGATGAAGGTTATGAAGCTGATCTTGGTACTATGGGTGTAGATGATGGTTGTCCTACTTTAGATGAATTAACTTTAGAAGGTGTACCAAATATAAGAACAGTTATTTCTGATGTCTTGATGGATGTTCCACTGTATATGACACCACGTTATCGTGAGCTTATGACACAAATTATTGCAAAAGAACTTAACCGAGTTTATTACTTGTTCTGTATGAGGAATCCTGAGTTCGCAGAAAAAGGCAAAGTTTCGATATTTGGACATTCGCTTGGGGTAAAATGATTTATATACGTTATGTTAAAACAAAAAAAAAAATACTGATTTCTGTTTCCAGTCTTTACTTGCCTTTGATGTATTAACATTACAGCCTGTTACACTACCTGATCAACATGTAGATAAAAAAATACCAGATAAAAAATTACCTCCTCCTCTTTTATTTCCAGTGCAAAATTTCTTTGCAGCAGGCTCCCCATTAGGTGTAATTCTATTATTACGTGGCTTTAAAATTGCTTCACGTAAATCACTTTCGGATGTCAATAATGTACTCTCGGATATTAAATCACCTTCACCTACTTCAATTAATTTCTGCTATCCAGCCGTAGAAAATTTATATAATATCTTTCATAAAGTAAATTCCATATTATTCTAATATGTATATATGTATATTTACTTGACCTTTTTTTTTTTTTTTACTAGTCTGATCCTGTTGCTTATCGACTTGAACCTTTGATTGCTCGTCATTATAGTTCAAAATTAAAACCCGAGTATATCCCTTATATGAAAGGTGGGTTAAAAGGCGTCATTGACGCTAGTTTTAATGTTGGCTCGGGTATTGCTAATCGTGCAGGAGCCATGTATGAATCAATCAAGATGGGATTAACTGCTAATTTATTTATGCGTGGTTTGGGCCTTTCTCGACAGCAAATCTATGAAGATATACATCCAAAAACTTCTGATACTATTTCAGAAGAGAAAGATACCAGTAGTCAACTTACTCGTGTCAGGTCTAATAGTGATCCTACACGATTTGAATCTTTATCTAATGATAAAACTCAACTATTTAAACGTACAACTCAAACTGATAAAATATCAATTAACTCAAATGGCAAATCTACATCAGGGAAGACATTGCCCTCACCATTAATGACACCTAACGACACATATTCTCAAGGAGCGCGAAAATTGAAAATGCTTAATGTCACCGGACGTGTAGATTATTGTCTGAAAGAAGGATTACTAGAGAACCCTTATTTAAGTGCATTCAGTGCACATATGCAATATTGGCAGGTAAATCTTTTATGATTTTATGTTATTTTTTTGTATTTATTATATGCCTTCTAAAACATATATTTATAGGATATAGATGTAGCAGCATTCCTTATTAGACAAATATATAATGATAATGAATAAAGGAAAAAAAAACATACACACACACACATACATTCATTTATTTACAAGGCCTACCAAAAAAAAAAAAAAAAAAAAAAAAAAAAAAAAAGATATTATGCAGGTTTAACAAGTAGAGTTTGACTTTGACCAGGACGTAAGACAATGCTATATTTATCATCATATACACCTAAATTCTCCCCAGTCCAAACATCTTTTAATTCTGCTCGTCTTAAGCCAATATTTACAAAATTGAGTGTGACCTCATGACTTAGTCCAAGCATAAAAATGTATGTATGTGCATTGATCAAACAAACATAAATACGACCGTCCTTTAATTTCTTCCACCAGACTTGCTTACGATTTAACCATACATTACCAGAACCAATTGGTCTTGCCATGATACCACTTTGATGAATCTCTAATATTTCCTTATGATTATACCATCTAAGATATTTATCAGGGATTTGTCGAGGATCAGAACCTATGCAAAAGACAGAAGAGACGATGGCCCAAAAACTAATACAGGTTTGCCGTACATCATCATTGTCTAAGCCATCGATACATTTACCGTTCACCGTCATACCGACCAAGACAACATCTAGATCAATATAGAATCCATAATCGCTTCCCACTACGCAAGTATCAGCCCATTTTTCGCATGGTGTTATACGTTGCATAATACGATGTGAGGATGTCATGGTCTTGGTTGAATAAGATTCAATGTCAACATAGATTCGTGCACCATTTGATATTTGAGCCCATTCGTCTGCATAAGTTACATCAATTTGCCATGATATTTCAAGCCAAATGTTGTATCGTTTAAATGCTTTATACAACATTTGAGTACAAGCACGATTATCAGGTCCTGAAAAAGGGTAATATTCACTTCCACCACCAGGACCCACTGCATCTAGTTTAACAAATGAGATACCCCACTCATGGAAAAGATCAGCTATTGAATCATAGTATCTTTGAACGAGATCATTGTGTTCGTCTGGCATATAAGTAGTACCTTTGAACCCACATCCTTCTTTACGTGAAGGTACAAGTTCATCTAATGTATGCATTGTTCCTTTAATTCGTTTTTTGTTGTCAGCCGCGTCCTGACGAACACCAGGAAGTATATAAAGACCAAGTTTGTGTCCATTCTTTTTTAAATGATCAGCAATGGGTCGCAAACCATTAGGGAAGACATCTTTTCGAACTGTCCATCGACCAAATTCATCACATGAATTACACCTAAAAACGACATACATTCTCATTGAGTGAAACTATTTAAAAAAAAAAGGTTGACTTTTCTCTTTGTTTTACCATCCAGAATCTATATTTATATATTCATAAGCTGGCATCTTGACTTTCATCGCATCAGAAATGTCTTTAATTTGTTGTTCATTAAACCTTCAAAATTAATAATATTATAAAAAAAAACCCAGTAAACTTTGACAGCTAATGAAACAGCTTACCAGGGCTTAATATGCTTTCCACCATAACCTGGCACATCATCTAATAATTGTGAAGACCATGTCGAGAAACCAAGTGCTGGCTTTCTTGCAAATTCGGGAACTCTAATCATTTATGCAAATGAGTACATATTTATATATATTATTGATAATTAGAGCAGACTTACTCATTAATGTTTGAAGGCTTTTTTTCAACAGTGAAAGATGTTATGGTATAGTTATTACTATTATAATTATTATAATTATTATTACTTCTTGATACCTTCATAATTGTTAAATGAAAATAAAAAAATGAAAAAAAAAAAATAAAATAAAAAAATAAAAAAATAAAAAAAATAAAGGAAAATTAAAATTTATTTCAAGGAATAATGAAATTCATTTTTTTTTTAAGCTTAACCAAATGAGGTAGATTATTATCATAAACCAACAGTTAATTTAGAAGAAGAAGAAGAATGATTACATGATGGAATTTAGTTGTACGACCCTAATGTCATATTTTGAAAATACAAATACAAATCATTTGCATAAAAATAATTACTTTGTGCAGCAAAATTGTATTCATTAATGAATCTCTCTTCTCCTGACAAAGTCCAGTAATAGAAGGAAGGACTTTTGTTTCTTTTCTTTTTTTTTCCCTGAATAATCAATATACATGCATTTTAGCAATGTTAACTACTCCATAATAAGCATAAAAAGAATGATAAGCAATATCCTTTATTTGTGGTTATATCCCAATATCTACTAAACGCAATCAACTATGCAAATGTGCAATTTCTTTTTATCTAGATTCTTCTTCTCACTTATTATCTAAAAAGGAATTGTATGAAAAAAAAAATGGCCTATTAATCTAGATATGATGTTCTTGCTAGTATTTTGTACAAAATCAGAAAAATACTAGTGATGATAGATCTCCGCTTTTGAAACTTTTCTTTTTTTTCCCATACATACCACCCCTTATACAAACACCATAAATGCTACCTTCTCTCAAAGCAGTTAGTTTACTTTTTTGAACTATCAATTAGAAAGATGTATGTTGACCACATATTTTGTAGTTTCTCGTCAGTTTTAGTTATAGATAAAATCTGGTTTTTTGGATAGAGAATAATAGAAAAAAAAAACCTGTTAACTTATTTGTTATCCTGTATAGCTTATAACTGCTTATTTCATGATGGATGTCTGTAATATAAGTAGCAGTATACACCTTTTTTTTTTCTTCAATAAATATGAACTCTATAACGGTAATATGAGTATATCTAATCAGATCTGTATTGCATATATATGTGTTAAACACTAGCATTTATATTCTTGAATTATATCCTGTTTCATTCAAATTAAAAGGGAAAAATATATATTTTGTATACTATCATTCCTATCTTATCATCACAAGACTATATTTCCCTGTATTTATAGTATATTCTTATTCTAAATTTTATAATAGAAACAACTCTAAATGACCGAGTAAAGTTGTTTTATTACTCAGCTAAAAGCTTCAAGAAAGAAGGAATCTCAAATCACTCAAATTTACCTTCCAAATACGGTCCTGTACATTAACATATATTAATATTGTATTCCTCAAAAAGCTTTCTATCCATTTTTTTTTTTTGGTTTGTCTTGTTGAATTAATATTAGTTTGTTGGTTATCTTATTAGCAATAGTAGAACCTTCACTATTTTCCAGTACAATAGATATCATAAGTGTAGACGCAAGTCCTAGGACATTTATTATTATGCAATCTTTATATATGTATATCTATACACGTATTTATTATACTAATGATCCATATGAGTTGCAGCATATGTCTTTCACCATATTTTATGAATGAGTTTGACTTATTCATCATGAATGTAATGTTGATTTGGATGCTGTTGTTCATTGTAAGTAAAAATTATCAAGGAACAAAAGAAAAAAAAGGGTTATGCTTATGTGCAACAGTCACAGCTATCTTCAAATTTATAGCTTTTTTTTAAAAATTACATGAATCTTTTTTCTTTGTTTATTTATTATGGATAACGAACAATCACAAATTGCCAAATTAACAGCAAAACCTCGAGTTCATTTTGGTTCATTAGAAGATCAGGAAATTGTTAAAAGAGCTCGTTTAGAAGAAACTCCTGTAAAAAGCAATGGCATTGATCTTGATGCTTTGGGTAAAGAAAAAAAAAAAAAAAAAAAAAAAGAGAGAGAGAGAATGAGAGAGAGAGTCGGAAATGTTTACGACTGATTAAAACTAATACCTTATTAGTTGAAAGTAATGAACCTGCTTATAGTGTCAATGCAGGAGAGGCAGATAGAGAAGCATTAGAAGAATTCGAACGAAGAAAAAGAGCTTTTCAATTAGCTGTTCCTACAGATGACGGACGTGTTAGACAAAGACTTCGTGAAATCGGTGAGCCTCAATGTCTTTTTGGTGAAGGTGTAAGTGTTTAAAGCTTTAAATTCTCAATTATTAAAAAAAAATAAAAAATAAAAAAAAAAGCTCACCATTAAAAATATTTTTAAATTAATAGCCTGCTGATCGACGTGATCGTTTGAGATATTTACTTTCTAAAATTCAAGGACACCAAGTCGAAAGTGAAGAATCTGAAGTGGAGGATTCTGAAGAGGAAGCTGTAATGTAAATACAGTTTTAAATAAATATGTATCTAATATTCTATTTTAGGAAGAAGAATTTTTTACCCCAGGATCAATGGAGCTTTTAGAAGCAAGGAAATGGTTAACAAAATACTCATTACCTAGGTTTGTGTTAAGAAGTGTAATACAACACCAACTAATATCTATTTTAGAGCAAAAAAAAGAAACGATAGACAGAAAGAAGAACAAAATATTCCTTTAGCATTACTAAAAGCCAGTAGACAAGAGTTGCATTCAAAACTTAAGGCATATACAAATTGGTCTTCACAAATTGCTGATGACCGACCAGTTGCTCAATGTTCTTTTAGTCCTGATTCAAAACTATTAGTGACAGGAGCCTGGTCAGGCCTTTGTAAGATCTGGTCTGTGCCTAACTGTGAATGCTTAATGACATTAAGAGGACATAATGATAAAATTGGTGGAGTTGTGTTTCATCCACAAGCAACATTAAGTCAGGAAAAAAATGCACTTAATTTAGCTTCTAGTGGAGCCGATGGAGTAATTCAATTATGGAGCTTAGCAAAGTGAGTCAGCACAAATATTGACATTACAATAGAATATTTAATGACCTTTTTTTTTTCTTTTTTTTTACAGAGAAACACCTTTAGCTAGTTTAAAAGGACATGTTGGACGTGTTGCTCGTATCAATTTTCATCCTTCTGGAAGATATTTAGGTAGTGCAAGTTTTGATGGTACTTGGCGTTTATGGGATGTAGAAACAACACAAGAATTATTATTGCAAGAAGGACATTCAAGAGAAGTATATGCTATTTCATTTCAATGCGATGGTAGTTTAGTAGCAACAGGGTAAAAAATAAATAAATAAATAAATGTATAGTAGCACTTTGCTCATTCTCTTTTTATAGTGGATTAGATGCTATTGGTAGAATTTGGGACACAAGAACAGGCCGATCTTCGATGACACTTGAGGGACATATGAAGGATATTGTGGGTTTGGATTGGTCACCTAATGGATATCATTTAGCTTCAGCTAGTGCAGATAATACTGTTAAGATTTGGGACGTACGTACACTACGTAATATATATACCATCTCAGCACATCAATCACTTGTGTCAGATGTCAAATATAGTAAAGGTGTTCCTAGTGGAAACAATAACAATGCTTCAGATCCTCATAATATTGCAGGCTTATACCTTACTACCTCTGGCTATGATGGTTGTGTTAAGATCTGGTCAGGTGACGATTTTAAATTAATCAAAAGTTTAGATGGGCATGATGGAAAAGTCATGGGTGTAGATATATCTGATGGTAAGAACATCGTTCCTCTGCTTTTATTTTCTATTAAACATAATTTTTTAACTTTTTTTTTAAAAAAAAATAGATAACAATTTTATTGCTTCGACTGGTTATGATCGTACATTTAAACTTTGGGCAGATGAAAATCTTATTATATAAATATTCGTAGTATAATAAAAATTGTTTTATATTGATATAAAAAACTATATTTTCAAGAAGCGCAATAGAAGTTTATTTCTTTTTCCTTTTTTAAAAAAAAAGCATGGTTGGTAAAAAACGTAATTCTACAACTAAATTAAAGGATAAGCCTACAAAGGCACCAAAAATAGAAGAAACTATAAAAGAAGAGGTAAAATATAGCTAATTGTATTTTTTTTTTTCGTTAAACACTAATTTTTTTTTTTTTTTTTTTTGTAGTTTGAACAAGGTAGTTCGAATTCAAACAAAATAATGTCAAGATCATTAAGCAAACTTTTTTATTGATAGAAGAAAAACAAAATGAAGGATTATTTGATAATCTTGATGAAGAAATGAATCAAGATGAATTAGATGAGCTTCTGAACCAGTTAAAGGAAGAAAATGATTCAGGAGAAGATATATCAACAAAGGGGCAGGATGACAAAGACGACGATGAAGAAAAGGAGGAAAATATGAAAGAGGATAATCAAGAAGCAACTTTTGAACAATCGAATACATCAAGCAAATTTAGGAATTTTTACATGAATAAAATTACACAAGCATTTGGATCAGATTTAGATCAAATCAGACAGGTAATAAACGTAATATCCTTTTAGAAATTTTCATATAAATTTCTTCTTTCTTTTTTTTCTCTCTTTTTTTTTCCTTAGGAGCCAAACTTTAATGGAACACGTTTAAATATATTGATTGATTCGTTAGAAGCTGGTATTGACATATTTTCAAATTTAGAACAGGAAATTATTCTTGCAGATGAAGAAAAATAAAAATATAAGCATTATTAATTTATTTTTGGATAATATGTTTTTTTTTCGCTATCTTTGTATTGAAACAAATATCCTTTCCATGCTTGCTTTAGTTTCTTTTGTATTAAAACAAAGTCGTTTCAATGTTTGTTTTTAATGATCTATGTCTAATGATCTTTAGTTAACAAGAGCATTTTTTTTTTGAATAATGTGACTTGTTGATACAAACCAGTCACTGCTCACTGAGTACCTTTATCGTTTTTTATTTGTTTTTTTTTGTTTTTTGTTTTTTTTTTTTCTTCAGATCTTGATTTTTAAACGACATGTCAACTTACGCTAATAAAGTGTCCAGTCGTAAGGGCAATAACTCAAAAAAGGGACAAGCTCATCAAAATACAACAGCTTGGAAGGCTAACAAAAATTCGAAAAAGACTCGACAAATTGCAGCTTTACCTGTATATGGGCTCTGTCAACGATGTACTGATGTCATTTTGTGGCGTAAAAAATACAAAAAATATAAACCTCTAACTACAGCTAAAAAATGGTGAGATTATAAAGTTATGATCAAGTATAAGTTTCATCTAATCCTTCTTTTTTTTTTTTTGTAAAGTACTTCATGTCAAGAAAAGGCTATTAAAGAAGCATATCATGTTTTGTGTGATAATTGCGCTCGTTCAAAAGGTGTATGTGCAAAATGTCTAGAGAAGAAGGAAGTCCTTGTAACGTAAGTTTTTTTTTTCTTTTTTTCAAAGTGTTATCATACAATTATTAATTTACAAATGAATAGTAAGGATGAAATTAAGACCAATGTTGATGAGATTAAGGAAGAACAAGAATTAGAACGAATGCTGAGCAGAATGACGCTTCGTCAAAGACGAAGTTATTTGCGTAAATTAGAAAGAGGAGACGATGTATCTGGTATTGTACCTAAGGAAGGTGAAAGTGATTTCGACTTTGAGGATAGTGAATTTGAGTTTGACGATGATGAAGATGATGAAGATAATGAAGAGAGCAATGACGAAGAAGAAAATAAATAATCAAAAAAAAAAAAAAAAAAAAAAAAAAAAAAAAGAGTAGTAAAATGAATTTTATACATCATGTAAAATACCCTTTTTAAAAGAATATATATACAAATATAGAAGAAATAAAGTAATAGTTTTTTTTTAATATTTTTAAATGAGAAGCTTGAATGGATAGCCACCATTCTTAACTCTAAAAAGTGCGAATAAAGCACTAAATATGAAAATAAAGCAAGCCATCCAAATATAGGCACTGATACGTTGAATTTTTTGATCTTCAATTTGAGGGACTGACTTGATTAAAGCAACCATTGAAAAGGCAAGGATCCCATCTAGATGACAATAATTAATAAATGATATATTCACTTTAAAAAGAATGAACTTACAAATGCTGGCTACAATCTGAGGCTCAACACCAAATTGAGAAGAAAAACTGAAAAAAAAAAAAAAAGACGCAAGTTATTTTATATACTTATAACTTTTAAAGAGTCCAAATTATTACCCTGATGCAATGTAATTAATTTCACCGTTTCTACCAGGCATCAAATAGGGTGGTGAACGAATCTTATTCCACATATATCCTGAGGTCATAACCAAGATGACCAAAATGGAGATAGCAGCCCATGTATTTCTATGACATATAATAAAAGTGAAATGACGATACATAAGTTTAAGAGCAGCAGCAGCTCCAATAGCCAAGAAGATCTTAGTAACAAGTTTAAAGTAATTGACAGGTCGAGAAACTGTAACTCTAAGACCAGACTCCTGACTTAAAAATTGAGCAAAATTTTCTGCAGAAAATCCACTAAATACATTTTAATATTTGGCATCATTCATAATGTTTTCTTCATGTAATTTACCTTCTCCCCAAGTCATATTTAACATATTCTTTACGTTCTCCAGCTTTTTGAGGAGGGAAATAGAATACATTAGGTGCGGACATAATCTTGAGCTATTATTGTATGTAAAATTAAATGATGGTTTCGTTTTTTAAATTGGATGTATTTTCTTACTTTTTGGAAAATAGCTTGTCCATCTTTGAAATCCAAATGTCCAAAAAAGAGATTATTACTATTTTTATTTTTTTGAAAGCCTTTTGCAACTAAAGCAAATTCAGGATCAAATTCACTTTAACGCGTTCATGAGTATACATATATATCTATATATATAGTCCAAACATCTAAATAGAATAAGCTTACCGACAAGGTACACAATTAAATTGAGAATCGAGAGCTGTTAATAAAACAACTAGTCCATAATCACGCTTTCCTTCGGTAAATCTATCATAAGTATTGGAATTCAAATTGACAATACCATTACCACTTTCAGCAAGTGATATAAGCTTTTCTTTTTTAGGATCTAGTTTTGCTAAAGTAATACTAATAAAAAGAACGAATGTTAAGATGAAAGAAATAGGCGTTTTCATTTCAGATGTATTGATTAAAAAAGATAAATAAATAAACTTAACGTTATAAAAGTTAATATACAATCTGACTTTTATTTTGTGATACATGCTCTCTGAGTCGCGCTGCTTTATTTTTTTCTATTTCCTAGTTAATAAGTATTTAGTTTAATAGGTGAGGAGGGTATATTCTCTTTTCAAAAACCTTGATCTATTTTACTCCTGTATTTTATATAGTCTAAAATACATTTTAAACGGTTTTATTTACTATCCAAATAACACTCTTCAAAAGCTCTTAGATAATCCTTTAGATTTCTTTTGTTGATGAAATATTTAATTGTAACTATTCACGTTCAAGCTTTTGAATAGTAAGACTATTTTGAAGCATTCAGTGGAAATTGTACAATTAAGTAAATGATTTATATTAAATACTAGATACAAAGAAAGTACTGGCAACTCAGTTGTTCATAGGAAGTTTGGAAAACATTGTATTCCGAAATTATATACTTTCTTTGATTAATAAAGATTTTTTTTTTTTATCTAATGTATAAGGATAATATATAATCACTGAATATTTAATTGAGAAAAGGAAAGAAAACTTTTAAAATAGACAATGTCTTTCCAATAATCTAAGCTTGATTGTATATAAATCTATATTCTTTTTACTAGTAAGTAATGATTCATGTAGTAAAATAAAATTTTCTTTAAATATTGTATATGAGATATCAATAGTGAAAGATATAATGTATAACATAATAATGAAAGAGTATCAGACAAATAAAGGCTGTCCAGTGATATCTATATATTTGTATATGTATATAGTCACAAATGATCATACAACAAACTCCTTAGTTTCAGTAGCTTTTCTCATCTAAATGGTAATGCTCGCCTTCTTAATCCAGAGCAGAAAAACAATTGAATGTAATAATGCAGAAATATGCTCAATTAGAAGAGTATTTCTCTTACTGTAAAACTTAATTCTTGTCTTCTTTTCCATGCTGTTCGGGGATAACATTACCAGTTTCATTTAAAAGTGGGAACTCAAAAAGGCCTTACTAAGAAACTATGATATTCATGGAGAATTTACATTATAGTTAAAGACTGTGTTGTATATGAGCGACACCCATGCCTTTCATAGATAGTTCGAGTTACTTTTCCATAAACATTTAAGATTTAATAAGTTCTTGTATTATCTTGACAAAAAGTAATGTAGTTTAAAGAAGAAAAAAAAACGTTTACATGTAAGTTTAGTCATATTTTAACTAATAATTGTATTTAGTTTCAACATAATAAGCTGGGATATTCTTTCAAGAAACAAAAGTAAAGATTTACAAGTTTTACATTTATTTTGATTTTCAGAAAGAGATAGAAATAATCTTCCATTATAAAAGCGAACTAATTAAGGAATAAAGAAAATGTAGTCTATTTGAATTGAAAGAAGAAATAAAATAATCATCAATACTATAGGAAATAGACAAGTAGATATAAATTATGTAATTGACGAATCGATTACTAAGCCTTTAATAACAAAGGATATAGAAGACATCCTTTTTTTTTATTAGGAATCGTTATCAGATCAATCTATACACTTATTATTATTATCAAAGAGATAAATAAATTTAAGTATGTATACCTTATTCGTCTTTATCCTCTACCTGCCTTTCCTGATTATACCAAAAGTTAACGAGATAACTTTGGATATAAGTCATTTAGTTCAGAAAAGCTGTTCTCCCACTATATTAGGCAAAAATATAATAAACTGTAAGACACTTTAGATTACTTTAAAATTTTATTGCTATTATGATCATATACAGTACAAATGTATATATGATCCTGATACTTTATCACACTATACAATGTAATATTGATAATAAATCTTTAAAATTCATTCAATAACTCGATAATACATGTTTAGTTAATGAATTAAATATTTTGTTTAATTCATACAAGTTATTTCTTATCGTAAATGTATACATCTTATATATAAAGGGGAAGGACAATTTCTATATTGATATGGGCGATATAAATATATAGTTATTTTAAATAGTATATTTAATATTTCTATAACTAACACTATCTATAAACAAATAAAGCAGATTAGTAGTAAATTCCACTTTTTAGGAAAACTAGCAGTAAACTACATTTTGTTTATTATCAGATTCTATTTTATCTTAAAAGAGTTGAGTTAAAAGTTCTTCTGGGTTTTTAAGACTGTATTCATGTTTATAAAACTGTCCTATTTGAAAAGTAAAAATTAATTGGTAATTCGGTCTTTATTCGATTTACCTACTTTATGTTTTGTGTATTGTGACATGGATGGAAGTAATATAAATTTCTACTTGAATGATTGATTTAAAGTTTACCCAATTAAAGAGTCAAATCACATAATGTACTCTTTTTAGGATATTGGAATAACTTTGTATTCATCTATGAGATAAAAATATTTATTAGATACAATTTTTTTTTTTTTTTTTTAATAAATGTAACAAGTATAATCAGATATATATAGTTTCCGGGAAAAAAAAATAGATAAGAATTTATAAATTTTATAAATGTTAATACTAAACTTAGGTTTTGTTAATGGGTCATAAAAATGCATATCTTTTGGTACTATTTGCATGTAGTGTTATTTTTATTTTTTATTTTATTTTTTAGTATTCTAGTTTCTACATAATTCAATTTTTAGTATTTCATTTAATACTGTATTTCAATATTTATACGTTATAGCTGTTACATGTATGTTACCAGATTCAAGCGCCTCGAGCCAAATATCAGTAACCTATTCCTGATTCGGATTACCAATTAAAAACTCAAAAAAATAAAATAAACAAGTATTAATAGTTTTCTTTAAAATCTGTATATATTTAAGGATAAGTTTAAGTCAGTATTCCAGAGGTTGATTGGTATAGCTTTATTGCTTTAGATAGAAGAATGGGCTAATTAACCATTTTACTATATTTATCTGAATTAAGAAATAACAATCAAAAAGGGATAACAACTACTTAGTTGTTAGTGTAACATATTAACTAATAAGAATCACGAGAGATAACGAATATACATCTGTGTATTCATATACAGTGCCCACAGCACTAATTCGCATTGATCCAATAAGTCAATTCACGCAAAAAAAAAAAAAAAAAAAAAAAAAAAAAAAAAAAAGAGAGAGAGAGAGAAAAGAAAGGAAAAAAAAGCATAGTTCAATTTGCAAAATTTATAATAAATAGACAATTTATACTGGCAGTTTATCTAAATAATCTTCAAGTACATTTACAGAAATTAAACAAATGTTTTCTGGGAACTTGATCGCATGCCTCAGCAATTCTGGTTTTCAAATCCCCTGTATTTCCGAACTGACTTCGTCTCACCTTTACCTTTTACAACTGTCCAGAACTGCTTATATAGGGTTCAGCTCAAAAAAAAAAAGGGAGGGAAGGTAAACATATCCATACTTTTTACTTTCAATCAACCAAGTGAGCTCACCATCCTTACCGTGGAGAGATGAGTTATCTATAATCTTATAAAAACCCTTAAACTGAGAACATTAATCCGTTTCATCCATGGTTTTTTTTATACTGAAGCTGGTATAATGACTATTGTTGGTTTCACCCGGTGGTTTCGCTTTCACTGCTATTTGATATATATATACAAGCTATATAGCTTATTCTCTGTTTGTTACTTCACTACTTGCTTTGGGCATCTTTTATTTGATAGTGATAATTATTATTCTACAAAACAATTAGTAAACCAACATAATTAGTTTTAAAAGGTTTTAGTGTACAACATTACAATGAGCCTCTAACTATCAATTCAATATCAGGGTTCTCATCTGGTCATTGCTTTATCTAATTACATTAGAACAACAATTAACTATTATACTTACACGCACTTCATTACTACGCTCTCTATATTGCCTCTATTCATAGCGTTTCCATAATAGGTCAATTCACTAATACAATTGCCATTTCTTTTGTTCTTCACTTGTAACCGCTGCTCATACTCATGTTACCTTCCTTTTTGTTATAAATACTAACCATTTTTCAAGCTACAATAAAACATCACTCTTAACTTTAAAACTTTTAACGAACTCAACATTTGACCTCAGAATATATATCATTGACAGGTTCATATTAATTTCTGTACAATACGTTTCTATTTAAGCCACTGATGGCTGGTAGATTTAGTAATTGTAAACAACACGAATCTAAAGACCCCTCTATATTGTGCTTCTGAGATTACTAAACCTTGAATCGTGGATTTAATACTTTATTGTAAGACGCGTATATCATTTATAGCATTGTAATGTGTGCGAATACAACACTTGTGAAAACATTAAGGTTAATCTTTATGTAGTTGATATACTGGGCTACTAATTGTTTTGTAGAATAATAATTATCACTATCAAATAAAAGATGCCCAAAGCAAGTAGTGAAGTAACAAACAGAGAATAAGCTATATAGCTTGTATATATATATCAAATAGCAGTGAAAGCGAAACCACCGGGTGAAACCAACAATAGTCATTATACCAGCTTCAGTATAAAAAAAAACCATGGATGAAACGGATTAATGTTCTCAGTTTAAGGGTTTTTATAAGATTATAGATAACTCATCTCTCCACGGTAAGGATGGTGAGCTCACTTGGTTGATTGAAAGTAAAAAGTATGGATATGTTTACCTTCCCTCCCTTTTTTTTTTTTTTTTTTTTTTTTTTGACCTGAATGGACTTATTGGATCAACGGGAATTGGTGCCGTGGGCACTGTATATATATTTTAGTTGGCTACATTCTTTTACTACAAGTAAATCAAGTGCGAACAGAAAGATATATCTTTTAGTGTACATTAGAACACGTATTTGTGCATAAATTATTCAAACTAAATAGTCTCCATTAATTCTAGGTTATTGTGGCTACTAGCTATTTATAATTAGAAGAGGTGCATTTTGATTAATAATCTATTGCACATGATGAATTTGAATATTATAATTTTAAATATGTGGGGGATTTTGATTTAAAGTCTGAAATACCCTTTAATAATAAAGAGGTATATTTTGTTTACGATACTATAAATTGACTTTATTTTATTTTATTTTCTATAATTAAGCTGGTTGGTGAACTTTTAGTTTGACAAGCAACCAAATATATATAAGTATATAAAAAGGAAACAAAATCAGGTAGGGTGTGGGTATTCTACTATTTTAAAGATGTTATGAATAAACAGCTTAATTAACTTGATTATAGATATAAGCTATTAGTGTCAATATATTGCAGAATATATACCTTTTTTTTTTTTTTTGCATGCATCAAGTCTACCAATATTGAATAAAAAAACTAATTTACTTGAAATGCTTTAAGAAAATTAATCTGATTTCCAAATCTAATTCTGTTGTACTACTTTAGCCCTGTTGTGAAATTGTACGTTAAACATTTTGTATAGAAGATAATTCTATTTCTAATTATTTGTCTGGTTTTCTTAACCTTACATTGTGTAGGATATCTTGTATAGAAAGTAAAACCAAAAAAAAAAAAAAAAAAAAAATACAAGTCTTTAATATTAAAATAAAATTTGAGGAATATACAGGCTATACATTATATTTCAGTACGTCTATAATGCAATTAACTTCCTCTGTCTGTCTGCCCTTTTCTTCTCAGCTTCTTTTTTCTTTTGATAGAAGCTTGATTTATGTAACATTTGTACGCAAAAGGAAATTATTGTATTTAGTAATCACATTCATATATAAACTTACTGTAATTATGTAAAATAAAGAAGAATTGTATGCAATATATTACATTTACTTTCCATTCTGACATATCTTGTAATAATAATATAAAGGATAAATTATATCATATAGGAATGCATGAGTAAATGTCAATTATTAAAGCAGCATGATGAGTACTATTGAATACAAATACAACTATTCTTATTTTAAACCATTTATCCCAAGTTGTTTTTATTAGTATAAAACATAAATTAAGTTGTAATTATATAACTTTTTGGGAATAATAATATTTTATTACACTTACTAATACAAGCATATAATGTGTTGCTGCTTTATATGAATTATTATATATAGCCTGATGTGAAAAAAAAAAAGAATAACTAAAATGGTTAAACACGAGGTGCACAATTTTAGTGCTTCACTGAAATAAGGTTATTTGTTACAAAAAAAAAAAAAAAAAAAAAAAAAAAAAAAAAAAAGGTTTATATATTTGGCAAGCAGGGATAATAGAATAAAACATAAAGCAAGGTCTGTGGATAATATAGAATATGACATTATTTATTAAACAACGGATATAAAGAAGAAGAGCAATTTTATTCAAGTATTTTATGCCTCATCTACTTTTGATGATTATATCATGCTGGTCTGTTCATTCCTTGAAAGAGTGGCGGCTACTTTAATCGGAGAAAGTGCACTGATAAATTAAAGAAAGTAAGACAAAGTGATTACAGATAAAGAAGGGTTAAAGTGGCACGTTATTTATTATTTTCAAAAGAATTATCTTTGATCTATTTTAAAAATAATTAACTATATTTTTTGGTTTTTAAGCTCATGCAACTAAATCTTGTTAGCACACAATGTTGCCTTAATATTTAAACTTTTTTTTTGTTTGTCCACCCAATTAAGGATCTTCACCTTCTTTAAATACAGGAATCCTGTCTATCCCCTCTCCCCTTTCTTGACGTAGTACATTGTATTTCTCTCCCTCCCCCTCTCCCAACTTTATTTTATTTTATTAGCATATATTAAGTTTTTTTTTTTTTCTTTTCTAGTTTATAAACTAAATTTTAACTTTTTTTTTTTTTCTTTTCCTTTTCTATTGACTTTATACTTTCTTTTCCTTTATATTCACATTTATTACATATATATATAAATATATATATATTTTATGTATTTTTAATATCTATTTCTTCTTTTTTAAACAAATAATAAGCCTCTTTAATATTATACAACTTTTTTTTTTAAAAAAAATGAGCTATACTCGAGTTATGCCAAATATCAAGCCCCTTCCTCAACAATTAGATACTTATACTGAAATGAATTATTTTAAAAATCAGCAATATCAGCAAAATAATCATTCAATTTATCGTCCTGCATACCATAGGATCCCATCAACACCATCTTCCCGTCAAGTGAAAGATGCCTGGACTTCTCTTTCTCCTGAAACCTCTCCAATCGTTGTCCCTTCCATGTCAATACAATCACACTATTTTTATCAACCTAATAATATTAGAGCCTATTATCCTTCAAATAAGCCTCTAACTAATGTAAGTACTATGCAATTCAACTCTTATATATAAAATGAAAGCTTATAATTTATTTCCCGCTTTAGTATCACCCCACATCAGTTCATCATACATTAGTAGATATGAATTACGCTCCTATTCACCATACTTTAGAGAACGCCATCATCACTTATGATATTATTGAACAGCAAAACTTTCAAAAAGATTTAGTAAAGGATGTTTTCTTTTCTCCAGCTATAGATACTTGCCGAGAAATGTCTCCTCAACAAAGCGACAACGAATCTGATATAATCTCTACTACTTCTTCATCATCATCATCATCTTCTTCTTCTTCTTATTTTTCTTCACAAAAATCTCCTAGTGAATTGTTACTAGATAATAGTAATGAAACTCTTTTTGACTTTGGTCTTGATTTAGCTACTATTAGTACCACTGATACATATCAGTCCACAACAAGTTCTTATGAAGAAGTTATGTTATCTGCTGTTAACAAAAATAAACCCACGTTTACTCTTTCAAATTTAAAATCTTATGATACGTTGAGCACATTGTCTGATCTACCTACCCCTCCTGCTTCTTCAAGTGACTCGGACCATGGTTATACAGGTATACAAACTAAACGTCGTTGCTCTGATTCTGTTCTTCAAGATCGTTTGAAAAAGAAGAAGCGTTCTACTGCTCATTTAAGAACTTCTTATCACTGTCTACCTACGACTGCTATTGCTACTACTACTACTACTACTACTCTTCCTATCGATTCTCCTTATATATTATCAACTTTAAAACAAGAAGATAATTTTCTTATTAACAATTATAATTGTTTTGATGAAGGAAACTTTGAACAAGTTCAAAATAGGTAAAAATACTCACATATATACAACCTCTTTTTTTGTTATTATCTTTATTAAATATTTATATTGATCTTGATTTTTTATAGATCATCCCTGGAAGATAACCGATTTGATTCTAGTTTAACTCCCGCATCAGAATTCCGACAGGATACTTTCAAAGATGAAGATACATTTTCAACGACTTCATGGGAAGAAGAGGGATTATCAGATTCGTGCGGTAGTGAAGATGAAGCTTTTGTAATACCATCCAAGATGAGTCATACTTTAAAATCTTTTTCATTTAATGAAATGAAAGAGATGTACCAAACGGAGCAAATACAATTACCAAAGACCTCTCCTCGTCCAACTGCTTATCCTACTATTTATCAAAAATTAACAAAAGCTAATATCGATTGGTGTCGATACTGTGGTACAACTGAGGGCGTTAATTGGCGTCCAGGACCATGGGGAAAACGAACACTATGCAAGTAAGTATATTAGATAAATGTAGAGGGGGAGGGAGGAGAAAAAAAAAAAGGGCTTCAAATGATATAACACAGCTAATATATATTAAAAAAAAAAAGTAAACATGGATGTGATTATAAAGGATATGGATTTGCATGTAAATTACCTCGACTTGATCTTACAGAATTTATAAATGAATCTATTCATGACCGAAAACGACCTGTTTTACAACTTTATTGCTCAATCTGTCAACGTAAGGAATCATGGGAGGGCAATGTTCTGGTTCGTTGTGAGGGATGTCCTAAGGCTTATCATCAAAAATGTCATCACCATCATAATAAACTTAATGACAGTTTTGTCGCATCAAATGAAATATGGTTTTGTGATGCAACATGTGCTGAGAATGCCCAACGCAAGCGAATCATTGTTGAATTACCTCGTAAACGTCTTCCATTAATGCGTTCTCCTAAAAATATCTTATCTATAAACTCTGTTTCTTCTGATACCTCTCGAGCAATAACAACAAAGTTTTATAGTGGCGAATCTTCCCCTATGTTTACAAGATAAAATACCTATTATTATATTCTTAATTTATACATGTATATATTCATATATTTTTTCCCCTTTTTTTTTTAAAAAAAAATTTTTTTTCTATGCTACAATTACTTTATATCATTTATATTTATTTATATATTTCTTTTTTTCTTCTTCTTTTATGTAGAATATATCATCATCCTTGTATTAATAACAGTAATAAATTATTCCTAATTCACTATATAATTGTTGAATTTTGTTGTAAAAAAAAAAAAAAAAAAACTTCTCTTCATCCATTCCTTCCTAGTCTCCTAAATGAAGATGAAACCAGTATAGCAGCTACAATTTTAAGAAGCAAAAAAATTGCCTTCTGCCAGAATCGAACTGGCGACCTTCTGCTTACTAGGCAGACGCTCTGCCAACTGAGCCAAGAAGGCTTTTGTTGGTTTTGGGATAAGGTATATTAGCTATAACTATATAATCCAAAATTTTAGCAGTCACAGTATCGATGACATCATCTTTAATGCTTTCAAATTTAATCATAATAGATTTTTTTGATTTTATAATATAAATGGAGGAGCTTTTCTTTTGATAATAAATTTATAGAGTAAATTGAGTAATTAATATTGTTATTGTGGTCGTTTAGGAAGTGAAATTATTTTTTGTCTTAAGTGCAAAGAAAAAAAAAAAAGGACAAGTCAGTGAAAACCCTGTATACTTTTTATTGGAAGAAACTAATACAAAGAAAAAAAAATGTCAGGGGCTATCTGTATATTTTTACAAGATTAGCGATATACATGACTTGAACAATAAAACATTATGCATAAATATTGTCTCCAAACAATTCTGCATGCAATAAGTTATATAAATATGTATACATTTTTTTTCTCTTTTTCTTCTCTGAGCTGTCACTGTTACTAGAATATAACAAATTATTATTTTCCGGATAAGCAACGCGTTAATATCAATTCACAGTAAATTTTCCAGCTACAACAATACCAATTATTTATGCGTTACTATTATTATCATCCTCTGAAATATTATTACATAACACTATTTAAGATTATAGATGCATATATAATATGTATAGCTTATAAATAATTATGTACTTGCATATAATAGCTATTGTTATAGAACAAGCTCTGGATATAAGCATAAGTAATATTATAGTAGATGAATTACATAATAAAAGATAAACTATAAGCCTGAATATGAAATAAAACTCTGTATATAACATCTTGTAAATAATATAAAGCTTCTTATTGACATTCAATCGTCTAGATGTATCAACTATAAAACATCGTATTATTTCTGAAATATTTATTTTTATAACCTTGACAAAGGATTCAGGTCGTCTTTGATCCAATAAAATAAAGCTATAAAAAATATGAGGAACATATACTCAAATTAGACAATTTAAAACTTAATCAGATCATTATAACACCCAATAGATAATCTATAGATATCAGATTCTTGAAGCAACAAGACGTATATATCTGAATACTAACACTGTTTCATGACTTATCTCTTTTGTTTCTTTGATTCAGGATTCATTAGTATAAATATAAGCAGTTGTTTAGACACAAAATAATCGAAGAACCTTTAATCCTTATTTTTTTATTTTATTTTTCTTTTATTGAATAAAAAATAGTCTCATACTAACTATACTTCCTTTTGTTCCTTTTCTCTTTTCTTTTCTCTTTCTCTTTTTATTTTCCTTTATTATATAACATTCCATCACAACATATATGACTTATCCTTGTAATTATGATTACAAGTTAAACTTGGACAATTATAATGAATTTATATGGGTTCAAATCTGCTATATCAAATTATGTATAACCTTCTTTATTGAATAAAGGGAATTAACAACCTGGTCATTTTTCTTATACGAAAATAGTGTGCCTAAAAATTTTATTGTTTTCTTCTGCATTTCTCTGGTAAAGCCACAGAAATAAAATCACAAAAATACACTCCTCTCTACTACACATAATGCCAATGGTATGTATATAAGGCCCTTCACAAGCAATTCCAATTTATCTCTCCAATTACATTACAAGTCCATTTTTTTTTTTTTTTTTTTTTTTTTTTTTGTGGCCGTCCTGATTTTTCTAAACACTAGAATATACTATTATGTTTTGCCCCAAATTTGATAATTCAGAAATTGATCTTTTAGAACAAATAATGGTTTATCAGCAACAAATTGAACTAATAGAGGAAGAAATGGAAAAAGAATATCAAAACTATAGCCATTATTTGATACAACAGTAACTGCAGTACGACTTTATGGCAATGGAATTCTGTCGTCAGTAAGGAGTTTCCATTCGGGTCCTACCTGTATTCATGGCCACTAGGACACGTAGAGTTAATAGCCGTGTCATTGCTCCATATTCTTGGTTTGAATGCTAACACCCAAGACTCACTGATCTGGATAACCCTAACCAACAACTTTACTCTAGATAAGTTTCTTGATGTAAACAGTAGAGTATTTAGTTATCGTGCTACTTACGTATGTCACGAACTACGTTTGATTAGCTATTTAACAGGCTGATGGTACATCCAATGCTTACATTAGATGTTCCAAACGCACGGCGAGTATACCAACAGATTGCCATAACACTATTAATAATTTCAAATGTTTATCATAGATATAGACATATATACATGCATCTTGGAGTATCTTATGGTAGCTATCGTAATTTTACAACAAGGACATGTCAAACCATTAGAGATGTACTTAGGCATCATAAATCAAAGCTAACAGATCCAGAAAGAGCAACCAATATCGCTCTTGGTTTTGAATTTCCACAAACAAGGCATGACAATGATAACAAGGATTAGCGTTTGCCTAATGTGATTGGAGCTCTTGATGGTAAAAACATAGTGATTCACAAGCCATTGCCAGCTGCTTATGGTTCGATGTTTCGCAATTGTAAAAATGCTTATTCCGTTAAGTTAACTGCAGTATGCGAAGCAAGCTGTAGGTTTACTTATTTACGTGTTGGTGATTCAGGTAACTGTTTTTAAAAAAAGACATGTAAAGCTTTTAATAACTAGTAAGATCTCACAATTGCTGCTATGTAATATCCTTAGAGTTGAGTTTGAAGAGAGAGTTTTCTTATTGGATAAGAAATAAATAATACTTATAAAGGTATTTTGTTAAGAATAGAATAATCTTTATTGATATAAAAGTTATCAGGTATTTATACTAATTCGCATTTGCGGTTGGTAATATATATGGAAATAATATTTATGTTTAACTGGTTGTTGTGAAAGAGAGCTCAGCTTGTTAATTACCATTAATAAAGTGGAGGGCTAATAGTAGACTAGAGGATCAATAAAAGTGAGATATTCCATTTTTGTATATTGACCAATTATGGCAAACTTAAACGTTTACATGCTGCAATATTCTGTAGTGACTATTTTTTTTCTCCTTGGGTTACGTCATATCGTTTAGAATCAAGACTCCTTAAAAAAAAAGAAAAAAAAAAACAAAATTTTGTCTTTTTTCTTTAAATGATGCACCTTTAATACTTGTGTCGTTATACGGCTAGTTGCAGACGTGCCTACTAGGTTTCTCGGATTAGAAATATGATTATGGGATTGTTAGCATTTAGGATCTGAGGGACTTCTCTATCATACGGCTAATTGCAGACGTGCCTACTAGGTTTCTCGGATTAGAAATATAATGATGGGATTGTTAGCATCTGGGGGTCTGGGGGACTTTTCTTACTGGCCGGCTAGTTGCAGACGCTGCCCGTAAAGGGCTTCTCGGATTAGAAAGACATTAGGAAAAGTATCTGATGCTGACTTCTCTAGTGTAAAGCTATCATACGGCTAGTTGCAGAAGTTGCCTCTACTGGGTTTCTCGGATTAGAAATATGATAGTGAAAAGGATTAGCATCATTTTGGGGTCTGGGGATGGGAATAGACTGTCTCTACCTTCTCGTGGTTATTCCTGTGAGTAAAAGCTTATTGCTTTGAAACCAAACGAGACTTTATATATAATTTATGAAGTATTTTAAAATATAAACGCTTTTACATACTGTTAAATAAAATAAAACCTAATTTTTTTTTTTAAAAAAACTAAGACAAGCTTGATTATCTTTATTAAGGAACAAAAGCTTTATTTATATGAAGGCGGCAGATTTGCGGCGAAAAGAGTAAGCCAAAGATGGTACAATTTCAAAACTATTAACAATGAGCTCTGTGTTTTTTTTTCTGTCATTTATAGTGTTATGATTGTAATCGTTTTTACAACTAAGTTAATAGAAATAAACTATCATTTATTTAAATAATAAAGAGTTTATTCGAATAAAACTAGTGTATTGTACTTCACAGCCTAATATTCACTCTACACTCAGTTTTAATAATAGTCATTGTTAGAATGTTCGAGCAATCATAATAATTATATACATAATTCAAACAAGATTATGATGTTATATTCAATTACATAATTATTTATAAGTCATACATATTATATATAGATAGCTATAAAGATGAATATTGTTATGTAATAATATCTTGTAGGATAATAATAATAGTAGCATATAAACAATTGGTATTGTTATAGCTACATATTCATTGTGAATTAATATTGACGCGTCGCTTACCCCAGAAATAATAATTTAATATTTTTAGTAACAGCGACAGCTCAGGCAGAAAAGAATTAAAATAGATCTTATTGTAGGCAGAATTATTCAGAGAAAGTATTTATGACTAATGCTTTATTATAGCCATATTTGCTTATCCAAATCATAGTTCTATTAATATCACTTACCTTGTAAAAAACATATAAATAACCCTTCACATTTTCATATAATTTTTCCTTGTACAATTTTTGTATTATTCTTTTAAATAAAAACTATACGAAGTTTTCACAGACTTGTCTTTTGTCTTTTCCTCTTTCTTTAACTTTTTGCTTATCAAAACAATCGTATCATTTCCAAATATTTATTTTTATAGCCCTGACAAAGGATTCAGGTCTTCTTTGATCCAATAAAATGAAAATATAAAAGATATCAGGAACATATACTCAGATCAAAAAATAAGTTTTTTTTTTTATTTAAAACTTAATCAGATCATTATAACACGCAATAGATAATCCTTATAAATCAGTAGCTTGAATCAACAAGATGCATATTTGAATACTAACACTGCTTCATGACTCATGTTCTTTGACAGCTATTTTTATTTCTTTGATTCAGGATTCGTTAGTATAAATACAAGCAATTGTGTAGGCACAAAATAATCTTTATATCATTTTTTTTTTACATTGAATAAACACAGTCTCAAACTATACTTCCTTTTGTTTTCTTTCCCTTTCTCTTTTTCTTTATTGTATTTTACATACCATCACAGCCATAATCCTATTAAATTTATATTATTACGTAATACAATGTATATGATTATTTTTAATGCTCGAATACTCTAACAATGACTGTAATTAAAAACTAGATGTAGCATAAATACTATACTGCCTGCAAAGTACGATATACTAATTTCATTCGAATAACTTTTTTTATTCCTACTAACTTAGTTATAAAGGCGACTACAATCATAACATTTTTAGTGTCGTTTGAAGAAGCCCAAATTAAGAAGTTATTGTTTGATTTTTTGTAGTTGAATAGTTTTATATTTAATTTTATTTCTTTATTGCTTTTACTTTTTATTTTATCATTTCTCGCAACAGCACCCCAAACGTATCATAGTTGTGTTGTCTTGGACTTAGATTCACTTGGCAATAATTAATAATTTAAAACTGAAAATTGACAATTACTTTCATTAACAATGAAGATATATATATACATGTTTGTATATTCTTTTGACGGTCTACTGATTCGCAATTCTGACACCTTCTAGAAGACGATTGAGATATTCATCAATAATAATCATAGCAGGATGAACTCCTCTGAAATCACCCTCTAGGACTTATTGGATCTATCGTTTGTTTCAGTGTAGTATCCGTCTTCTAGGCTGTAGAGAAGCTTTACACCTTCTTTTAGCTACAACAATTTTCTGAACTCGAAAATAATAATAATAAAAAAAACTATTTTAAAAAATATAAACTTAATTTTGAAAGTCGTATCAATCAGAAAAAATATTTAATATTATTATAATCACGTATATTTCACTAATATTATACAAAGCTAGATAAATGCCTTTTCTTCTATTTGTGATATTTCTAAAAAGATAAATATATAATTATTATAAAAGATAAACAAAGCCATCAACGAGATCGAATAATAGTAGTTGATGTTCTTGGCAGGTCGAATGAGGGATTTTTTTTTTATTTATGAATTTAAATTGATAAAAATAGTTAAAAAGATGTCCGAGATAAGGTATTCTGCATCACAAAAAAAAAAAAAAAGTTATTAGTTATGACTGAATGGCATATAATATTATGGATGATATGAGCTGTTAGCTACTGCATGTCTTATTATTATTATTTTTTTTCTAAAGAAATAAATAATGATAGCTTCTTCAGAAGAAATAAAATCTTCTTGTTTAATCAAGAAAATTGTTATATTATGACAAGGTTGACATCTATTTTATATTATTATTATTATTATTTTTTATCACGAAACAAGAGGTATTATTAATATAAATGTGATCTTGGTAAGCAGCAAAAGAAGAATAGCATTTAATAAAAAAATTGTTATTTATATAACATGAAATTTATTCTTTCCAAAGAACAATTGTGGCGATTACTAAAAATATAATAAATTATTATTTCTAGAGTAAAACGTAACGTGTCAATATGAATTCATAATGAATGTTCCAACTATAGCCAACAATATCAGTTGTTACATAATAATATACTACTATTATTATCATTCTATATGATATACGATTACGTAATAATAGCCATCATTATGTTAATGTATACATAATATGTATGTCTATAAATAATTGTGTAGTTGATTAGAACATTCAACAACTTACTGAATTCTTATTACTTTATGCTCAATAACTATTATTAAAAAAAACTGAGTAGAGCAAAGTTATTGTTGGTAGAGAAAAGAAGAAAATGATGTTATGACAAAGTCTTTTAGTATGTTTACCAGATTAGTTATCATATAAGAAAAATCTCATCAAGCTGTTTTTTTAAATTCTTTACTTTAAATATATCCCACTACCACTAACTAGTGTAAAAAATAATAATTACTACATTTTAAACATGAATGATAATAATAACCAAAAGGAAAAAAAAAAAGGAGAGAGGGAGGAAGGAATGAAGGAAAGTCAAGGATAATGTATAATTTTCCTATATACATATATACATATATATATATACATATATATATTTTTTTTCCTTGCTTAATTATAATCTTCAATTCTACTTTCTGAAGGCAATTCTCCAAGTTTAGCTAATTTTCTTTTGACTAATTCTACTTTCTTCCATACACGTAGAAAATTTTTGCCCGCCAAACCGATCAAATCATCATCAGACCAACCTCGACGGATCAGCTCTGCAAAGAGATCAGGATATTTCGACACATCTTCGAGGCCAACTGGAGTTTCTTCGATACCATTGTAATCAGCACCTAAACCGACACGATCATGACCTGCAACAGCCGCAATATGCTCAATATGATCCGCAACATCACTTAATGTAGCTTTCCTGGTTGGATCAGTACATTGAACGAAGGCATTGTAAAAATTGACCATCACAACGCCATCTGTTTCATGTAAACGTTTTAGAACTGCATCGGGCACGTTGCGTTCGATAGGACAAAGCGCATGGCTAGATGAATGAGAAAATAAGACGGGCGCACGAGTTACGTTCAGAACGGCATGCATCGTAGAATGAGCCACATGTGAGATATCGACCATCATCCCAAGCCTGTTCATCTCACGTACAATCTCCTTACCAAACTCTGTTAAACCTAATCCCTTTTCAAAGGCTGGAGCCTGACTGTCACAACAGGATTCAGCCCAGGATGTATGACAATTATGTGTCAAGGTCATGTATCGTGCACCGGCTTCATACAACTGTCGAAGTGCTACCATCGAGTTGGCAATCATCTGACCACCCTCAATACCCATAGCTGACGCAATCTTTCCACGTCGCATAGCACGTTGGAACTCCTTTGGATGAACTGCTAGATGGAAAGTGTCGGGATACAAATTAATCATGCGCTTAATCACATCGATATTCTCCATCGCTTTTAACACTTGATTTGCCTTGCTATCTTCGCATTCATAATAAATACTCCAAAATTCGCCTCCAACTTGTCCTCGACGAAGACGTTCAATATCTGTATGTCCCCAATCAAAATGTGTAAAATTCAAGTGATTGATTTTACCATTATAAACAAAAGCTAAATGTCTATATGCATGTAAAAATTAACGTGATATATCTATATATTAAGGAAAAGGAAAAAAAAAAAAGAAAAGAAAAAAAGAAAATGAAATACATACAATGGCAGATCATTATGTGTATCAATCACTGGGTTATGACCAAGTAATTTATGAGCATGGTCAATTGCATCTTGTTTCTTGTAAAATCGTGTACTAAAAGGAGCTTGTTCAGCTAAACCATCAAAAGCTTGTATTAAAGGTAAACCCAAAGCAGCAGCAATGGTAACTACAGACCAATGAACCATGCTTAAATTTTTCTTTTCTTTTTTTTTATATACTTTTCAATAAAAGAATCATTTTATTATTTCTGAGGCTTAAATATGTTTATACACATGTTTTTTTTTTTTTTTTTTTTTTTTTTTTTTTTTTTTTTTTTAAGGCATTTTCTTTCTTTTTTAGTAGGTTGTCTTAGAGCGTTACACATAAATGTTTACATACAGACAGACAATAATAATTTTATTAGTTAGTTAGTTATATTATGATTCCAAAAAAAAAAAACAATGTGATTATTTGTAAATTTTATCAATTTCTTCTTTGTTTCCTTTAAGAATATCTCTACGCTTAACTTTTCCAGTGGTGGTCATGTATTCCTTTAACCAATCCTTATTACGAGTAACGACAATATCTTTAACAATCTCGACTCGACTGCAACCACTTGAGGTAGCTGATTGTTGAAGGTCTTTAAGGATCGTCTCCTTGTCAGCATTATTGTCTACAGGTTCAACGACACCCACAATATAGGATTTATTACTGTCGGCGATCAGACAAATATTTTTAATGCTACTGCAATTACGATATTTCGATTCCAAGTTTTCAAGAGCAACATATTCACCATGAGCTAGTTTGACTAAATTTTTGGCTCTGTCTGTAATTGCAAAGGTGCCATCAGGTTTTAAAATTGCAATATCACCTGTCTTGAACCAACCATCTGGCGTGATGGCTTCGTTTGTAAGATCAGGTCTCTTATAGTAGCCCCTGAGAAGTGAGGGGCCTCGAAGCCAGAGTTCACCCACATTATTTTCAGCTTTATAATCTGTATCAGGAACATCAACGAAGCGAAATTCAATAGAAGGAGAAGGAGGACCGATGACACCTGTAGTTATACCTAAACTTGGAAGTGTAACAGCACCCAAACCACAGCATTCAGTTAAGCTATTATATATATATATATATAAAAGGAGGAGGAGGAGGGAAGACAACAGTTAGATGATCTTATCCTATATGTGTATATATATGTATATATCTTTGTTATATTTTCTATTCTAATTACCCATAACCTTGAAGCATGTAGCATAAAGTGGATGTAATAAATTTTTGTGTTTCAAATGATACAGGAGCACCACCCGAGAGACCATATTGTAAACGTCCACCCGTGACATCACGAATAGCACCAAAGATAATAGAATCGTATAAATTAGTGATAGAATTTGGTTTACCAAAGAAGTTTAACATTTTCCATTTCATTTCGATAGCAGCTAATATCATGTAACAAGTTATGTATATGTATATAAATATGTACATTTATGTGTATGTATATTACCTTCAAATACTTTTTTAACTGCCCAATGCTGTTTATTTAATTGAGCATCAATCCCCTTTTTGATCTTTTCCCAAACAGCAGGAACACCTGCCATAATGGTAGGCTTTAATGCCTTAAGATCACCTTCTCCTTTACCTTTACCATCAGGACCACAGACAAAGTCATTCATCAAGGTACGTATACTACCATAGCCAATAGGGATAGTAAATGAAATCATGATCAATTCAACCAAGAATTCCAATACATGAGCAAGAGGTAAAAAGCCAATATAAGAATGATTTCCAAATTTCAAAAAATCAATGACCAAATATTCTGCTGAACCAATGGCTGCAATAATATTAGCATGTGTTAATTCAACACCCTTAGGAGCACCTGTAGAACCAGATGTATACATAATTAAGGCAAGATCATTAGGTTGAGGCTTCTCATCAACTTGAACTTGAACTTGTTCTTGATTCTTATCTGTGATGATAGTATCAATATGAACCATATTCACTTCATCTGCTTTCCCATTTTTGAATTTTTGAACTTCCTCTGGTGCTTCAAATTCATGACCAGCATAAAAGACAAATTTTGGTTGATCCTTCTTTTCAAGTTTTTCATAGGCTTTATTTAAAGTTTTAAATAAAGAAGTCTATTGTTGTTGTTGCTTTCTTCAGTACTCTCTCTCTCTTTTTTCTTTTTTTTTCTTATATTACCTCAGTAAAAATGGCCTTTGCTTCAGTTTCTTTAATGATATGATTGATTGAATCAGCGGGCATTGAATCATAGGCTGTAGTAATCACTAATCCAAGGGTCAAACAAGCTATATATAAATGTATAAATATATTCCTGTTAGTTTCCAACATTTTCCCTCACTCGATATTATTTTATGTTTTACCTAAAGCAGTCATCATCCATTCAGCTCTATATCAAAGAAATATAAAATTAGCATTCTTATATGGATTACTCTCATATATCTATTTTCTACCTTGTCTTAGAGAATAAGATGACAATATCACCATGTTGAAGACCATGACGTTGAAGAATGGAAGCAATTTTTTGAATTTTTTCATTTGCTTCACGATAACTCATCCATTCATAATCACCAAGTTCAAAATAAGACCATTTTTTAGGTTTACCTTCATTAGGAGAAGATTTAGATTCCTTGTAGTAAATCTATATAAGAGAGAGAGAGTGTGTGTGTGTATACACATATATTATTTATTTAGTAAAAAAAAAAAAGGAACCCCCTTCTTTTTTCCTTTTTTCTTATATAGCTTACTTTACATTTTTAAGTGGACGATAACCAAAGACAGGTTTATGCATATTAGCATTTACAGTTTGTCCCCAAAGTTGATCAATCGTACACTCCTCCTTTCTTAACTTTGGGAAAAGGGGCGTATCAATAAATCCATGTTCTGCTTGACGATGACGAAAAATATGATTTTGACCATCATATTCTATTGTTGGATTAGAAATATCTTGAAGGAAAAGGTTTGTAATATATTCCATCTTCTTTATTGTAAAAAAAAAAAAAGACCAGTAGTAGTAGTAGTAGTAGTAAAGAAAACTAAAAAACTAAAAACTAATAAAAAAAAACAAAAAACAAAACAATACAAAAAATTATGTCATGAATGATTTTATATGTGTCTTTTCTTAGGCTTCATTTGTTCAAACGGCGTATTTTTTTTTTGTTTTAGATTATCATTGGTGTTTCG